CAACGCGCAGGGCGGCCGGTACGGCACCGCTCTCCATGCCGCCTCGTGGAGAGGTGATCAAGAGATTGTACAACTGCTCTTGGACAAGGGAGCGGACGTCAACGCGCAGGGCGGCAAGTACGGCAATGCTCTCTATGCCGCCTCATCACGAGGCCATCTCGAGATTGTCCAACTGCTCTTGGACAAGGGGGCGGACGTCAACGCGCAAGGCGGCTTCTTCGGCAACGCTCTCTCTGCCGCCTCGGAAAGTGGCCGTCAAGAGATTGTCCAACTGCTCTTGGACAAGGGAGCGGACGTCAACGAGCAGGGCGGCCTGTACGGCAACGCTCTCTATGCCGCCTCATCTCAGGGCCATCTCGAGATTGTGCAACTGCTCTTGGACAAGGGAGCGGACGTCAACGCGCAGGGCGGCCGGTACGGCACCGCTCTCCATGCCGCCTTGGGGAGAGGTGATCAAGAGATTGTGCAACTGCTCTTGGACAAGGGAGCGGACGTCAACGCGCAGGGCGGCCGGTACGGCACCGCTCTCCATGCCGCCTCGTGGAGAGGTGATCAAGAGATTGTACAACTGCTCTTGGACAACGGAGCGGACGTCAACGCGCAGGGCGGCGACTACCGCACCGCTCTCTATGCCGCCTCAGATGAGGGCCATCTCGAGATTGTGCAGCTGCTCTTGGACAAGGGAGCGGACGTCAACGCGCAGGGCGGCCGGTACGGCACCGCTCTCCATGCCGCCTCGTCAAGTGGCCATCTCGAGATTGTCCACCTGCTCTTGGACAAGGGGGCGGACGTCAACGCGCAGGGCGGCCACTACGGCAACGCTCTCCAGGCCGCCTCGTCAAGTGGCCATCTCGAGATTGTCCAACTGCTCTTGGACAAGGGGGTGGACGTCAGCGCGCAAGGCGGCGAGTATGGCAACGCTCTCCAGGCCGCCTCGTCAATTGGCCATCTCGAGATTGTCCAACTGCTCTTGGACAAGGGGGCGGACGTCAACGCGCAAGGCGGCGAGTACGGCAACGCTCTCCAGGCCGCCTCGTCAGGTGGCTATTTCGAGATTGTCCAACTGCTCTTGGACAAGGGGGCGGGCGAGTACGTCAACGCTCTCTGTGCCGCCTCGGAAAGTGGCCGTCAAGAGATTGTCCAACTGCTCTTGGACAAGGGGGCGGACGTCAACGCGCAGGGCGGCGAATACGGCAACGCTCTCGAGGCCGCCTCGCAGGAAGGCCATCAAGAGATTGTCAAATTGCTCCAAGAAAGGGCGCTCTCCAATAAATCGGGCGAAGAAACTTCGTCTCGTGTACCTCGAACCTTCTAATCACACTTAATAATTCGTTCAGTAGCCTCCACCATGGTGTCCATCAATCGCCTAGCTTCAGGCCTCATCACTCTTTTCACTTAGCACCCAAGCTGACTATGGCTGACAAGATGGGCATAAGTTCCAGGGTAAATTGCCCAGAGTCTGTGACGACGATCTGGGAACGATCCGAACACATATGCCATCCTGCGATCCTCACAGGCTCGAGGGGCCACTTCACAGATCAGCTTGCACACGGAGGGTGGGATGGATGGCAGGACGGCGCTGGCGCTGGCCGCCGCGAACGGGCACGAGGCCGTAGCCAAACTGCTGCAGCCCAAATCTTTGCTCACTGTCTCTATTTAGTGTAGTATCCTTGACTACAAGGCACCTCGTGTCTGGCTATCTAGGTTTGGACACCCCAATCATGGTTCAGCAGGAACCGCAAATCCTGTAAGTTGTAATATCTTTTCCAGAGGTTGGTCGAAGGGGTCTAGGTTCCTTTATAACTATGATCGATGGGCGTCACGTGCCGTATATCCTGATGTGGCAGGTCGTCGCGTAATTTTTTGTCAGAAGTATGGGTGGCAACATCACGAGATGGTGCCATCTCGTAACACTATTGATTGGATAGCTGAACAACGGTCGAGTAGAGCGAAAGGCTCCTGGCCACATCACAGTCAGCGGCGCACCTCACCATTGCCGGCCAATTTTTTTTTTAAACACAACTAATTATTATTGTGGTGGGTTTGGTTAGCGATAGCGGCCATCAAGCCATTCCAGATGATTCAAGTTGTTTTCCCACTAGATGCTCTAAGCTGAAAGTAAAGTATACATCGTAAGGCTTTTCTCCATTCCCTCACTTCCCAAGTCCGCTGTTGGGCAGTTGAAGCACCCAACCCACATAGCCTAACGTCTCTATGAGGTTGGGGCTCAACAGCTCCTCACCGACCCAAGAGCCCTTGCCTGCTGGGCGGCCGTAGAAATGCAAGAGACATTGTCGCTTACCCCGTTTACTTTCTCCCATGTTCAGCACGTCGACTCCCTCATCAAATCCGGCATAAGCCGACTCAAATTCGCGTAACATTTTCTTGTCCAGAATGTTCCTTCGCGGCTTCCTACTAACCGGTGCTGCCGTCAACGTCCCATCTTAGGAAGAAGATGTTCTTACAATTCGCTCTTCGTGTCTACGCGGCCGAGCTTTCTCTCCTCCCTCTCCCATGCAGCATGACCAAAGTTTCTGGTCACCAAGTTTTTCGCCTCTTCCTTCGCCTGCTCTCCACGCAATTGGCTGCAAGGCAAGAAGGTGGGTACCCAAAACGCTTCAACTTCAATGGATCCATTTGATACTCGACGCGCTTCTCCCAGGTGCATGCGTATTCATGAACACTGCTAGCCAGCGCAACTTTCATACGCGAAGCCTTACGTGAAGTGGCCTTCGTCTGCTGCTGGGTCTTGTGCTTCGAGATTCCTCGTTGCTGCTCACAGGCAATGTTCCTAGTGAGGCACGAAATACCAATCGGACGTGTTTCGGGTTGATCAGAGCAAGAAAATTCGTCATCTACAAATCGGTTGTAAGTTAGACAAGATACTTCAGCTTGGACAGATTTTACCTTCTGGTGAGCCCCCGCGTTCACGTGGTGCCTCCTGCCCATTGACAAGCTTTTCATACTCAGAAAAGAGAGCATGAAGACGGTCAGTATCCAAAGACGTAGGTATCAGGGGTACCTCGGGTTCCTCCTGCCCGGCCATCGGTTGCATAGCGCAGGAAGTCGAAACGCCCAAGTCATTGTTGAACTTTTCGTGGACACCATCGTTCTCAGGAGAGGGATTTGGGTCTATGTCAGGCTATGCTTGTGGGTGATTGGTTGGAATACGCGCTGAAGCGATTTCTGCCTGGAAGGGCAATAGTACCAACACGCATGGCTAGCACAGCCTTGGAACCAACGTTGCCAGCCTTCTCGCATGCTGGTGCAGGAGAAAACTCAATGCCAACCACGTCCTCTGCACGTTGACGGAAATGCAAGTTGGACCTGACGGGCCCGCGGCTCGCGGACGCTTTGGCCACAGGACATCGCTCCCATTGAAGTGAGCGAAGGACGTGTTATATTCGGATCTACTTAAAATATATATCCCTTATCGCTCTGATGCGCTACATCCACGTGTTGCCTGCCCGATCTTGACGACATGTAGCTGATCAATGCCTCGTCAAGGATCAGCGGGGGTTGCATGATGTGCGGCCCGCTGGTGGCGGCATGGAAGTCAGCCATTGGCGCGCCAAACTGAACAAGTCTTAACCCTGTAGGGAGTCAGGGGAAAGTGCTCTGAGGTGTGGTTGTAACCAGCAGTTGGGCTGTGCTCCGCCGGTCACGGCACCATCCGTTTTCCAACGCATTGACGTAAAGTACGGTGGCAAACCGTAATCCTCCCACACCAGCTCTCGGTTCTCTGTCCTCCAAAAACGGACACCACATCCTCCAAAAATGGAGGCACACTCCTCCATATCTGGAGGCATTGAAACTCCGGAGAAGAGCTTGACGGGTTTGCGAGGTCTACTAGTGGCTATGGTCGTATGTATTGGCAAGACAAATTATTTTAGTTTATATATAGAAGATTAAAGGCGGTATAGGTAGAACCGCTCTCTGGAGCTAAGGGCGAAAGAACGGAAAAGCCAATTGACTAGCTATATACATAAGCCACGGCGCTAATAAGGCCTGGGGTTTTAGATTTTCAATCAAAGTCTATTAGTTATAGAATAAGGCGCCTTGTAGCGCGCCGAGGGTCTGAAATTACTCTAGAGTCTAGACATACTATTCTGGCGATGCTCATTATAGCCCAAGATGACAAAAGATCCAAAACTTGGCAGATGTTCTTTCCCGGTCGCCTAATGCTACATATGAGGGGACCAATAATTGATAGTTCTGCTTTGCCTATTTCTCCGTGGGTTCACCCATCAATATTGCAGTCCTCTTGAGTCCTGACGAGTTGGCCTTGACCTCGACCAGCGGAAGTGCTAAGCGCGAGGATCTCAATTCACTTCACATTTTCATCTTGAAGCGATTCTGGTTCCGAGGCACAAAAACAAGAGAGTTTATTTGAGCTTCACTAGTGCAAGAGGAAGATGAGTGAGTTCGAGACCATCTAGACAATCTTGATCACAAGCTCCCCACAGCCCAATTCACTTGACCACTCAGTACAGTGCTTATCACTCCATATAAACACATCGTTCCACCCAAAATCATCAATTTCATCGCGCCTGATCGAAATGAGCCCCACTCGGCGAAATTCACCAAACATACATGTTAGAATCAAACCCAGGAGTTCCACTCCATTAGCACTTTCCATCGATCTAACTGGATAGCAGTATACAGTCTCAAGGACCATGTCTTGCTCGTCATCAAGACAGTAAGCTGTACCACAGCCAGGCATCAAATCCCGCTCATGTTCCGTCACTCGGTGCATTGGTGGCAACATCAACAAGAGACCCGAAGAGAGAATATACCCACTCTTTAGTTGACCAGTAGAGTCTTTAGTTATATATTCTACATTGAAAGTTAGTATCCTGACGAGAGGGGGGCCCCAACTATACTCTCGGTGGCCGCAGGCAAAACGGACCCAACCCTCAACAGAGGCCCAAGACCATGATGGTGCTAAAAGTCTTTATTCAGCAGTGCGTCATATGGGTGAGGAATAACCACTGACCACACTAACCGCGATAAGATGTTCCCCTAAAGGAGTATGGCCATCTTTCCACATACCACAGGAGGTCCAAGGTCAAGTTTCGCTCCCATAGGCCAGCCACGTAAGTATCACCAAGAAGAGACTGCATTTCTTGAGCGATGCCAGAAACCGCAATAAGTTTATCAGTAGCCTTGGTTATTTTGCAAACCATGAATTGTTCAATGACTTTCCTCCATGGAGCATACTGAGCGCCAGGTTCCTCGGTTGCCCAGGCTTTTGAGCATAGCCCTGAGTCTTCGTCTATATCCTCATGGGCGAAGTCAGGGTTTGGTCCCAAGCCTTTGGGAAACGATTCGCTGGCCTGCAGCTGCCGACATTCCCAGAACAACTGGGTATTATTAAACGATAGAGTGCGGGGACTGAGAAGGCGCTCTTGAAGGACCCATCCCCGGTGATTCAGTGGCGTTGAAGTTACTCCCAAATGCCATACATCGCTATAGATGCAGTAGTATGTTCTTTGATGTCCTCTCCATCTCAAGTCTATTTTAAAGGGAGCATGTGATAGAATGTCTCTGTCAACAAAGAGCCCTTCTTCACCGTTGGCTGCAGCTGTTGCGGCAATATTGCAGAACGATTGCCCGTACACCTTGCCCATGACTGCGGACTCTTTTCGCCAATCATCTTGGCAATCTTGCTGTATGCACAGAGAGTCGATCCACAGATATCTCATTCCTAAGCTTCTTGTGAATTGTACTGCATCTTTAAAAGTTCTAGGGAGTTCTTCCAGCGTAATCTTTCGCTGGAGATGGTCGACATTCCTCGAGGTAAGTGTAACTGTCGGCTGAGAAGCCCATCTATGTGTAAGTGCAACATATTTGGTCTGTTCTGTGTCTTTCTGCATTTCACTGGTGTTCGCGAGTCGAGGATGGCATGTACCTTCCACGTGTCCAATATCAATGAGCCGTGTTGGGAGCCAAGCCGGCTCTTTCGCTTCCCGATTGCACTGTAGATGGTTGTTGGTGCAAGTCGTGATCCAATCTGTGACTAAATTGACACAGGCCTTTGAAGATGTACTGGCTAACTCACACCCTTTCCCTCGAATGAGAAAAGATACATCTATGCATCAGACATTACTGTTAGTGACATTTAAATAAGTCAAATTTGATAATGAGAACTGAACCTTGTTCTAAAAATAATTTAAAATGAACCAGGGGCGTAGAGAACCCGATGCGATCGAACTTGCCTGCTTCTCTATTCCAATAGAGAGAACAGGATAATCCCCGATCTATAAGATCCGACTGATGCCGAGGCGAGGCTAGAATGCTGCCATGTAAACTTTTACAAATAGGGCAGCTAATTTTTGCAGAAGACACGATATCGTCGTATGGGCGCCTCGAATAGCCGATTTGAGTACTTTTATCGGTATCCCAGTCATCGTGTGGTCGAATCAGCAACTTTTCGCAGGTTGAACATAATCTATGCCTGTTCATAGTCTCGTTGTCGTTCTCCTCGGGCCCAGCTAGTACAATAGAACCCATTCTGCTCGGCGAGTATACAAGTCATTCGACTGCATGCAGCCAACACCAACCAAGCCTTAGGCTTTTGAATACAACTAGCAGCTAGATGGAAGCAATACGACAAGGGCTTTTGTACGCATGAGGTTAAGATATGTGAGGGGCTATACTTGTGGTATGAGGCAAGTTGTGTCGACACGTGACCTCAGCGGCAGGCGCATTGCGTTCGTGCCGTACTTGACTTTTGCTATTATCTGACATACGAACGAGGTGGGCTTCTGAAGAATATGCAATTTGCAAACACATGGTGGGTAGCAATTGTCCCGTTCGGGCACAGTTGACGATGATGGTAATGGGCAACGGGCCGAAATAACCAGCTCTATCCTTGCAAATAGTCAGGGGGTCCAAGGACGGTGGGGGGTGATTGTATCGCAATTGACGAAAGAACATCAGTTTCCAGGTGCCAGGGCGGTACCGGTACCTTTAATATTCCATCCTTTACGAAACTTCACTGTGCAATACGGCGGCAAACCGTAATACTCCCACACCAACTCTCGGTTCCCTGTCCTCCAAGAAAGGATGCCACATCCTCTATTTTTAGAGGCACACTCCTCTATATCTAGAGGCAGCAAAACCCCGGAGAAGAGCTTGACGGGTTTGCGAGGCCTCCTAGTGGCTATGGTCGTAAGTGGTTGGGGACGATGTATTTTTCATATATAAAGCTCGCTTGTAGGTGGGAAAACACCAGACATAAAGGAGACACGAGATTCGCCGAGGCCTCTGTTCTATGCTTGACAGGGTCGTTAGAGAAAATAGCCCAATTCATCTAATAACAGCACTGTCTTTGGTATCAAAGGTCATTGGTTTTCCAAGGCCTTGAGGGGCCAAGGGCCTTTATAAATCCAAGAAGTCGGTGAGGGTCTTCAGCCCTAATCCTGTGACCGTAACCCTTGTACGTGTGACGAAATTCAATAGCTTCGACGATCCCGATCTCAGCAGCAGCTTCAACAAGCCTAAATTCAGCAGCAGCTTTCAAGGCCGGACTAATATCCTGCCCTGGCCACCGCCGCTTTGCATCCCCTTAGGACAACTCGTTCGTTGGCATCACCGTCTTGTAAATAAAGACTTGAATTCATACATGACACTGTTTAATTTTGCGCTGTGATATTGGTCAGTCACGTATCAGATCCGTCCGAGTTCGGTGGCAGGTTAGGTCGATAACGCTTCACCATGCAGACGCAGGGCAGTACGATGAGACTTTAACGGTTGTATTTATAGATGTAGCAAAATAGAATACAAAATAGGTCTTCTTTTATTGGGTTAATTGACAAAGCAACTCAGAGACCAGTGCTCGCTGCTTCCATTGCGCAAAGCGGCGCTGCCACGCACCACGACCTGATAAGACGTGCGGCGACGCTGACTTGGACCACGACGGCCCCGAGCTTTCGAAATTCACATATAGAGCCTCCACTTGTCGAGAAGCTCGACGGTGGTGAAGCCGGTCTTTTTTGTTTGCGGATGCGGCAACGGCTTCCAACACATGTTTAGTCTTGGTCAGGGAATTAGATACCGTACTCGTCGTAGGGCAACATGCAATCGGCCAAAACCTCGCCCTTGGTGTTGCAATCAGTGATCTTGGCAATGCAGCCTTGTCGGTTTTCCCATCCAAAGCGCACGCAAAGTTTGTCTAGTAGACTTGGCCCGACTAGTTTCTCCTGGGTGCAGTAAATAAGCTGTTGCCCGGTCGGGAGCTGTCTAGCTGGTTCGGCGTCACCGTTCCAGTCTCTGCTGTCGGATTCGGCTGCCTTGCGGAGCTTTGCAAATTCTTCTCGCTCGCATGCCTTGGCATATTCCTGGCATTTCGGGTCTTTCATATAGCCCGCGCAAAACTGCTCCTTGCTTGGTGCACCACCCGGGCCCAGAGCATCCGCTTTTAGTTTTGCCTGGGTGCAGTCGATAACCTGCTGCTTGGTCGCAAGATTCTTTGAGTCCTCGTAGCATTTCTCAGCATACTCCTTGCACTTGGGGTTTCCCCGAAAGCCCGCGCAACCTTCGTCCACAAATACGGTAAATCCCGTGTCTGGAGTACGCGCGGCTTGAGCATCCCGAGCTGGCTGGGCAGTGGCGAAGGCTACAAGGCCGGCGGCCACAAGTGGAGTGAACTTCATGGTGGTTGTTGCGAGACGTAATCGTTGAAATAGATAATAAAAGAATAAGGCTGAATGTGCCAGAAAAGAGAGTAATTGGATTGATGTGAAGAGGAATCCTGCAGAATTCAAACTCTGTGTCAAGGACGGCATCACCTACTTATATAGACAGTTGGTACAGCGAGACGATTCGGAGCCATTTACTTCATTCCGTTTAATAACTGATGGACCGGCGGGATGCCATGGGGCTCATGAGTCGTATTTACCCGCCAGTTCAGGATAGACTGAATAATGTAAGCGCGGCAGTATGCTGCAACCGGTGGGTAAGGTGGGAGCGATGAACAGGGGGTCAGGATATAGGACTCAGGAATCGAAGGTTATAATTATGCTTATCATGCAGTATCCACGAGCAGTGCTACAACCTACCAGGTCAGATAACAACGTAAACCCTTGTTATAAGTGTAAGCAAAGCGGCAAGCCCGGGAGGGGCAAAATTAAAGGTCGGAATTAAAGGTTGAAATTGAATTAAAAAAATAAAGTGAAAAGCTATATTTGTTAGCTTATTAAACTTCTCATAATACCGTAAAAACTCAAGCAAAGCGCTGCTTTACTTAACAAGCTACTACCCTGCCGCTACTATTTCGTACGATAGCTGTGAGGAGTTGGCCCATGGTCAAGCAGGCGTCTGCAAGTCCTCGGTATCCTACTTGGCCGTTTTGATCTCGGCGTTCTGTAGTGGATTCTGGTCCGAAAACTGGTAATATCGAGAGCGCTTTATCTGTTTAGATGCGAAGTGGCTCGCGGCTCCGCTGCCATACGATGTTCTTCGGTAAGCGAGTCTCCACGAGCCGCTCCGCATCTACATAAAGAGATAACAAGCTCCACGCTAATTGCTTGGCGAGACCTGTCAATATATTCCAGAAGCTCTTGGCATCATGTTCCCGGCGCCCCTTTGAGCTAGTCAGGGATCGCCATCTGATCCTCGTTGGTGTCTTTGTCATGTTATCCCGCATGTCCACCGTATTATACCGTGCTGGTCGACGCATCTTCCCACATCCCACATCGGGAACAGCTGAAGTTTTTGATCCTACGAGAGCACTTTGTCTAGACAGATTGACAATTTGGCCATGTGAACACGTAGCATAAAGCTGTGTTAGGACAATAGGTATGGGGTGTGCGGGTTTTGCTATCACTAGAACCAAATGTCAAGAGAGGCAGCTTAGTAGCATGTAGGGCTTCTGATAGTAAGGAGAGAGCAGTTTTGCCCTCGTATAGTGTACGTGGTTCCAACTTGGCAAGTTCTTCTTGCCGCTACACTTTATCTTCCCTTCAGAGCTCTTTAGAATCTATCGTCATTTTGATAGGTTTGTTAGATAATTAGGCTAGAAAAGGCGCCCTATATGCGTTTGGAGATTGCATGTATGCATCTACATCATTGAATCGATGGAGCAAGCCAGGCGCTGCTAGGTGCCGTTACTGCCGTATACCTTGGCAAATTGCCTCGTAAGCGGATCAAAGATACTTCGTTCTGCCATTCCTTTTGTCAGGCTATAGAATGTGATGTGACGTTGCTGGACTTTTGGTACTTGGCTAATATTCGAGGATTTGTCCTGTCCGCCGTGAGCCACGAGTGATTTAAACGTTTTAGCGAGCTGCATCTTGTGTGCTAAGGGGCGTACCCTGGAAAAGCACCACACGTCTTGTTTGATGTCTTTTAGGGTATATTCGATAGCGGGTTTAATTTTGTCGAGGGTGGAGTAGTTAATTTGAGAGGAGGATTTCACATACAGATGCCTTGAGTGTACAGAAAGCAGTAATGAATCTTTGGCGGACGAGGTCGTCGATGGAGAGCTACCAGCACGCTCTCGAGTGGAAGAGCACTGCGGGCATTGGCCCATCCACGCCACAGGGAATGACATGTGTACCAAGCAGTCCAGGATCCCTGTTTCCATCTAGTATCTCCTGTCTAGACGCTTCCCTGAGCCCATTCCAATAGACGGCGGGCCAAGCAAATGAAGGATCCTGCGCTATATTGCCCCATCGCAATTGTTACACGGAAAAGGCCCAACTGTTACACGGAAATGGCGTTGGTCACACAAGGGCTACGGTCACGAGACCTAGGGCAAAGTCCCTCACCGACTTCTTGTATAAATAGACGGCTTCGGTCCCTTAAGGCCTTGAGGAAAACCAAGGACCTTTGATACCAAAGACTGTTATTAGATGAATTGAGTAAATTGCTCCAAGCCCTCTACTGAGCCCTTGTCACACCAACAGACCGTGAAGCCCAACAAAGGGGCTTCACCGATACGGGACTTATTAATTACACGGCTTAAACACGTGCCCGGGTAAGAGCCCTAGGCCTAGGTGTTCCTTTTATGTATATAAGGCGGCCACCTTTCTCTTCTTCTCTTGTAGAAACTCAAGACCTTAGAGACCCTTCGAGATTAATATTGAATTGAGCCCTTTTGCTTCCAAGCCCTCTTTGAGCCCTTGTCAGAGCAGTCGAACGTCCATCCCTTCCGACGACCTGACCTAGGCTGTCCATGGAGAAATCATCAAGGGTATGGGACCTATGCCCAGCACCGAGAAAGTCCGGACTTAACGCGCCCGACGTCGGGTCAGAATAATCCATATGCATCTCCAAAGTATGGCAAGAAACGCGACTCTTTTCGTTATCCCTTAGGAGGTGGGTAGAGTAGCCCTGTATATTGTTAATTTCTTCCACTAGGAGTTGAACCCTGTCTTTAAGGTTTTCATTATCCCTTGTAAGATATTCTAGATGCTGTGACTGCTGCTTGATCCAGTTGCGCCATGCGCGCTGAGACTCACGGTCTCTGGCTCGCTTGCGTGCCACTTGGCTTGGAGTAAGGCCTGAAACAGGCCGCCGGTCTGAATGGGTATATCAGCAAAAGACTGTGCTAGCTGATAATATATCAAAGGGCCCTTGCTTTTGGTGTGTGAGAAGGGCTCGATAGAGGGCTCGGAGTCAATAGCTCAATTCATCTAACAGCAGTCTTTGGTATCAAAGGTCCTTGATTTTCCTCAAGGCCTCGTTGACCAAAGACCTCTTTCAATACAAGAAGTCGGTAAGGGACTTTGCCCTAGGTCTCGTGGCCATAGCCCTTGTGTAACCGTGTGACATTGGGGCATTTCCGTGCAACATGGTGATTGTTGGCTGTGTAGCGGCAAGTGTGTGGCCTGTAGAGGATCCTAGAGCTGGACCCATTGTCACGTATTTGCGCAATAAGAAGAGAAAAAAGAAGACGACTGTATGGAAGACCTGGCAGCAACGAGGGTACCAAGCCAACGGCGGTGCAGAAGATCCGAGAAATAACCTACCTTGCACCCAGGTAATCGTTTTCGGGTACTGTCTCGCTGCACAGTCAATCAAGATATGATTAGTGTTCTGTGGGAGGGACATGGGCCTACTCAAAAATATATATGACGATTGAAATGGGGAATAATACTATAGTGCTGGCTTTCTTTTATAAGCAGACCAGCAGATCTCCGTCCACCTGCAACGATCTAAATAAAAGCTTGCGCCACGGCACAGGGGTTTAACGAGCCAGTATGGTTTGTTGTTCGCTCCAGCTCATACACAACGTCGCTTTCGCCGCAATGTTCCAAACACGTCCATCATCGTGGTGCAGTTGACTGTGCGATTCGATAGCAGAAACAGGTTATTGTGGCAGACGTGCTCTTTCCCTCTCGACTTTTAGAGCGTTATGAATCTTAACCAGTGACTTTATCGTTCTGGCTCAGAGTATCGCCAAGGCTATTGTGGACTGACAACCGTATTAAATCTGCTGCAACTCTGGTGCATTCTTGGCAGACACAACACTAGCTGCAAGCCCTGTCCTAGCACTAATAACGAACAGGGCAAAGAGAAAGAAGATGTCGACTGGAGTTTTGAATATTCGCCAGACCTGTTGTGGCTGAAAGACATCACTAGATATACTGCAGCGTGAGCTGGCATAAAAAGCCAAGGCCATTGTCGTCCTGCCGTCACGTAACGTTGGAATCCAGGAACCAAGCTCAGTATTCTAAGCACCATCATTTCGAACAAGGGAAGCGCAAATTTGCCGGCGAGATTTGGCTACGTGAGACTCGTGGATTTTTTTATTTTTTATTTTTTATTTTTGGATGCCTAGAGGAACGAATAAGGGAGCAAAGAGAAATCAGCGAGTTTGTTGGCGAGTCCGGTCGTCGGAACGCCACGATGGCGATTAGGTTATGCATAAGAGCTGTGCAAAATGATTTCCCAGCGAACCAAATTAAAAGCCGACTAAAAGAACAAAAGCAAGTTATTAGGATTCCATTCATATTGCCTGCAATAATTGCCGCTTTAGATACACATACACTACACATCAGACACTCTGTTCGGGAGCAAGAGTAGCAACTACAGAGTGGCAGCTTAGGTCAAGCTCCAAGTATGACGAAAGCTGTTCATCGTCATCCAATTCTTGTCTCACACGCCCTCGACATGTCACATGCACAGCGCCCAGTCCATCTCCAAGCTCTGCAATCAATCAGCCACGTCGCCAAAACCGACGACTCCCGTATCAGAAAGCCCGACTGTGCATGGGGGTCACGACGGCCTGCCACTACACTATTGCAAACTATCAAGCGCCCCGACTCTATCCACACCGTCTGGCGCAATACGACAGGACCCACGAGGCGTCAACACGGCAGCAGCTCAACTGCAACTCCCTCCCGTAGGCGCAGGGCCCAAGAGCTGCCAAGCAGCAAACGCACGCCGCATCTGACGTTGGCGCTATAAAAGCCACCTGAACCAGCTATCGACACCGCAGCAAGAGCTAGCGGCAAATGAATGATTCCAAAGCGTAAAACTATTCGAATGCCGGCGACGCAACGAACGGGTGGGGCGGGTCGTGGTTCCGGAATGCCGAAATGCCGGAGAGCCGCACCTTCCCGACTCGGGTAATTCGGATCGAGCCGGTCGAACCCGGTTGGTCGGCTCGACTGGCCCACAGTCACCTGGGACGCGACGCGATAGGCGGCGGCAGTTGCTTCAGGCGTAAGCACTTGACGTCTGCGCATTCTACCGACAGGGGCGGCGTGGATTGAGACTTCGTGTGGGAGGGGAAGGCTCTTGGCCAGTCGTGAGTTGCGTCGCCCCGCGCGTGACTCGCGTAGGGTTGAGACTCCCATGGCATCGTTGGGATGCGGGGGAGGAACTAGAGGGGTAGGAGTTGGATAACGCAAGATGGGGAGGGCTGATGGCGGTGATGGAATGAGATGATCGAGTAGCAGTGACCTGATTACCGAGTTCATTGAAGCCACGGTGAGATGGGGCCAACTGCCTTGTGTGCTATGGTGGCAGATGATATTTATACGTCATGGCGAGAAATGATTCGATTTACACTTGGCGGGGAGCCTCGGAAGGACAAATGGTTGATACATTGTCACATTTCTTCCAATGGCGGCCAAAATTTCTTGTTTAATTCGTCGTCACCGCCACCAAACCGTACAGAGTCAGGGCAGAGAGGATTGAAGGCTCATGCCTTGACTACGTATCTATGTACGTGAGTCATATCATTGGGTAGCAAGGATTCTTGCTATTCATCGTGTCATCTCTGAAAACTTGGGATTTCCGACTCTCAATATTTCGTCACTTCCTCTTGGGCAGCCCTTTATATGAGATTTGATGGCGCCATGATGTCGATGGTGAAAAACGAGACACTCGAGTTTGCTACGGCCCACTATACGCACATGGAGCAGCACTTTTTGCCTTGTACTACTTTACTCATGTTTGTGTTCCTCCCTAATAAGCTCAAGCCGCCGTCACTCAGCGTACGTAAACAGCTTTAGCAATTAGATGTACAAGATAGATTGTCGAAGCGTAGTCTTGATGACATGTATACGCTAGTAGATTATTCGCAGTGTACTGCAGTGTCTGTTCGACTCATCGTGCTAAAGCAGTAGAAGAGAAACTGGTGACGTTTCCGTTTTCACGCTATAGCGCCAAAACTGACTCATAAAGAGCCCAGGCGGCGGTTTTGCGGTACTATTTGGATACGACGCAGTGGCTGGCCGCGTATGACTTTTCATGCAGCCCCATTTCTACAGCATGTCATTTAGCTTACGCGGAAGGGGCCTCATGTGAGGAGCACCAGGCCATGGTCTTGGTGCATCAGGGCATGAATTTGTGCAAGAGTGGTCGCGTTCGACGTCACACGGAAATGGCCGGCTACACGAGGGCTACGGTCACGAGACTAGGGCAAAGTCCCTCACCGACTTCTTGTATTTAAAGACCCCTTTGGCCAACGAGGCCTTGAGGAAAGCCAAGGACCTTTGATACCAAAGACTGTTAGATGAATTGAGTAATTGCTCCAAGCCTAAGCCCTTGTCATATTCGACCACTGAGTCATGGAGCAAAAGAAAATGCAGCAATAGCGGCCCATGGTCAAATGTCTCCGATATCTGGCTCCAAGGGTGCACATCTTGGCTCTGTCTCTAGTCTTTGACACTCTTTACGAATCATTGAGTAGCCGGCCTAAAACGACAGATGAACTTGATGGAGCGAGACTCGGTGATTTCCTCGTACGGTATTTTATGGCCTTGTCGGATTACTCTCAAGCTGTAAATATTCGTAAAACAAACAATCCACCGCTACAGTTGCAGTATTTTCTAAAGGGCACATTACTTGGAGAGGAGGAGGCAAGGTAAAGCCTATTGGTCAAAGAGCCCCAATGACAGTAGAATACCCCTGAGAAAAAGAATGTGTGTGATGGCTTCTAGAACCAAAGTCTCTGACATGCACTCAGACGACAGCATATGAGGACCACTGGCCTTCTTCCTCTGTTTGCATCTAGTACGCCAAAAGTGGAAGACGATTGCACAAAGATCTATCATGGCTTTTCCACGCTTGCCACAGCATCATCTCCCACCTGGACACGTTCTAGTCTCAAACTTGGCAAGAAATGAGCGACTTCATGGCTCCTTTGAAATTAAGGACTAGAAAAACACCGAGAGATTCAAGCTGCAGCCAGGACGAGTTCCAGGAATGGTGGCAGCACAGAACCTTTAAACACCCTTTCCCTCCTCACGCTCATCACTACATAGTCCATTTTCAGCTCCAACACGACGTCAACTCGTACCGAGGTGCAGAAATCACGCCTGTCCACGATAGTAGACCAATGGCACGGTCCACAGAGGCAGCTACAAACTCCAGAACAACAATGGTGAAGCCTCGGCCGTTTACAAGTTCGCCAACGGCCAAGCAACGCCCCTATGTTGTCAAAGAGACACGAAGAAACCCGGACACGGACGCCGCTCACCGCTCTCTCGACTCCAAGTGCGCAGGCCCAAACGAAAACAGCAAATCTTGTTAGCTCGAGCGTCATCTCCGAGATTCATGTCACCTCGCCCAGCATCCCCATGGAGTCATGGGCCATGGCGACGGGGTAACGCCTAGTTTGTGCAGCAGAGTTCCCCGATGGCCCAACATGAAACTACCACTGCCCTCTGCCTCATCTCCTACAACCCATCTTCATCCCCTTGTTTCCTGTCCAATGACAAGGGCCCCAGCCGCTTGGTAGAACAACAACCGTCAAGCCAAAACTCTATTCCCAAGGAGGAAGGTAGGCCGTCGCGGGCCACTTCCCTTTTTTTCCCGAAGCCGCTTGGAACAGCCTGGTAGCGTCGAGTATTCCCCGGTAAGCTAACGGCAAGCAGACGGCATGGCCTCTCTGGCCGCGACGTGGCCGCGACGTAATGTCCCGAGTGCCGAGGCGCCGCGCTCTCCGACCACGCTCCTTCCCACAAGGCTCAAGCCCTACCGCACGACGGTTTTGGCCTAGCCATGCCCATCCACGTGGCGGTAAGGCGTGCTTCAGAGCAGCGAGGACGCTCGAGATGATTTCCCAATCAGGGCGGCGTTCCGGCCCCAAAATCTCCAACCCCTCGCGAGTCAAAATATACTACTACTACCGCTACCGCTACTACTTTGCACATACCTCTGGGCCGCTTCCCCACCGCCAATCTGGCTGGCCACGGCCGAGATGGTCGCTCCCTCAAGGCCCTTGGCAGGAGGTCGGTTCGGACGCAGGCAGCCCCTGGGTGCCGGTGCCAGCGCTCGGTCGCGATTGGGCGGGCGCCGCTGCCGTCGACTGTGAAACCCAGCCACAGGCTGAGACGGCCAGTGCCTTTTTCCACGACGGGTATTTGGACGGCGGGCGGGCTGGCGCGCGGCTGCGGTGGACCAGTCACCAGCGTGTCTTGGTACTGGCAGCGTCCAAGTGCCTCGGCGAATGGGCACGAGCAGTCACAACGTGGTGTTTTGGCTTTGGGTTGCCCGACGTCTTAGCACGGCACGCGGCGACCGTCAGAGGAACGGAGTCAATGGACAGGCGATTAGACGGCGATTGCAGCCCCCTATTGTTCAGGACAGGCGCCGAGGCGGACGTCGCAGCTTGAGGTGGTGGTGACGCCGGAGGTTCATAGTGCCGGCTGCCGGGACAGGCTGGCCAGTGCCGATTCGCCGGATACCACCGCCTCGGTGGCTGGCCGGCGCATGGGCATGCCATGATGCAGCTGTGTGCGGCGCCTGTCCAGGCACGCTGCAGCCTGCGAACGCAACATCACATGCATGCCTGCGAGCTCAACATGTTATACTCCGGAGTTCGTACATGCGGCTGTCTATAAAGGCCCTCGAGCACGGAATCGTGGCGTCGCTCTCGCAGAGACGGCTGCCAATCAGAAACGGCGCCCGCGCAGGGTGCAAAGCTTCTCGAGGAAACAAGACGCTGCGAATGGCAGGAAGTTGTCCAGATGTCTGCTGTCGGGCTTTGCCAAGACTCCACCCCGGCAAGGCGTCTCCACCCCGGCAAGGCTCCTATCAAATGGGGCAGGAATCGAGATGGGATGCGCATAAAGGCCGTGGGGCGCGCGCCGCTCATTTGCCAGCATAAGGCCGGCTTGCCGCAGAATGCCTGCCTAGCCCCGGGTGCCATTGGCGCGACTCCACGAGGCCAATTGACGGCTTCAATGTTAATGTTCTCAGTGCTCACCGACCGGTGCTCTGACACGCCCCAGGCCCCGAATAGCTGCAGTCCCAACATTGCGTTGAACCGAGCCCGTCCCCTGCGCATATAAATACTTGACCCCTGTTGCCGTGCCTCGGGCGAAAAAAACCTCCCATCAGAGCCTGCCCTTTTCTCCCGTCCACCTTCATCAGAATGATTGACGTCGCCGGCAACAACCACTATCTCGCCCACCAGCCCGCCGACTCGGACGCCTCGTTATGCCTCCCGCCGTCGTACATCAGCGGCGACTACTTTGTCAATCCTGTCACCGGGTGCTTCACTCCCAGGGTACAGTCCACCTCCTGCGTGTCACGTCTTTTCACGCCTCTGGTCCCTGCCGTCGGGATGCGTCTTGTCTAACCGAGAATCAAAAAAGTCCGACAGCCCTGCGAGCACCACGTACGAAATGTCCTTTTTCAGCCACGACACCAGATCCCGCCCGCTGCCGGTCCAGCGGTACCTGTCGAAGCCAGCCGGCGCCGGCCACGCCCACGGCTGCGACGCACTCCCCAGCACAGTCATCATGGACGCCGACGCGCGGATACTGCACCTGTGCCCGTGTGAAACGGCAAAGCCCGCCGCCGGCACGCCCGACGGCGACAAAGGCCCCCCCGAGGACAAGGCCAAGAAGAGACAGGCACAGAACCGAGCAGCGTAAGTTCCTTGCCTTCTACTCCCCCTCCCTTGCCCTGCTCGAAATTCAGCTAATGATTTGATTTTCGGGCCGGCAGACAGCGCGCGTTTCGGCAGAGAAAGGAGCGCAAGGTCAAGGACCTGGAGGAGCGGGCGGCGGAGCTGGAGAAGACGACAAAGGAGACCATGCTGGAGAACCAGCGGCGGCGGCACCGGATACGGGACCTGTTTATAGAGAACCAGGTGCTGCGGGCGGCGCTGGCCACCGACGGCGGCCACGCCCGCGGGCGCAGCGGCGCCGTGCCGCCTCGTCTGGACGCGGTCAAGGGGGAGGTCTCGCCCGAGGGGGAGGAGACGTTTCGGTTCGGCGCCGACGACGCCCAGGGGGCGGGATACCTGCCGTGGTGGAATAATTACCGGCTCATGCTGTCCGAGGACAAGATTGTCGGGCAGCTCCAGAAGCTGGAGAGTGTCAACGACGACCTTTTGTGAAGACTGAGGAGGGAGGGTGGTTATTATTATTTTTTCCCCGTGGTAAAGGGGACCAAAGCAGGCAGCGTAGAATTTGTCCATTTCAGCCAAAATATATTAATTTGATATCTCATGTTGCGCAGACGGTCTATTTTTTTGGTCTATTACTGTTGTCGGCTTGGTACAGCCCAATGCTGTGTTAGTAGATATTGTGCCTGCACGATTCTTGTATCATGTTCGAATTATCATTTGACATGAGAAGGAAACAAACAAGTTAATATTAATTCAATTTTATTTTTCAGACCCATGTAAATAATAGTGCAGGCACTACATCAGGCTGGGCCTAGTGACATACAGTGTGCCTGGGTGTACCAGACCCAAGCCAGAGAAGCTTGCCAGACCAGGCAAAAGCCAAAAAATTTTTATAGTTTTCAAACCCGAGCTCCCCGTGTGCAAGACGGTCGACGTTGGCATTCCGGCCACTTACATGTGTAAGCTGCCGAGGTTTTACCCAAACCCACCCTGTCTCCAGATGTCCTTGTCAGCCCAACCAGAGTACGGAGTATGCATCTTGCTTCTCTTTTGCTCCAAGGTTTAAAAGACGGACACTACGAGTCTGCGAGCACCGCGGCTGTAGCTTCATCCCCCCCCCCTTGCCTAATGAAACCCGAAGCAGCACCCGAGGACGGCGCCGCGGCGGCCGAGTCCGCAACTGCCGGCTTGCAGCCCTATTCCTGCTTGTCCTGCCGCCGGCGGAGGAAGAAGTGCGACAGGACCGACCCGTGCGCCAACTGCCGCCGGGCCGGCACGGAATGCGTCTTTGTGCCCAGGAGGCCCTCGACGAGGCAGTACTCCGGCGCGGGAGCGCTGGAGCGCGTCCGGTATCTCGAGGGCGTCGTCCAGCAGCTCAGGGCCAAGTTGGAGTCGCTGTCGGGGCCACACGAGGGCGGCGACGGCGCCTCAAGCCGGGGACACACGGCATCCCCGGCCCAGCCGCATGCCGCACATGATGCCGACGGCGTGCCCGGGTTGCACGAGGAGGACGACGACGAGGACGAGGACGAGGTGACACAATTACAGACAGAGTTTGGCCAGCTTGCCGTCGGCGACGGGCGAAGCCGTTACATTGTGAGCAACTTTTGGGCCAACCTGACAGAAAAGGTAACCAGAAGACAAACTTGACACGGAGACCCCCCCCCTCTCTCGCTCGGATACAGTGACTAAATCCCCTGCTCTCATTCTAGGTGGACGGCGCCGCCAGCATCCTGGAGGACCTGGCCGAGGAGGAGGAGGCGCGGCGCGAGCAGGGCGACGAGCAGCCGACGTCGATACTGGGACTCGGCCCCAGCCTCGCGAACGCGGGCCCGCTGCACCCGGCGCCGGACGAGTTCGCCGTGTACTGGCGGCTGTACAAGGAGAACTGCTACCCCATCATCCGCGTGCTGCACATGCCGACGGTGGAGCCCGTGGTGCTCCGGTACCAGGGCCGGGCGGGCGGCGACATGCCGGCGGGCGTCGAGGCGCTGCTGTTCGCCGTCTACTTCGCCGCCGTGGCCAGCCTCCCGGACGAGGAGTGCCGGGCGGCGCTGGGCGGCGACAAGCGCGTGCTCGTGGGCCGGTACAAGGCCGGCATGGAGCGGGCGCTGGCGCGGGCGCGGCTGCTCGAGACGGACGAGGTGGTGGTGCTGCAGGCCTTCGCCGTCTTCCTCGGCAGCCTGCGCAGCTACTGCAACCTGCGGCTCATGTGGTCGCTGACGTCGATCGCGGCGCGGCTCGCGCAGAACATGGGCCTGCACCGCGACGGCACGCACTTCGGCCTGCCGGCCTTTGTCGTCGAGTCCCGGCGCCGGCTGTGGTGGACCATCTGCACGCTCGACGCCCGCGCCGCCGAGGACTCGGGCTACCGGACCTCGATGCACGCCTCGGGCTGGGACACGCAGATGCCGCGCAACCTCGACGACGCCGACCTGGGCCCCGGGCTCGCGCACCTGCCCGCCTCGCGCGTCGGCTTCACCGAGATGGCCTTTGGCATGGTCACGTCGCGCGCCACGGCGGCCTTCCAGACGCTGCAGAGCCTGTCGCCGGGCACCGTCGGCCCCTGCGGCCGGCTGCACACCGCCGACGGGCTCGCGCGCCGCGCCGCCGTCATCACCGGGTACCAGGACGCGCTGCAGCGCCTCTTCGTCGGCCACGACCCCGCCGACCCCTTCTACTGGTACACGGCGCTCGTCTCGTGCACCCTGCTCAGCAAGATGTGGCTCGTCGCCTACTTCCCGTCGCTGCGCCTGGCCACCTGCGGCGGGCTCTCGGCCGGCGTCCGCGACGGCCTGCTCGTGCGCGCCGTCACCATCATCGAGTCGCAGGGGCTGCTGTACACGGGGGCACACCGGCCCGCGTCGGCGGCGATGCCCTACCGCGTCCCCGGCCCGGACGACCTCCGCTCCGCCGCCCACCGCTTCGACCACGAGCTCGCCTTCCGCTCCGCCGAGCTCAGCCCGGCCGCCGCCATGAACCACTGCGGCGCCGAGACCCGCGACCACCCCCCCGTCTCCCCCGACTACCTCCGCGACCAGCTCCTCGCCTCCGCCCACGACCACCCCTTCGACCACCTCTTGTACGGCTCGCTGCAAAACGACGTCGACGTCGCCCCCGCCCACCAGATGCCAGACTACCCGTCCGACAAGGGGCCCCTGTAGCACGAGTCCCCCATCACAGAGAGAATTGACCGTCTGGTTTTCTTCCTAGCAGTAGCCAGCCACCGAGGGGGCAAATTCTCCCCAGTAATACAGACAAGACGCTACACTGACGAGAATGCCGGTCGCGAGATGCCGTGAATCGTGATGCATAAACATGACGACCTGCCAGAGGTTCCTCCATATTGGCAGCGCAAATGCCGTGACAGATGCACCCCGTTCCCACTAGCACTCATCAAGATTGCGCAGCCGAGCCAAGCCCAAGATTTCCACGTGAACAAGACAGGCACGCAACAGTAGACAGAGCAAAGCATGCCACGACGCGCGGCGCCACGCCTGCCCAATGGCCATCACCGACGCCTAAACGCTTGACTTGACCCCCCTGAAACCCTACCGGTATCAATCCACGGTGGGAATTCCTCCCCCAAACGGCAATATATACCACCGAGCCCCCGTAGCATATGCCAATTCATTCCCGCTCTTGACACCCATCTCAGCCTTACACCGTCCCCGTCCCCTCGTGATGCATTGCGCGCCAGAATACGAACGCCACGCCCTAGCCCAGGCCCACCTGATACTTCCCCAACGGTCGATGTCGGTTCGTTATCAACCGCCGCCACCAACGGGCACACATTGGCTGGTCGCTCGGCACTTGCCCTTTGGGAATGGGTAGATAGGCATTAGCACAACACTGAACACAGAACCGAGGCGCTATTGATTCAATGGTCCGCCAAGATTAAGGTTTCATCTGATCTTGCAGCGGGGTCAGTCCGGATAAGCTATTGCCGGGGTATGTATATTGCCGCGGCTTTTTGGCACGCGCTTGTTCGAATGCGGGCGGGCAGTCTTCGCTTCTACCGAACAATCGGAGCACTAGCTTCGGTCACGTGTTCGAATAGCCGCTCCCAGACTACAATTGACGAGACCATTCACTATACGACAAGTACGACTCCTGCTCTTTGCTACCTCTACTTCTCTGGCACCTTGTTCCATCCGATGCGTGCGTGCGTCACCGATGAAGAATGCTACAGTACCTCATACACTCCATGTCACAACACGCCGGCAAGATTCCTCAAAATTATGCTTTTACATGTCGATTGATGCGCACCCAACTATCAGTACAATGAAAAAAGAAGAGAAAACATCGACAGCAAAAACAAATATCCAAATGCGCCTACAAGTGCTGGTCTGAAATGACATCCGGCACGAGGGGAATCATGCCCAGGCACGCCGAGATGCTCTATCCTCAGCTCTTGCCTCCTAAACCTCAGTCTCCTTGTTCCAACTTTCCCATCTGTTCATGTTCTATGTGCATATAAACCCCGCCTTCTTTTAGCCAAGGACAAAACAAATGAAAACGCCTCTCGACTCTCTGCTCCCCATTGTTCATCATTAGTACACAAGCCCTTCCAGGCCGAATCCCTTACCCGAGTCACTGCTTTTACCAAAATCGCTTAGAACTCGAGCGTTGGCTCCTGGCCCTTGACACGGCCAATGACCTGCTCGGGGGCGTACTTGGGGATAACTTCGTCGTCGTGCAACATCTCAAACTCCTCGGTGGCGTCGCGGCCCATGAAGTTCTTAATGGCCTGGGGACCGCCGGGGTGCTCGTCGAGCCAGTTGCTGAGGTCCATGACGACGCCCTTAACTACCACCCACAGGTCGCCCTCCTTGTTATGTTTAGCCACCTCCTCCATAGTGTATTCGGTCTCGGGGATCTTGAAGGCCTTGGGGTCGGGCTTGGCCTTGGCGGCGGACTCACCGGCGGGAGCGGCAGCAGCAGGAGCGGCGCCGGCCTGCTGCTGGACGGCAACAGCACCGGAGCCCGAGCCACCGTTGGCCCACTCGACGGTCAGCTTGCCAGGGGCGGAGGGATCGAGGTGAAGGGAGATTTGTCCCAGACGCTGGGCGGCGGCCCCAGCGGCCGAGCCGGAAAGGGCCTGCTGGAAGAGGTAGTTGCTAGCCGAGTCACCAGCAACACGGCCGTAAACGACGCAGCCGAGCAGCGAAGAGCCACCCAGACGGTTGGCGCCGTGAACACCACCAGCCAACTCGCCACAGGCGAAGAGACCGTCAAAGGGCTTCTTCTCCTGGTTGAGGACCTGTGCCTTGTCGTTGATCTCAATACCACCCATGGTGAAGTGGAGGACGGGCTCCATAAGAGCAACGTGGAAGTCGTCGTTGATATCCACGGGCATGTTGTGGAAGAACTTCTTGCCCCAAGGGTCCTTCTGCTTGCCATCGGCAATGGAGTTGTACGTCTGGAAGGTCTTCTGGAGATGGTCAGGAGTGCAGCCAATCTCCTTGGCCAGTTCCTGGCCCGTCATCTTTCGCATGAGACCACGGCCAGAGTAATGGCGGGTGTGGAAGTCGAGTGTCTTGGAGGCCTTGGAGTTGAGGATAAGGCGGACGGGGTACTTGCCCTTGTCCTTCTCCTTGAAGATCATGCCGGAGACATAGTCGCGGTGGCCGAGCTCATCGCAGAATCGGTCACCATCGCCGTTGAGGAGGATGCCACCCTCACCACGGAGAGCCTCGGCAGCCAGGAACTTCCACTTGGATCCAGGGTCCTTGGGGTCGACCAGGCCAGTGGGGTGGACCTGCACCTTGTCCATGTCGATGCCATTGCCGCCAATGGCCATGACCATCTTCTGGCCGTCACCAGTGGCGTGGGTGCCGTTGGTGGTGGCAAGTCCCATGGTATCGGGGCGATGCTTCTGGAGCAGAGAAGTGTCTCCAAAGTCGGCGGCATAACCGCCAGTCGCCAGAACAACAGGGCCGTCGAGAGAGGCAGTCTGGCCGTCGGCCTCGTAGGTGACACCAGTGATGTTGTTGCCATCCTTGTTCAGATTGGTGACGCGAGCCTTCTTGATGATCGTGACTCGGTGAGGCTCGGTCTCGGAAAGCTCTTCGATGCGCTGCATGAGGGCGTAGGTGATGGCCATACCAGGGAACTTGGCATCATGACCACGGTGGGTTCGGGGCTGCGAGTGACCACTGTACAACGTTAACTTCATGATCCATGGAATTCCATCTCAGCTTCCCGCAAAAATCCGCCCGTAGACGGTTGAAATGCCGAAATTATGTAGATGGGTCGTGAGAATGTATAAAACTTACCCGAGACGGGAGACGAGAGTGAGGTCGAGGTCAAACACGTCCTGGAGCCACTCAACAGCAGCAGCAGACTTGTAGGTAAGGACCTTGATGAGATCGGGGCGAGCCTTGTCACGGGCTGACTTGAGGGTATCGTCGTAGAACTGCTTGACACTGTCGGGAATACCGTGCTCGACCTGTGTTCTTGTCAAGGCACCGTTGATACCGGATGTGGCTTTGGTGGAGTTTCCTCCGAAGAAACCTGTACGCAGGCACATGTCGGTCAGTATATGGAAATGGCTAGGACGTGCCATGGGAGCCAAAATGCCAGATTTCGCATGTTTCCACCATCCAGCCTGTGAAATAGCACTCGTGAAACTCGTCACAGCGAAATCAAGGCATGTCCCAGGCGAAATATCAAGAATCGCGATTCTACTTACCCTGCTTATCCAGGACAACGACGTTGCCACCTGCCAGGTAGATGGTGTGAGCAGCGCTCAGGCCAGACACTATGCGAGAACAAATGGTTAGCTTCCCGTAATACAGGGTTACGAGCGATACTGGCAGTCAGCTTCGCTGGCAAGCGTTTGCTTTTGCGGATATTCCCGCCGTTGTCGCCACATGTCGCCAAACATGCCGAACTTCCATGTCAGGCTCATCGCGCAAAAGCAAAGCCAGGCCAAGCAAATGACAGGGCCAATGTTACAATCGCACAGGAAACATCAATCTGCAAGACTTACGGCCACCACCGACGACAATCACACGAGGAGCCATGGTGTAAGAGTATGCGGGGGTATATTGAGAAGGGAGAGAAACGACGCTGCTGTTTGCGCTCGAAGGATGGGAGAGCAAGGATATACAGCGGGAATAGGGAGAGAATGGGATGGTGGCAGGACAGAGGTGATGGGGAGGAAGAAATGAAAGGTCAGGAAGGGAATCTCGGTGATGGGAGTTTTAAGAAGTTTCTCGGTTTCTGGGGCGTGTGATGGACTGGGAGGTTTTCCGCCGAGGACGGGGAAGCAGCCCACTCCAGAAGTCCAGACAGCCGAGGTCGAAGTTTGGCTGTTCTGGCTTTCTGGGGCAAGAGCCATGGGCCGTGCTTGCTGGGAATGGGGGGGTGTCCGCCCCAGAGGAGGCGAGCGGCGACAGTTGCCGTGGAGCAGAAGTGTGGGCAAGCGTACCCATATGGAAGCTCTGTGAGTGGTCTAAATGGCAGCGTGGCCCCACTACGAGTCGGCTGGCGTGACCGGTGTTCCTTCCCTCTCTGATGTCAGCAGGAGACAAAGGGCAGGAGCAGCCGAAGATGCTGTGTTAAAAGGACGCACAAGTGCACACATGTAAGAAGGCAAAATCACGCCGGATTTTCGGTCCTAGAACACGATGATTTAACTGGGAAGACAAATTTCATTGTCAGTGGTTTCTGTGCCCGAGCTTCTCCAACCCTCTCCGCATCGCATGCACCGACCTGCTCACCTTGTGGAGTGGTCGGGTCTGTGGTCCCCAGTGTTGGACGGGAACGGACACGCCAGTTCGACCACTCATTCCGATCAGCTCTGTTACAACGTTGGACCCCAATCACAAGGACCCGGCAGAGCTCTCTCGGTTGTTGGAACGATTGACAAACCCAATTTCTCGCGGTCGATTCAGTATCAGTCAGGCTTAAGCACCGTGTCAGCGTGTCTATGCCTTCCACGAGTTAGTCGATGATGGCGACAGGCTTCATCCCGCACACACCATGGACACCGAGCCCAGCTGTCCACCCTGGCAAACGAAGTCGCTTGTCCCGTCACGGATTCCAGTATTCTCTCCCTCGTCCCCTTTTAAAAAGCGTTGCGTCCACGGGTTGCATTGGGTTTAACTGTCGGATATTATTTCACTGCAGCACAATCTTGTTGTGTCCATACGCCATAAGCGCACATGCTTGGACGAAAGTACTGCCATGCTTTCACATCTGGGCTGACATGTGAATTCCACCCTGACTCTCGATGCAAACAAAGCCTTGGTACCTGGGGCTCCACGTCTTACCAGAGTGACCAGTCAACCATCTCCACCACGCTGGCCAATTGGGTTCTCAATCAAGTCAGCGAATGACCAGAATGGCGGTTTGCCCATTGGCCACCCGCAGCCTGGAAGCGCTCAAGTCCCTCGTGAGCTGCAACAGTCCGCAGCGACACGCCACCACCACTTTCACATGTTCAAAGGCCCCGTGTCTGTAGTATTTGCCACGACCCCAGACGACTCTCGTGATTCACAAAGTGTCGACGGTTGGCAAGCAAGGCATTTCCCCGCGGAGAGTAGAGTCCGGGGACTCGACTCAATATAGCTTAGTCTGGAGCGGTCTGGGGAAGTCGCTTGCAATGGACACCGAGTTCTTGACATGTGCGCACTTTGCTCACCGCACACCTCGAGTTTAGTTTTCGAGAAATCGACTGTCATTCTGCATCATTTTCCAACGCGCACCCCAACAAGCAAACCAACAATTCAAACACAACGAGGTCCGATTGCGGCATCGACATCGTCTCAATCGTCTCATTTACCGAGCCTCAATACCCGCCGGTTGATTCCATTTCCACCAACCAGCCGCCACAGATTCCCTTGCGCCTGCCAGCAAAACGGCCATCGCCATGCGCCCCCAGTAAACCACATCAATATTGCATGTATTTTTCAAGGGTCACCCTTTGGTGCTAACACGAAACAATTGAATCAACATATCTCGACCCAGGGTCCCCGCAAGTTCAAACCGGTAGCATGTCCTCTGTCGGCGGGGCAAGAGCCGGCGGGCATTGCCTAATCCGTACATTTCCACTTTCTCCTCAACAGCCCTCTCTCGTGACGTACGTCGCCATCCGAACATCCCCAGACAGCTAGGACACCGGTATAATCACCCACCACCGCAACAAACAATTTCCCCCAGTCACAACCGTCAAATTCCCATCCCAGAACCGCTACACCAAACGTCCCCTTTGTAAGTTACCAGCGGCATGAAACCCCTCGTCGCCGGCCTCATCTCCGCCGCCGCCGCCTCTGCCGCCTTCAACCCTCTCGCCCAGCAGCAACCCATCATGCCCGGCGGCGACCGCCTCCCCGCCCAGCCGGACAACAAGTCCTACGCGCAAGAAACCCCCCCTCCGCCCGCAATCAAGTTCAAAACCGGCAGCAGCCCGCCTCCCCCTCCTCCCAAAGACCAAGACGCCCACGAGAACAAGTACGAGCCCCAGGCCCAGCCGCAGGTCTCGCTCAGCGACACCATCGGGCCCCTGCGCTCCATATCGTCCTTCTCGTCCTTCACGCGCCTCTGCGAGTCGACGTCGTCCCTCCTGGCCGACCTGTCCGCCCGCACCACCGTCCTCGCCCCCCTCAACTCGGCCGTCGACAGCCTCCCCCGCAAGCCGTGGGAGTCGCCCGCCGACTACCGCGCCCTCGGGTCCCAGGCCTACGACGGCACGGGGGGCCAGGACCGCGCCAACAAGAACCTCCTGCGCTTCGTGGAGGCGCACCTCGTCGCCCAGAGCCCCTGGCCGCGAGGCGAAAAGGCAAAGACCCTCGCCGGGAGGGAGATATGGTGGGAGGAGGAGAGCGACGGCCAGAGGGTCCTGATGCCCGACCGCGTCGCCGTCGACCGGGTGGCCAGTCGGGTTTCAAATGGCGAGCTGGTAAGTGCCTCGTGTGACCACGCCGTCGACTCGACGCTAACCGGACGGTTCCCAGTGGATCATCAGGGGCGTTATCAACTACACGTAGGGCCATGAATGTATGAGGGCCTCGATTTTTGTTTTTTTTTTTTTGTTTTTTTTCTATACTTGGCCTGACATGGAATTTCATACAAGTAATGAAGTGACGAAGTGATTTTACAGACGATTTAGATGACGTCACGGGATGTACAAGATACAAGGGATCACGAATCAACAAACGATGTAATATAGACACATGCCATCGACTGCCAAAAAATCGCTCTGCCGTCGCAGACTGGCCCCCGAATTCTCGGTATATCGTAGCACGCACCAAAGTCACCAAGCAGAGCGGACCATGTCACTGTCGCAACGACACGTTTTCGTCGCCTCACTCGTTAACAATCCATTCAACAAGTCTAATCATGTTGCAAACAAACGCCTATACCACATCACACCTACAAGGTCATACCATAGCCTTACCACACATTCAAACAACCTCGATAATGGTCCGTATCTCTTTCCAAAAATGTTGCACACTGTTGCCAATAACAAAACAACAAATGCCAATCCAAATTCCGCACAGGACCCCTTAACACGGGCTACATATCAGCCTGGAATATAAAGACCACCAAATAAACAAAAAATAATGAAAATCCAGCCATCGGTTCTGTCAGGAACAAATAGAGACAGGAACCCAGGCTGTTTTCCCTGATATACAAAACAAAGCTGTCATTCCAAGTTGGTAAGCAACAAAAATAATCAGCATGTACATAGAAAAACGGGGTATCAGTTTCACAAGGGCTACTCGTAGTAAACCCAAACAGAAAGAAATTCATCCCAACAGTTCTCTCATGTGTACTCGACTTTGAGCCTCTTGGCTTCAGTTGCATCTTCTTGACTTTCGCCATGGCCCCCGCCTCCAAACTCGGGGCTCTTGCGTTTCGTCATTCTCAGTGGGACACCAGTCGACATTGTGCCACTTGTCGCTGTAGTATTTGTGGTAGTAGCTGCGGTAGATGCTGTACTACCGCTGCTGTTGTTACTTGTGCTGCTATTGTTGTTGGCCCCGCTGCCATGGTGGTCATCCCTCAGAAAGCTAGGCCCCGTGCCCACAACAGGCGTTGCAAAGTTGAGCGGACTGGGCAACGTGTTGCTATCGTTTCCACGAAAATTCCAATCCTGGTAAAAGCTACCAGGGCTCGGTAGAAGCTCATGGCCGAGGAATCGTGAAGGCAATGCTGACACTGGCGTCTCACCGTTGACGTTTTGCTGGGGTGGCGGTCGAGCAAAAGGATTCGGCGGGCCCGTGGCACCGGCGGAGAGAAGAGCCGATGCGGAAGGAGACGGTGGTGGAAGAACGACCGAGTTATGTCGAGGAGCTTGAGTTGGTGTAATGGTTGAGTTATGAGGAGAGTTTGATTCGCCACCGGCACTGCCTGGCTCTGATGCACCGTCGGGAATCTGGACAGTTAGACGAGGGCCTCTGGGTCGTGAGCCACCGCCAGGACCACCAATCTTGAGACTATTTGATCTTGAAGGGGGGGTGAATGCGCTTTCTGGCCCTGACGAAACAGATGCGGCTCGAGCCTTGTCGAGGCTGTTTTGCGTACTTGATCGCTTTAGCTGTGGGGATGCTGATGGACCGCCGCGGGATGAGGCATCTACAGATTGAGAACGATTCGATTCTGTTTTGATACCTTGAGATTCGCTTGCAAAGGAAGCCAGATGTTGTGATAGAATAGATCGGTTCTCCTCGATGGGTGTAAATATGCTGTGTGACTTTCTTTGCGGCAGCTTCTTGATGGCAATATCAGTATTTAACCCTAATGGCTGTCTGTCCAAAAGTTCGGTCTTGGGTTCAACGCGCGGCGGGGGCGGAGGATCTTGAGGTCGCCGATCAGGCTGTGGAGGAGGAGAAATATGCGGTACAGGATGTTGAGGGGCCAGCGGCTGTTGCTGGCTGGCAGTGTGAGGCGGTGATGGCTCAGGTCGGGATGCGACGGGAATAGCATGGGGTGGCGGTTGCGGAGCATATGCTGGCGGAGCAGAGGGTCTCCTATCGTCCACATAAGACTGATGCTGCTGCTGCTGCTGCTGTTGTTGTTGTTGTTGTTGGTGATGGTGGTGCGGGTGATGTTGGTGTTGAGGTGCATAGGGATATTGTCCGGCCGGTTGCGGTCCCATCATGCCAGGCTGATTCGGCCCTTGGTAAATTGGGGGCGTGGGCATATATGCAATTCCAGGATGTGCACCGTGAGGTTGGGGCACCATACTGTTAGGCGCCATTCTTCGCATATCATTCCTAGAACCAGGTCGTGATCCCATCGGCGGTTGTGGAGTGGAACCTCTAGGCCCCGGGTGGCCTGGGTGTGCTTGAAATGGTCCGCCATTCGGCACGGGCGGTGATGCGGAGGGAGTATGATGGCGAATATGAGCGAATGGAGGTTGGCTGTGGCCATGGCCGTGGAACTGAGGAGGCATCATTTGGTGCTCAGAGCCTTCGTGTCCTCGCGGAGGGGTACCATCACCGTCGTCGTCGTCGTCGTCGTCGCCCCCATTAAAATCCGAAGGTCCCTTATGTTCGTTGGGAACGCCATGCTAGAGGCAAGGGGTTAGTTCCGCGTTGCTCTAGCGTTTTGGAAAGACAACCACGGTGATCATGTGGCGACTTACAAATTGGTATTTGGCAATAAGTTGGTGCATATCTGACGATGAGTATTCGTACAACTTCTTATTGTTTCCAAAGATGAAAACGGCAACGTCAACGGAGCATAGTACGGATAACTCGTGCGCTTTCTTAAACAAGCCGCCTTTTCGTTTTAGGAAGGTCCTACAGAAACAAGCATAGTTAGTTGTTAAGTTTGCAACGCGAGTGACAGATGTTCCAACATACACTGATCGGTTCCGATCGTCTTTGATAGCTTTAATCTCAATCTTTCTGCGACCCATGGTGACGTAATGCGCACCGAAGCACGACCGTAATCAAATGCAGCGTTCAGGACGCAATTTGAAACTAGGATAGGTGGTGAAGGGACTTGCGCCCGCGCGCCCGTGATGGCTGCAGCTTGCAGGAGGCTGCGGTCGAGGGGATTACCGCCACGAGAAAGTCAAGGACACTTCCAAGGCAGAGTCTGGTATTTGCCGTCTGTCTGCGCCTAGGTCGGTATACAGCACAATCTGCCCGGCGTCGACAGGGTACGGACGCGTGCGCACGACTCGAGGGATGGCTGGCGTAGACGGCGATGCTGCGAGTTGTTGGTTCGATTCGCGAGTCACGACAATGGGACAAGTCAATACTGCCAGCGGTTTGGCGTGAAGGGAAAAAAAAAAGTGGCGAATATGAGACAAATGATAGAAGAAGGGCGCCAAGTTCTGATTACGCTTAAACAAACCCTAGGGAAGGGAACCTGGCGAAACAGGGCTAGGAGTGACGCAACAGGGCGAGCTTGAAGACGACGCGGAGAGAAGAAGCTTCGAGTCGGCAGGCGTATGTATCAATGAAGCAGCAGAAGCTCGTAGTGGCAAGGTCGGTGATGATATGTCGCAGCGGCTAGCAAGGTGGTGAGGTGTCTCGACGACAGCCGCAAAGTCAAAAATGCAGGTGGTCGCAACGGCTCCAACACGCAGACAAGTCCAACAAGGACGGTTGGATGGGACCCTGCAAACAGGTCAAATAGCCCGGTACCTGGCGCAGTCGACTACTTGGAGGTTTTCAGCAACAAGGCAGGCGAAGGTGCAGGATGGGGCTGGATCTGGCGTTGGAGGCTTCTAATAATAGACGTGATCATGTTCGGACTGGAAGGGGGAAATGGAAAAAAGAAGACGGAGAGGGCTAGAAGAAAGGAAGCGGGAGAGCAGAGCGGGTGAGTGGGCAGTGGGGAATCGCAGGGTCCCGAGTGTGCCAACGTCGCAAGGTGTGCCAGCGTCTCGGTCGCAGAGGACGAAGAGAGTGGGGAGAGAGGGACGTATGTACATGCACATACATAGATGTACTACAGAGTACTTGTAGGAGTAGTACTGGTAGTCGTAGTACATGCAACGGCTTGCCGTGGCAGCTCCAGCAGCTCTCCGGCCGCGCGAATGGGCAGCTCTCCCGTCACTTGCTCGAGAGGACGAGACAAGACGGCAAGGGTCGGGCTGATGGCTTTTTTTCTGATGGGGGGCCGACGATGGTGATCCTTGCTGTTGTACCCAGGTCAAATGTGGGCAGCCAATTTTGCCTCGAAATCCATTCTCGACAAACAAACAGGACGCGCGCCAATCGCTTCTAGCATTCGTGTCCCGTACCTACATTATTACTCGGCAGATCTCAGCAGAATATCGAATCGTCCGTGGACGTGGAGACGGAGACCCGGTAGCGGGGGGTGTTCTTGGGCCCGAGTCTCAAACGGAGTGCTTGGTGCTCTATACTCCGTACTCGGCACAATAACGTCAGATCGAGGCACCATGCTGGTCTGTGTCGTCTGTGTCCTTGGCGATGGGCGCGTGTGCGCGCGTCCCTTCTTTGCACACGGTTTGCCGCAGTATTCGTCTTGCTTGATGCCAGTGCCGCGAGGCTGTCTTTGTTCCTGTCCTATCGTGCAATACACGGCGAAACGGGGCCGAGTGGTGCGAACTGGCGCGACCTGCCATGTATCGTGTGATACAATAGACAAAGGACAAGCTCGTTTGCGAATGGGTGGGCTTGTCATCCGACTGGTCCCCCGACTAGCTCCCCGACTAGTCAGCCTTCGCCCTCATTGCAGGCGTGGCAGCCATGCGCCCAAGGTTGACCCAAGGCCGACTAACGTTGTTTGTCGTGCTTATCTCCTTGGCTGGTGGCTTGACGCTTTAAATGGGGGCAAACGACCCGACCAGAGCAACGGCACCTTGTTCATGGGTTCGTGGAGCGTGGCGGAGCGCAAGGACGCGAGAGATGGCCAGACAAGCGCCAGTGTTGCCAGACCGGTTTTGCGACCAAAACGTCTGGTCCTAGTATTAGAAGCTGGTGTGAATAATGAACTGGTTGTAGTCGAGGGGGGGGAAATCTCGTGAGGAAGAATGGGCATTATCGTGCGTCCTGTGGGCAAAGGGAGGGAGGGCAACGGCGAACGCCGGTGGTTCCTTCCTCTTCCCACTTGCTTTCATCTCGATGGCAATGCACTTTGTGCACTTTTTTAATGCTATAATGCATTGATAATATAGAGTCTTTTATGGGCCGTTAACCTCATCAACGGTCAATATTGATTGCGCACTCAATTCTCCGTATCCATCTCCGCACTCGGTAGGTTCGGTCGGAGAAGTAAGTTGGTACCTACCAAGGTGCCCTCCCAGGCTAGGTACGTTAGAGTTACACAGGACATGGGGGAGATGAGCTGCGCAGTTGGTACTCCATAGAAATACTCGGTACCATGGACTTGACGATTTAGCTTCGGGTGCTTGCCGCAAATGCGCGTCATCCTAGCTATTGTGGTGCGAGTTGTTTGTTGTTGTTTTTTTCCCTTTCCATTGTCTTCATTTCTTTCGACGTTCCAACACTGGCTCTTTCTATTGTCAGGGTCCAACCCCTCCCGCTTTGCTCCGGCCGTCTCTGTCTCTCAGTCTCGGCACTATTTTGCGCTTGATATGATTTGCAAGGCTCTTGGTGTCTCTCGATCCTTCCTTCCTCCCTTCTGAAAATTGACTCATGGACCTGCCTAGTCAGTGCAAGTGGCAGGGCTGGATCCGCCCTGCACTTTCCTCCCTCTTGGCTGCATGTGGTGACGTCTAACCTATTTCATCATCCCTTCAACCCTGCCGGCTGCTCCTTCTTCAGGTCGTCAGGGAGCATTGCTGCAGTGCACATGTCGGATGGGGCTGGTTGAATGAACCGTCGGCTTTGATCGCCTGCACATGAAGGATGAACCGCGATCCAATTTGGCAAACACTACCGCCCACGATTGTCCAGACATGATTGTGCCCAATACGTGGCTGTTTCCATGAAGCCCGCTCCGTGCTGTACAAAGCGCCGTGACGTCGAGGCTGTGCCGCCGCTCTGCGCCGCCCACGGGGAAAGCAAACTGGCACCCAGTCAACAATGATACTCTCACATTCATGTGGGCGATTACAGGGTATGCTCGTGCCAGATTTGTTTGATTGTGCTGACATCAGGGTTCCGCAGGAGACGCGCTTTGGTAGCCATAGTTTCACGCTTCTTTTTCAAAGTTTAGCATGAGGCAAGGACTCGGTCGCCACCGGCGGTCGATTGGGATCGGAGTGCAGTCCATTGAACAACCGCCGAAACAACAGAGGCAGGGTCGAAACTGTGTTTAGATGGCATTGCATGTCCTGCTGTGCTCTACGCAGCTGGGTCAAACTCGGTCATGTTCTGCCTCAGATCTACATGGCGACGTGCTGCGACAGCAAGAGACACTCAGTGTCAGGACGGACCAACTGGAGGTTACAGCGAAGGCCTGTTGTCACCCCCATTGGGCATACGCTTGACAGGCCAGCGCTTCAGCGACGAATGGACTTTTGTCATGGCGCATCACGCATCACCAACCGCGCCGTCTGTCACGTCTCCGGCTGTAGGGAGACTGAGCCACTGAACTTGACGTCGAGACTCGGGCCTGGGCAGTGACTTTTGGGACCGTGTTCATAAGAGACAGGCAGGGTTCGCAGGCGTTGGCGCGGACGGATCCACGTGGTTGCTATTTTTATGGCGCAGCATATGTCACCCGTGTGCTCCGTACTATTTGCGAGATCCGCCACGCCGTCGCTCGACTCCCGCGACCTGGTCCGTGGCAGCTGTAACTATGTTTGCAAACAAGCGTGCAGGTCCTGTGTTAGGGCGGAGTAAGGGGACAGCCGCCGCCAAAGAAGCCTCGCGGCTAAAACACGATTCGCATCATCGCTGTGGTATCGACAACGACGACACGGCGGCACTTGCAATCGGACTCGATCCGGAGACTTGTTCTTGAGCAGTATAGAATGCTTGTTGGGCTCCTAGCTGGAGTATGCCGCCAACATACATCATCACCAACCCCGTCTATCAAGCAAGGCTGTGTAAGCGCTCACAGGCTCACAGGGCACGCACGGTGCACATGGCACGTCCCCTCTAGCCATGCGGGCAACCAGGCTCCTCTATAAAAGCAAACTGCTCGACCGTTTGTGCCGAGTAGTAACACGTCGAGTGGGAAACCGTCGATGCATACTACTACAGTTATCGCACAGCCCTGTGCATGCGTCGACGGCATGGCCCCCGCCCTCCCGAGGCTCCGCCATAGATGACGGAGCATCTAAAAATAACTTTACGTGACGTGCTTCTGGTGAATGCCTGCCTGCCCCGACCACCTCCGCTCAGTCACGCTGCAGCTTGACGACTCATGACAGCGTTTGCGACCGTTATTCTGCGGTAGAGTTCCAGCCTGATTTTCTGGGCCAATTCGATGCTCTTTCATCCAGACCGTCAAGCTGTGGACTACTTCCCAACGGGGGACACCTCACAGCGGTTGGCAACTACCCTACATCCAAGTTGGCTGCAAGACCAAGGGGTTAGGGAAGAAGACGACCGGAAGACTTGGCACAAGGTGGCTTCAAACACGGTCCACAAACACAAATCCCCCTTGCCATCTATCGACGCCAAAGTGCCATGTCACTCGCGGTTCCTTGAAACTAGATTCTATGTTACAATTTATTACAAATTCTCTCCGCCATTTGCCGCCTTCAAATATCAAGTATTTTCCATGCCACCAACGCCACCGACGCAGACTGCCATGCGGGAGCCATGCCTTCCACAAGTTCACGAGCGTTCGGATCCGCATCCTGGCCGAGGTGCAAATATATGACTACATATACCCATATTCCTTGCTGCTGCGTTTAGGCTCTGCGTTTATGGAAGCCTTTTTTTCTAGATCCCTGATTATTTAGTTAACCTTTTTAATTTCCTTAAGGTTAAGATTTATAGCAGAAATTAGGATTTTTGGCCTCGAGGCAAGTATTCCTTCTGCTATAAATCTTGATCTTAAAAAGGATCAAGAAAATTAACCAGATAATCAGGGATCTAGAAAAGAAGGCTTCCATAAACGCAGAGCCTAAACGCGGCAGCAAGGAAGCTGCTAAAAGACCCTGCCACAACACAACTAATCATGAGTCCCTGCTTCCACACATCTCCCACAAGCACTGCGACCGGTCACCTGCTGACATCGCCCACAGCTATCAACAATTAAACTATCAAACAACAAGAGACCACAAACATGGCCAAAAATGACAAGAAGCCCAACACAAGTGTTGGATTATAGATAGCTGTGGGCCATGTCGGCAAGTGCTTGCGGGAGATGTGTGGAAGCAGGGACTCACGATTGGTTGTGCTGGGTCTTCATAGTAAAAGAGGCAGATGACTGGGATGGAGCAGAACAGGATTGACTTGGAATACGGACGAGGGCAGACCTCGTAGATATACTACGTGTGTGGGCATTTAAGTTTTTAGCGTAACCCGGCGTGAGTCACGGGCGTAAAGTTAATAGGTTTATGGTTTGCTTCCATAATAACGGTGGCTGAGGCTATCGCGAGATGATGGCCTTGGCTAGCGGGCCGTGGCGCGGCACCCATTGCGCTGGTACGTCTGACGCGTCACGATGCGTGTACAGACGGTCTATTTTTCCAATTATCTAATTTTACGCTTACACGATACTCGTATCATGCTTGTAATTCCACTCGACTACAGAGCGAAACAATACTCCCCGTTAACATACAATACCCATATTCTCCTTCTGCCCAGCCATCTGCAAGAGCAGCCGAGCGCATCTGCCAGCCCCACAGAGAACATCTTCTCCACGGTCAAGAATGAGTCCCACGCTCTGCCAATTCTCAGACTGCACGGCATGACAAGCCGCCTTCATGCCGTATCTGTCAGAAATGGCCAAGCTCGCCCCCCTATCAAGTAGCGTCTCCATGACCTGAATCCTCGCCTCCGCGGCGGCATACATGAGTGGTGTTTTGCCCTGCACATCCTGGGTGTCGACGCGCGCGCCAGAATCAAGCAGCATCTCGACCTGCATCGCATGCCCATACTCGGCCGCCCAAGACAGCGCAGTTCGTCCCCTGGCATCCGCGACGTCCGGACAGATGCGCAGCTCCAGCAAGGCCTTCATCAGACCCGTACCGCGGCTCCTGAGCGCCTTTGTAAACGCGAAACCACCGTTCAACTCGTAAATCTCTTCGCTCGCCCCGTGTTCAAGCAGCACCTCCACCATCTGCATGTTCCCAACCTGGATCGCCTCGAGAAGCGGCGTGGACCGCGTCACCGACGCCGCGTTCACGTCCACCCTGCCCGACGCGAGCAGAACCCGCACCAGGCCGAGGTTGTCCTTCCTGGCGGCGAGGTGAAGCGCCGTCTCCCCGTAGCGATTGCGCCTCGCCGGATCCCCGCCGCGAGCCATCAAGAAGACGACGGCCTCGTCGTGCGCCGCCCCGGCCGACAGCACGACCGGCGTGCTCCCGTCCCGGCTGAACCGGTTATTGGCGTCCGCGCCCGCCTCCACGAGCAGCCTGACCATGTCGAGGTTCCCGCCCCGGCACGCCGTCATGAGCGGCGTCTCGCGGTCGGTCCTCCTCGACGCCTCGGCGTCGGCGCCGTACGCGACCGCCCTCCGCGCCGTCCGCAGACACGCCCTCTCCACAGCCCAGTTGAGAATATCGTTGACGTCCCCGGGCTCCGGGTGCCGGAAGAGCTCCTCCTCCACCAGGGCGATGTGGAGCGCCGCGCAGGTCCTGTAGAGGGCCGCCTTGTCCCCTGCCAAGGGGAGCTGCCGGACAATCATGCAGACGATTTCTGGCGGGAGGCAGGCCAGGTGGGCGCTTTTGCCCTGCCGCGGGCGAACCCAGCTGCCGCGAGGGAGGCCGCATGCCATGGCGAGTGAGTATTTTCAACGAACACGTTCGGGAACCAGGTGGGAGACATCGTGGCCGGAAAAGACGGCGTGGGAGTCGAACCAGTGTATCTAATACAGTCGTAGCTGGCGTCTGCGGGAGGAAAAGAAAAGTACAAAAAGCACAGCACATCAAGGTGATGCCGGGCACAAAGGGACCAACCAACCAAGCAGATACACGCGCCTGCACGATGCCCAACCAACTTGCCTAGCGAGAGTAGGAGATTCGTCACAGCTTGTAGGGCCTGCGTGCTATTTTGAGGCCGTGAGAAGACAACAAACGAGCCGCCACCTGCCCAAAACGCGTTTCGACGAGGTCCTGTAGAAACTCGAAACCGCATCGCTCTGACCTACCTTCTCCCCCCCTTTGCCATTCTAGTGGTTGCGAAATGGCCGGGTGGCAGTCGAATAGAATAAACGGCTGTGTGGCCCATGTTCCAGGCAGCCGGCGCGGAGTGGCTGCTCTCTGGGCACGGAATGCTCGATGCTCTGTTCCAAATACAGCCCTGACACCGAACCAACAAGCACAGATCACTCACATAGCCAAGCAAGGAAAACCACATGCATCGTGTGCCAAGGGAAACACGGCCCGTCATCACCCGTCTCGAGCCGCACCAATAGTACGCATGAATAACTCCATAGTTCCTATTCCTGTGCTTTTCGCCCGTCAGGCGAGCTATCTACCAAACGCCGTGCGCCTGCAACATGACCCTGGTATAGTGAACCTCGCAATGGCCCGGGATAAAAATAAAACAAAACTTTCAGAAAATAAAAATAAAACCAACCAACCCCCCTTCCAACCCCCCCCGTATTCGTTGTGTCACGGTGGTGAGGCAGCACTCATCGTGGGGGCGCTGTAATTACCAAAGCCGCCGTGTTCCGCTGCGCCGTTGTCCGCCTTCATCGTACCGTTAAGCAAGGGGCATAACCTTGTTGCAGAGCTGTTAGCAACCTCTTCATGAACAAGAAACAAACAAAAAGTTGTTGTGCGTGATGGCCATATTGATGACGCGACAAAATGAGCCCTGAAAACAAAAGTGACGGCTGTGCGACACTGTCACGGCCGGCAACTTCCGTAGTTGAACTTGGGACGAGCTTTCGCCTTTTCTTCCTTCTTCCTCTGGTTCTCTTCTTCGCGTTCGAGACGGAGTCTGCGCCTTTCTTCTCTCTCTTCTTGCGCTTTGCGCCGCTGCTCGTTTTCTTGTCGTTGTTTGTCGGCGCGGAGCTCTTCCTGACGTCTCTTCTTTCCTTCCCTGGCTTGGTCTTCTTGTCGTCTTGCCTCCTCTCGCAGTCGGGTGTCCTCTATTTTCTTCTGCTCACGCTCTCGTTGAACTTTCAACTTCTCCGCCATGTTTTCCTCCTTTCTCACTTTCCGGGCAGTCGCCCTCTCCTCAATTTGACGCCGCTTCTCTCTTTCTCGGGCTTCGCGATTCGATGACTTCATCAAGCGATGCAAGACGCTCTTCCTCCTGGCTTGCTTCTTGGTCGGGACTGCCTGACCCTCCTTGTGCGATGCAGCGCCCCACCAATCAAAAGATGGATATAAAGGAGGGGAAACTGGGGGTGTCATACTTCTTGTTTGTTTTGATATGTCCAACTTGTCCGCAGTTGGCACACTTGCGAGTTGTACCAGTGGGCACCTTGTCGACAGCGCCAGGTGATCCGGCTTCGCCAGCGCTGGCTTTTTGGTGGAGCTCTTTTTGCTGTTCTCGGGCCTGTCGTCGAGCCTTGTTCTTTTCGAGTCGTTCGAGCTCCTTTTTGATTCTGTAGCAAGTTGCGCGTAAGTACACCATCTTTGCTGTGACAAGGTGGCAAGTCACTCATCTACATACCTAATGCCTGCAAGACGGTCATGATCGGCATTGCCCGTAGGCCGGGAGCTGTAGATGCTGTGGATAGATATACGTAAGCAGGTGCTCGGAATTCCAATCCAATTACATCAGCAACAGCACCTGGAGACGGCGCTTGTCGTCTCTCGGGGCTGAGATGCATGTCACCTAGGCATGCCCACTTGTGAAGTGCCTTGACACCTAACGGCAGCCTCTTCCAAACTAGAGGGGGTCTCCCACGCCGCCTGCGTCTAATAATATTGAACACGTACTCCTTAAGTTCCAAGTCTGCCTCAGTTCGCCGCTTCATATACTGCGAAATGACAACGGGATCGTGGACGACCTCGGTTCGTGTCTGAGTGGTTCCATCTTGAAGGCGGACCTCTCTTGTAATACAGATGGCTTTTTTCACGTGACGACTAGCCGATGTAAAGCCACTAATTTGACTGGTGCCATCGTCGAATTGTGCTGGGGTTGCGGCGGCGTGAACGTTGAATCTGTCATCCTCGTCTTCTGTGACCGCCACATCCTTGTCATCGTGCTCTTGGGCGTCGGAAAGTGTCGACTTTTGCTTCTCCCAAATCTCCTTGATACCCTCCTCATACATTGCTTGCTGTTTCTTGACATTGTAGGCGTGGCCGCCATTAGCGCGCTTCTCACGTTCCATGGCGTCAGCCGACGTCGCCAGCGGACCTTGAACGGCCTCTATGTACCCGCCCTTCATGGACGTTCGGATGAAACTGAAGCCAAGACCATGTCCTGTTGGGTCACCTTCACCATGCAACTGAAGCATGGCCTTCTGGGCACAGGCATCAATGAAGGCTTTTGTAGTTTTCCAAGGCGCCATCTTGTCAGCAAGGGTCTCTTCCTGCTTCTCGCCAGGCTTCTTGGCACCCTTTGGTGCCTTGCTTCCTCCCTCGTCATCGTCTTCGTCTTCAGCATCGACGTCCATGACATCATCATCAATGTTGGCGTTTCGGGGATCGTAGCCAGCGTCCTCGAGCTCCTTTATACCCAGTTGCATGGCATCCAGAAGACTTACCTCCTCAGGCTTGATCATGGCGCGAATCGCATTCTCGTCGGGCAACATCTCGTTTGGCTTCAAGCGCCACATGCCCTTTTCACCACTCTCCCTATCATATTGTAGGAATTCCTTGAGCTTTTGCCTGTTTTGAGTGTCGGTGGAGTCTGCTATGTGCTTTGTAATGTCTGATAGCTGGCAGTTGTCTGTCTGGCTATGCCTGATCATCCGGAAAGCCAGCATCTTCATTCTGTTCTTGGACGCATTCGTGACACGTCTACTATGGGGACCGGGAACATCCACGGAAGGAAAAGTCTGGCCAACAACGTGTAGGTGGTCGATCTTGTGTAGATGCCATTTCGAACCCTCTACGCCTGTTGTGCTTCGGACGACCAGAAAATCGGTGCCCCGTGGCATGTGCTTGAACACGGGCGCCCTATACATTTCATTATGCAGTGTAGGTACGGTTTCACCTGAATCAACGGTTCCAAACAGCGAAAAAGGTGATCGATCTTCCGGCAGCAGCATACGATATTCGCCCAACTCCTGCTTGGGCAGCTGATCATCCTCATTGTTGTCCTTGCGCCGATAGTAATTGATCAGTTTGCTACCCATGCCGAAGTTGTTCAAGACTCGAGGTCTGGGTTCACAGTATTCGAATAGCACAGCTGTTGAGTTGTCGCTAAGGCTGAGATCCTTGGATAGACGATACACTTCATGAGCCTTGCCCTTCATCATCTTGCGCTTGTGATGCTGAGGCTTGTCGAACTTGATGACATGCCCAGAGAACTTCTTGTAACGGAAGCGCGGGCGGTGATACTCGTCTGTGGTGCCACCGAGCTTGACCTTGTAGTACGGCCACGACAGCTTGATGGCAGGCATACTGTGCTCCACAGAAATATTGCCCAGAGTAGCGCGGACTTTGCTCTGGTGGTTTTCCTTGAGCAGCTCATACGCTTCATCGTTTGAGAGATTGAAGCGCTGCGAAATATCCCGGCCCATATTGCCATTCGCCATGCGTTTAACCTTTGAATCCAGCCGAGGTCGTTTTGCACGGAGATGCATGTCAGTGTCGAGCAGCAGGTGCGGGTCGTTCATGTCTAGGTGAACACGCTTGGCGCCTCGTCGAGTCACATCTTCAAAGTTATCAAACGTAGAAGCAGCATATCGAGGTATTTCTGGCAGTCCAAATTTGACTGCTCTCCTTTTCTTGGGCTGTTGGGGTTGCTCATCCATTGTATCCATCAGAAACTCGGCATCCCACTCATCATCGTGATCCTCAACTAGCTTCTTTGGTTTAAGGAGTTCCTTTTCAGCAGCGACACGTTTCTTGAACTCCGTCTCGACTGCGTTAATTTGGTCGCCCCAATCCTGGCATGCTAGATCAATATCTTGCAATGTGAATCCCACAACAGTTTCGGAATCTGATTCCTGGTCCAAGTCAAAATGTGATCTATCCTCCTCTTGGTTTGACCCATTATTTTCGCATCGAACAAAACCGGCGAGCGACGATTCCAGGGCCCGGTGATTCGGTCCAGAAGTCGCAGTTCCCGGAATTCGAAACATCTTCTCTTGATCCGCAGCGAGGTCGAGGTTCAGCTTACTAGTAACCAGATGCTTGGGTTTCTTTAGCGGCTTCTTCTCCTTCCATGTTGCCTTCTTCGGTGGCAGAAGTTCACTCCACGTCAATACACGCCCCTTCTTGAATGCAGGCCATGCAGCTTTCAGCAAGTCTTCGTGTGATTCCACAACGGCTGGAATATCGGGATCTTGATTCGCAGCTCCGTTCAGGTGGGGATCAGGGTCGAAGTTGATGGCTGCGAAACTAAGGCTCGAGTCAATAGGGTGAGAGTCATCAGCAGTGTCTGTGTCGCGGACGCGGGGACCTGGCGATGGTGGTCCTAAAATGGGGTCTGTCGGAGAAGAGGGCCCTTCTCCAAACAAATCGTCGGCATCGTTGCTGGTACCTCCGTCATCAGTCAGTGCCGGAAGCTCCAACGAGGTGCTGGCGCTCGGCTCCTCGTCTGGCAGATCATCATCACTGATGTCTTCGAAATCTTGGGCATCATCGGCCTTGTTGGATTGATCGAACGGAGTATCATCGAGCTTCAAGGAGCTGTTGCCGCCTTCTTGGCTCTGCTCTAGTAGTCGAGCGATTTCGCGATCATCAGCAGCATCTTGTGCCTTCCAAGCGTTCTCGTCAAAGGACGAGAACTCTGTGTCGTCGGCCATGATGTTTTCGGTCGCGCGTACTCTTGTAGAGCTTCCTCCGGAGGGGTGGCGCGCACCAGAGCGCCTAAAACATGCTTTGTTGAGTAGAAAATTTCAAACGCGACGGTTTAGGCTGAAGTTCAATGAGAGGGGACAGGAATGGCGAGGAATGCGACGGTTTTGAATTTGGCGCCCTTCACGGTTGCACAGCTGAGGTTGGAAGACGGAGAGAGAGTTGGGGGTTGTCGGCATTCATGCTGAGTCAGCATGCACCACGTGATGGCTCGATCCGTAAATCACGGCAAAGGTATGTACAAAATACAAAATCATATGGCTATCGTTTTAAGCGTCTAAGAAAACTGATGGTAGATCTGTGAGCATCGCTATTGCATATCAGGATTCTATCGGGGAGGTTTGCGTTTTCCACTTGAGTGAGTAGAGAGATTCTTTACAAGGACATCGCACAACCCAAGTTGCCAACGCTCGGCCGAAATGGTATAAAAGTACCGTGCTCCATAGGAAATATTTTAGGCGGAAAGTACAACGGCAGGCATAATATATTTGCACCCAAATTTTTTTTCTCAAGGGTGATGCATGGGGCTTTATTACTCGTATTGCAATACATCTAATGTCTATTGTTGTCAATGACAAACTCCAAAACTGTTGTCGTCTGGAATCCCTGTAAACGCTGTCCCAGCGGTGCCGACGCTCAGCAACGCAAAATACTATATATCTGGAAGAAGAAGAAAAAAACGCCGACATCTCTAATGCCGCTGGGTATCATTTGACCACAACCTGTCATCAAGAATCGTACAAATGCTACCAACAAAGGCGAGCTTGTTGAAGCGGAACAAACAGAGCTGTCGCATCACAGCTTAGGCAAGGCAGATGGCAGCGATGACACAAACCACAGCGGGCCACAGGCCAGCAGCTTCAACCAAACTTTTCATGCCAACACCAACACCAGCGCCTTCATCTGGACCATCCACAGTGGTGCCGTTGGGAAGGGTTCCATTGACGAGGAGCGTCTTTTGACCTTTGTAATCCCCGACGTTGATGATAGACTTGTTGAGAGCATCGTAAGTGCCGTTGCCGACAAGTTCTGTCATTGTGCTGTTGTTCTCATCACAGCCGCATACTTCATACGTGCCACAAGCGCAAACAACAGGAAGACTCTCTTCTTTGTTGGTGGTGGCGTTGTGGAAGACATAGTGGTTATGGTAAGGGTATAGATACGCCCCGTAAAGCCAACGGCCAGGCCAGAAGAGGAGAGCTCCGGCCGCAAGGCCAATAGCAGCACCACCGAGGGGTGAAATGCCACCAGATCTGTAGGGCCTTGCCGCACCTCCGCCGTAGTAGGAACCGCCGCCAAATGCACGTGGAGGTCCCGAACCTCCCCGCGAGGTGCCACCAGCATTGGAGCCAGGGGCGGTATTTCCACGCCTGAAGCAGCAATGGTAAGTATCTCAGCCGTGGTAGCGATTCGTTGGGGTACAGCACTTACGATCCACCACCTGAGCCGGAGCCACGACTACCACTGCCGCTGCTCCCACTGCTTCCACTACTGCCTCCTCGCGAGCCGCCGCTGCTTCCGCCACTACTTCCGCCACTACTTCCGCCACTACTTCCTCCTCGACCGCCGCCGCCGCCACCACCTTTTCGCTTGAACAAGTCGTCGCCTTGCGTGACGTCTTCTATTCTAACGGCATGTCGAGGTTCAATAACGTTTGCGGCAGTACTGGACAGCAGTATCGCTGCAAGGAATGTGAAGTCGAACCGCATGTTGAGTGTATATATGGGTGGGTCACAAGATGCGACCGATTGCCGGGGGCAAATGCCAGCGAAGGTTGACTTGGAGGCCCACGCAGACGTATGTATGCAGGGTCTAGAGGGAAATAAAAAGCGACCGCACTGGGTTTCTCGGGTTGTCGGGTCGTCAGTGATGATGCAAAAGTGTATTGTGACAAAATGCTGATTGCTGCAAAGAGTACGGAGTGCAAACTGTGGATAAAGAAATGTGAATTTGAGGCAGCCAGGGGAGGCCAGTGCCTTTAATAGCAAAGCAATGATTTTAGTCTGGGTAAGATGGGGAAGGAGTAATGGGACTAGCGAGCGTGTTGTCTTGGCGTTGGTTTGATGTTCCTCACTCCGACAAGCCGGAACGATGAATGCACCCTCGCTGTGGCGTCCTCTGGACGTCATCAATTGCCATTTGGATGCTCTCGATCCGCCAACAGTGGCTGAACAGGGGCTGACTGGGGCACATGCATGCATGTGCAACATCCGTGCCGCTGAACACTGGGACGCACAATGGTGTGGCTGGTACGCATTTCATTTTGCACTCTGGTTGATTTGAGCAAACATTGAAAGGACTGGAGTACGGAGTACGTGTGCAAGGATCCGGATGGTGGGCTCCGTCACAACTGGCCGCATCATGACTTTATTCCTTTACCAAAGCGACATCCATATTTTGTGGCCCCAGGCCTTTTGTGTTGTTTGCAACCACAAAATGACTGGCGATCGAAGTCCTTTGTGCGTAGTCCCCGCTCTGAATTTAAAAGTATCCAGGGTCTTGCCAAGACGGACGAAATCTTTAATCAAGCGCACAAAGTACCTAGCATCCTGACATGCTTACCAAAATACGGAGTACGGAGTACTCGAACAATGAATGAACAGACGGCCATGTTCAGTCCAGCGCCTGCGCCCTGGCGCTGCACCTCATCGCTTTGGAATCTTCCATTTGTTCTGCAGAATCGCGCACTCCACATGGCTCAAGGTTGTGAGGCGCAGCCTACATAAGCTCAGTGCCTTGGGGAGAGCCTCACCCCAGCAAACCTGCATGTGGCCGTACTCGGCACCGAAGACGACATTGGACCTGACCGTCACAAGCCATTCGCCATCACCAAGGTGTCTGGACTCGCTGCCTAGTGGGCATCGCAAAACCCGTGATCTGCTTCGCCTGCGGCTAGGCACCACCGGGCGTTTGACTGAGGAAACAACGTTTTAATGACCATCACTAGGACGTCTGGATGAGCCACCTATGGAGGGCTCATGTAGCTGTCGAAGGCGCGATCGGTTTCGACGCTACTTGGATTGTGCCACGGCTTCAATCTCTTGCACAGCGACTGTGATCATGCAGGCTACAAGAAAGAGCAACAAAGCATAGATGCGACAAAATGCACTCAATTTGCCAATGTGGCCAAAAGTCACAAGCACTCTGGCAACATACAAAATCTCGTCGCATCACAAGCCTCACTCGCGCCAGACAACTTGGACTGACTCCTGGGTCGTTAAGCCGAGAGCCGAGCGCCGAGCGCCGAGCACCGACTTACACCAATTCGTCTTCCAAAGCCACCTGCGATGCCGCTCTGCCATGATTCACACTTGACCAATCGAACAAGGAACGAACCGTGCCGATTTATCCTCCGCATTCAAAAACATGCTGTAGAATGCCAGCAGCATATTGTGCCGCCGCCCTCAAATGACATCTGTTCCTGAACCCAGCCGCCTCGACGGCGCTCAAGGGAGTGCTCCACGTCGTCGCAACGGCCGTCAGCAGGCGTGTGAACCATGTCGCAAGCGCAAGGTAGCGTGCGACCATCAATTGCCCGTCTGTTCGAGGTGCCGGCGCGGAAATATCATGGACTCGTGTATATACGTCATTGACCAGCCGCCGCAAAAGCGGCTCAAGTTCACGCCCCCTGCTTCGCCCTCACCACGCCTTGCCACGCAGCCGCCGACTGGGCTCCCGCGCGACTTCTCACCTCAGCCTGACAATAACGTGGGATATCTGGGGGCCACCAGCTTTTCCGCCGTCTTCCAGGATACCCAGACTGTCTTGCCGCAGAGCGCACAAACTCCGGAGCAAGCCGAGGACCTGCCGTTTGCCCTGTTCGAGGAACACCCGTCCTCTAGGTCACTGAGCATTCTGCGGTCCATCCCTGATCGTGCGACCTGCAGTGCCTTGTTTAAGCTTTATGTAAATCCAATTGACGGCTGGTGTCGGCTTGCGGCACAGATATTGAACGAGAGCCTATGGATCACGTTTGGCCATGTGCTCGAGGGCACGAGGACGCAGGACAACCTGACAACCATGGCTAGGATTCTGTGTCGGAACAGCTCGATACCACTCCGGGAAGAGCACACAGATCCAATCGCGTGGCTGCGGTCATTTTCCGGCCAAAAGATGCGGTGGGAGTCGCTTGGGCTCCTGTTTTGCTACTGGGCACTGGGCACAAAATCGCTCCCCGAGAATGCTGAGCTCCGCGAGACCCAGCAACTGCGTGATACTGATCGACGGAGACTGCTCAATAAGTATACGCTCGGTGCGGGCATGTGCGTGGATATATGCAAGAACGGCTCCACGGCCAACTCAATGCTTGCGATCCTACTGTACAGATACGGCATTATTCAGTCCATCATCAGCGGCGATGCAAGTACGTCTGTTTTTTTCCTCTCCACGCTTTTCACCACCATGTAAGCTAACTCACCAATAGGCATTCAGTTCTGGAGAATCCACGGAGAGCTTGCCGCTCTGACCAGCTTCCTTGGTTTACACGTCACGCCGCCTTCCATGATCAATGACCACTCCATCAGCTCGGAGATGAAGCGTCGGCTTTACAGCATGATCTTCAAGAGCGACAAAGTCGTTGCTACATTTACCGGCCGGCCTCCGCTCATTGGCAGCAGGTTTGCCACGACACCACTGCCGCTAGATGTCAGCGACGAGGAGTTGCTAAACAGCGACGGCAACTCGCTGGCCAACAGTCCCAATGTTGACGAGCACGGGTGGAACAACAGGGGCAAGATTTTCTCCGGGACCATGATGAGAGCCAAGATGATACTGACTCTGATCAAGGAGCAGATTTTGGAAATCGCGCTCCAGATCACGCCGAGTGGTGATACAGACCAAGTCTTGTAAGTGGCGGTCGTGTACCCATCGGCATGTCCTCCCGGCTAACTCCAGCACCAGAATCGACTTGCGGAGGAGAGAGTTGGAGGCCCTAGACCGGTTCCCCAAAGTCCTCATCTACCGCGACACGGATATAAATGATCCAGACACGGACGGGCCTACCCTGTACTCCCGCGTCATGATCCGCCTCGACCACCTCCAAAACATGTTCTTCATCGAGCGTCTCCTCAGCAAAGGCAGCTCCATGCTCGGCTCCGAAATCATCGACATCAGCTTCGAAATGATTTCTCTGACACTCATATTCTGGACGCACCAGGAAAAGTTATTCGGCGTGTCGGGCGACTCCGAATGGCTACTGATGTGCTACGCCGCGCCGGCCGCCGGTATTCTTTGCATGGAATTACTCCGTGGTCGGAGCTCAGTAGCAACCACCCCGAGCCGCAGTAGTAGCACAAACCCCCCCATTACGAGGTCGCGCTTGATCCAGCAACTCAGTCTGCTGGTTGGATTTCTGGACTGGGTTGGTCCCATGGCTCCCAACACGGAGAGCTGCAGCAGTGTGAAGAAGGCGGTGCGGCACGTTTTGGACCAGGCTTTGAATGAGGGCGCGCCGCAGGTCACCGCGCCGATGGACTGGGTTGGCGATTTTGGAGTCGGGTTTTCTGGAGACATGAATGACTTTTTCAACTTTGAACTTTTGCACACCTTTGATTGGTTGCGGCCCGATGGGCAGTGATTGGAGTTGGAGAGAACGATACCATGATGAGTGATGAGACCAGGTTTGTGTTATTCATTAGACTTTGGATTATTTTGTAGAGAAATTATTGCCAAGCCGTGCCTATATGTAGTGGTGATGCCATGGATGTAAATGTAAGGCTGCAGATGGACTTCAGATGTCAATCCCCACTCCATGTTGCGCATTTTCACTCAGACGTGTGGCTGCGCAACCTTGAACCTACTCACCTGACCTGCTACTCACCTCATCTCAAACGACAGCCCGTAGCCTTCACAAAAGGCAAAAAAGTCTCGTCTACAGACGCTAGGAGGGTTATTCCAAGGCGCATCCAGGGTGCTAACAAGTCCAAATGTCTGATGACGTCGATAACTCGCTCCTCTCCAGGCTTCAAGCCCTCCGCGGTGAGGGCGGTTCGCCCAAAATCCCAGCATCAAATCCGTACGGCACATCCCCCCTCGCCCATTTCAATAGTGTCAAAATGCGGATCACTAACGGCCATAGTATAAAATTCGACGTCATTGAGCGAGCCAAGACGCCAACAAAGGGGGATATGCTCGCCGCCCGGCTCAAGAATCTCCGCAGCCAGGCAGATGGACCTATCTCGCCAGCGTCTGCCAAAACCACAGAGCGGACCACAGCACAAACAGCAGATGCGCCAGGTTCAAAAAAGACCCCAACCAGCGAGGACGATGTAGACGCCCTCTTTGAAACAGACGACAGGGCACTAGAGGAGATGCTCGCGGACCTTGACAACCCTGACACCCCCGAACCCGAGTCCAAGGACGAACATGTTCAAGCCCTCCTGGAGCAATTATCAGCCCAAATACCCAAGGACTCCGACGACAACAAGGCAAAGCAAGCAGCCAACTCGGATGACTCGGACGGGGAGCAAATGGCACAAGAGGTGGACGACGTACTTGCCCGTCTCAAAGACGAAATACAAGTCGAAGCGCAGGACGGCAAACAGCGCCAAGAACCACCACAAGGAGAGACAGACATTGCACTGCCGTCGGTCCCTGCAAACCCGGACCTCCCGCAAGACACGTCGCCCAAGCCCCGAGGACTAGACGACATCACCGCACGCATGGCCGCCCTCCTCGCCCCCACGGCACAAGACGACCTCCCCTCGGTGCCCACGTCAAAACCATCCAAGCGCGTAAACAGGCTGACGAGCAGGACAAGCTACACAGACGACGACGCCGACTCCTGGTGCACGGTGTGCCTGGAGGACGCCACGCTCCGGTGCCTAGGGTGCGACGGAGACGTCTACTGCGCCCGGTGCTGGAGGGAGATGCACGTCGGGCCGGCGGCCGCGTGGGACGAACGGAGCCACAAGGCGGTGCAGTTCACGAGGGACGGCGGCAAGGAGGGCAAGATTGCGCTGGGGGCCTAGCAGGATTTGCTGGAAACTACCGGACCGGACAGCACAAGACGGCCACCAGACGTCGCTCAAACCCGCCGCCGGCGCACTCGCCTGGACGGAACCCTCAAAGGGGCAATCTGCTGCTTGTAGAGCACGCGGGGCTTTTGTCCCGCCATGGCCGTCGTATAACCGCCGCCGATCTGTGTTTCTGTGCTTCTTGAACAGGCGGCCGGTTGTGTTATTACCCCCGGCCTCTCTATTCTACTGTACGTGGTCCGGGACGATACAGACTCCGCGATTATACTGGTGGGTGTAGCCAGGGGACGGAATGCCAGACTGGTCGAAGCGCGGCAGCACCCCGATCCATCTATGCGACCGGAAATTTGCGCAAAGCCGGCGATATGCTCGCCCGCCAGGTGTTGGCTCCAAATAGCGAGGGAAACGGCGGGACTCGTGTCTGTACATTTTGCTAGTGTATCTACTTTCACTGTACGCCAGATGGTCCTGGAACCATTTCATACCCGCAACTCGCAATGTAGTCTTGGACTCGTCGGACTCCTGGCGAGCCATTTCCTTCATGACAGGCTTCCCGCCATGGCTCCAGAAGTTGCGGCGCAGTAGTTGTACCGGCATACGCTCGTCGTCGTCGACACCCCCGAGGCCTGTAGTCTACGACAAAGGGCTGTTTATCAAGCAGACCAGGGCACAATACACTTACACACAAGAACATCAAGTTCTTGCCTTTCCAGGAAACAAAGCGATAAAACTGGCCGCGGCACAAGCTAGGGCTCAAAGGGCTCATCGAGCCTTGCTGCCTACATGACCATAATTCACAAAAGCTCCTACAGCGACTCCTGTCGTCCGCCACCAGTGCCAATAATAAATCAATTCAACTCCAGCTTGCCTATCTGTGCTTTCCCAAACCTAAAACGTATGCTGCCTAACCCTACTTCTTAAATTGAAAAAGAAAAAACAACAACCCAAAACTTCATTTACGCTCTCGAGTTGTCACTCCTCCCATTCCGAGTCGATCCATATGCTGGACTCCTACGCACATCCTCCCACGTGGCGTTGAGGCGTCTCCCCGTAGCAGCCAACAGGCCTTCCTCCTCGGCATCCTCGGCATCCTCATCCAGCTCGGCGATATTTACTCTTGGGCTGCGCACAATGGCTGTTGCGAACACGATCAAAAATACGGCCAAAAAGGCAAACTGGGCCCAGAAATCGACGATGCCAAAGAATGGCCACGTCATGGTAATGCGGTTCAGGAATGTAGACATGACGGATGGCGTGCAAATGTCCTTGGCGTGCTTGAAGTCGAGCTGCTCCGAGCAAGGACGCACAAGATCTGGCTGGCCTTTGCAAGAGGGCTGTGCGCCGGGGTACTCGGGCTTGTTGGAGCAGAATGTCTGCGTGCCATATATGGAGTACTGTGGCGCCATGAACATGCCGACGGCATAGTTGATGGCGAGGACGGCGAGCGTGAGCATGACGGTGGCGATGAGCAGTGCCTGGGGGGCAGTTCTGCCGCGGCGGATTTGGAAGATGCGGATCCAGAGGAAGCGGATGCCGACGGTGGCGATGCCCGAGATGGTGCTGCTAAAGAGAAAGAGGATCAACAGCGCCATGAGGACATAGTCGATAGGAAAGACGCGGGCGAGCTTGACAAAGACCCAGTTGAGGGGCTGGAAGATGTGAATGTTACCGAGGATGTAGCCGCAGCGTTGCTTGCATACCGAGTTTTTGGCCTTGTCGATGCCCGTGATGAGCATGGATACCCATATAAGCAGCGAGGTGGCCAGGAGAAGGATGCCGCAGAGCATCTTGAGTGGCCGCAATAGAGCACAGAGCCTGAGCCAAGCTTGATATACTCTGCTCTTGCCTTCGCCCTGTGCTTCGGCAGCAAGGCGTTCGCGACGCACCAGCGTCTGCTCTTCTCTAATGAGCGCATCAAGCTCACGACGGTCCTTGCGGGACATTCCGTCTTGGCGGCCGGAATTGCGCATCTCAAGCTGGCGCTGCCTTTCGCGGTTTTGCTCCAGCTGAGAAGCTGTGGTCGCGGAGAGCTGAGGCGCCGACATGGAGGGCGCGGATTTGATAAAGGCAATGGGCATCATGGCCAGGCCCGAACCCGTGTAGACGACGTACAGGAGAGTTCCCAATGTGATCAGCAGGCCCAGGGCAAAGGTAAGGGCCTTTTCTGCATGATTCCGCGCAATTAGATCCTTGAAGTAGTCCAAGTCCCAGTGTGCCTTGGACGAGTCCCCTGGAGACGGCATGAAGAAGCCCAGCAGGAACAGTACGACGACCAAGGCAACAAAGAACAATGTGTACTTGCACGCAGCCCAGAATCGGCTGTGCCATGTCCTTCCTTGCTCCTCAAACTCGATCTCGTCATACTCCTCGTACCAAAAGTAGGCGAAGGGAATGACGACCAGACATAGCAAGGCGTCGGCGCTATACAAGCAGTAGTAGACGATCTTGAGGGTAAGTAGGATGCTGTTCACTCTCTCGGGAGTGGCCCAATCCTTCTTGGCGCCTTGCGAGACGGAGTTGGTGGCGGAGACGAGGGCGATGTCGACGGGCAGCAGCAGGACGGTGGCGAGCAAGGAGGTGAGAGTGATGATGGCGACGATGCTTACCACGGCGGAACGGTCGCGCGGGGTCTGCCAGGTAAAGGTTGTGATGATGGCTGCAAGGAAGCAGAGGACGACGGCTATGGCGTATGTGGTCCAGATCAAGCTGGCTTGCACGAGACCTGCGTCAGCCATGGTGGACGGTCGGCATTGGTCTGGGCAGACGGCGTCGCGAAGTGGTTCACTGAATTGGTGGTCGGTTGATATGAATAGATGGCAGATGGGGGCTCGAGGGCGAAGCTGGACGCGAGATGCTGAAGCTGTTGAAGCCGAGCAAAGCGGGAGGCAAAACGGGCGTGACGCAACGTGGGTTGGCTTTAATGTTCGGGCTGTCGTGGAGCCTCGATGATGGAGACGTCATGGATACGAGACGGCAGCAAGGAACGGGAACGTGCAACCAGGCGACGGACGGGTAGACATTTCAGCCGGGGTTCTGGCGCCATGTGATTGGTTAAAGCTCACGCAGGTATTCTGGTACACCACTGTTCCATGCCTGGTTCTGGGTGCTTTCAGTGTTTGTTTCAGTGGAGCTTGCTGCATGTGCCCTGAGCCGAGACATGGCGAGCTGGCGGCGCAAGTGATTGCTGGGCAACTGGCATCCCATGTTTCGAGGTCAAAAATTCGGATGGTGCGAGGCGTTTGGGACTAGCATTTGCAGGTACAAGGCTATGCTAGTTGGGTCTGAGTATTTGAGCCAAGATGACATCTGGAGCATTGAGGACTGGAGCTATTCATTCATGTGCGGTTGGAGCTAGGCATGGCATGCGTGCAGTCCCTGCACCGTCGACAAGTTTGTGGGTGCTATTGACCGTCTACTTAGTACTTACGTAGCCCCCTGCTAATGCACGTGTGCACGCCAAGCAGGCACCACTTTATTGTTGCCGGCGCGGCTGCGAATTGATCCGCCCAAATCTCAGTGGATCGCGAAGCCTTTGTGCATCCATGCCTGGAGCTCACCAGAGTCACCACCGTGCGCAGCGCACCTTGAAATTCAGCCTTGGCTATTTGCGATCCTCGACATTGCCGCGCAAATACCGCCCATTGCCGCCGCTCCGAAGCCGCACATCCTCGCTCGACTCTCCGGAATCCGGCTGGCTTCATATTTAACTCGTCCGGATGCTGGGATAATGGTCTTGCGCCATGCAGGTGTACACCGAGCTCGTGCCTCCTTCGGCCGTCACACACTCCTTGAGCTTGCCATTGACTTCTGCCTCTGCCAATAACCTCGTCGTCGCCAAAGGCTCCCTTCTACAGATCTTTTCCACCAGATCAATCCCTGCCGAACTTGATCCTCAAGCCCAAGACGCGCAATCCTCCGTCAAAGAGGACCATGTACATTTCGACCGCCGCGCCAACGACGACGATGGCCTCGAATCTTCTTTTCTCGGCGGCGAGTCACTCATCGTTCGAGCCGACCCCTCCAACATTACCAAGCTTGTTCTCATCGCCGAGATTCCATTAGCAGGGACTGTCATTGGCCTGGCCAGAGTCAAAGTCAAGAATACACCATCCGGAGGTGAAGCCTTGCTCCTGGCTTACAAGGCCGCCAAAATGTGCCTGACAGAGTGGCATCCTCAGAGGCACACACTCGAAACCACATCCATTCATTATTACGAAAAGGACGAATTACAAGGCGCGCCATGGGAGATGCCCTTTGGCGACTATGTCAACTACCTCGAGGCTGATCCTGGCAGCAGATGTGTTGCTTTCAAATTTGGAAGCAGAAACCTGGCCATTTTGCCCTTTACCCAGAGCGAAGAGGATTTGGAAATGGACGATTGGGATGAAGACCTGGACGGGCCCCGTCCCGTCAAGGAGGAGCCACCTCTGACCAACGGAGACGGCCCGGGAGACCACGACTTGGTCAAATCAAGATACACTCCGTCATTTGTCCTGCGACTACCGCTTTTAGATCCATCGTTACTGCATCCTGTACACCTTGCCTTCTTGCACGAGTATAGGGAACCCACATTTGGCATTTTGTCCTCGATGCAGTCACCATCAGCCGCGCTTGGTATCAAGGACCACCTCACTTACAAGGTCTTTACTCTGGATCTGCAACAAAGGGCATCAACGACTATTCTGTCAGTCACGGGACTTCCACAAGACCTCTTCAGAGTCATGGCTCTTCCCGCCCCCATGGGAGGCGCCTTGCTCGTGGGCGAAAATGAGCTTATCCACATTGATCAGTCTGGCAAACCTAATGGCGTGGCTGTAAACGACATGGCAAAGCAAATGACATCATTCAGCCTAGTGGACCAATCTGAGTTGGGCCTGAGACTGGAGGGCTGTGCCGTTGAACTGTTGGCAAATGATATTGGTGAGCTGCTGTTGATTCTGAATGATGGGCGTCTAGCCATCGTTTGCTTCCACATCGACGGCCGCACCGTGTCTAAAATTTCCATCAGACTAGTAAGTGCTGAATACGGAGGGAATTTGATAAAAAGCCAAGTGTCTTGTATTTCGAAATTAGGCAGCAATACCCTTTTCTTGGGCAGTGAAAGCAATGACTCCATTGTGCTGGGCTGGTCGAGAAAACAGGGCCAAGAGAAGAGAAAGAAGTCGCGACTCTTGGACCCAGACCTTGCTTTGGATGTTGATGATCTCGACCTGGATGATGATGAAGACGATGATCTCTACGGGAACGACGCGAGCCTGGCCAAGCCAAGCCACACCATCAACGGGGGCTCCAAGCCGGGCGAAGTCAGCTTTCGCATCCAAGATGCCCTTTTGAGTATTGCACCCATTCGCGATGTTGCTTGTGGCGCTCCCGTATTGGTGCCCGACAGCGAGGAAGCAACCTTGTCGAAGGGCGTAACTGCAGAGTTGGAGTTGGCATGCGCCGTTGGGCGAGGGCCCAGCGGTTCAGTGGCAATCCTCAATAGAGAAATCCAACCCAAGGTCATTGGTAGATTTGATTTTCCGGAAGCACGAGGCTTTTGGACCATGTGCGCCAAGAAACCCTTGTCAAAGGGCGCAGCGGTAGCAAGCGACTTCGACACAACTGGACAATACGACAAGTACATGATCGTGGCCAAGGTTGATCTTGACGGCTATGAGACGTCGGATGTATATGCATTGACGGCGGCTGGGTTCGAGACGTTGAAAGACACCGAGTTCGAACCAGCTGCTGGATTTACTGTGGAGGCCGGAACAATGGGCAAGCAGATGCGAATCATTCAGGTTCTCAAATCCGAAGTCCGATGCTATGACGGGGGTATGTATTCCTCTTTTTTCTTTATTCTTTTTTTACAGCCGAGCATTGGGAAGTGCGGTGTGTGCTAATTTGAGCCAGATCTTGGATTGAGCCAAATCCTCCCCATGTTAGATGAAGACACAGGGGCGGAACCGCGAGCTACGAGTGCTAGCATAGTCGACCCATATCTGCTTCTGATTCGAGATGATAGTAGCATCTTTATCGCCCAAATACATAGCAACAACGAACTGGAGGAGGTTTTAAAGCCGGATGGAACCCTCAAGTCGACCAAATGGGCTTCAGGATGCCTGTACAATGATACACAGGGGATCTTCCAGAATAATGTCAACGAACAGCAAGCTGACGAGACGGATCGAATCATGATGTTTTTGCTTAGTTCAGTTGGTGCCTTGCATGTAAGTCTCTACATGAAGCTGATTCGGGTGCGTCGCTGACAGACGTAGGTTTACGCACTGCCTGATGTGTCCAGGCCTGTGTTTGTTGCAGAGGCTCTTACTTCGATCCCACCCTTCTTGTCGGCAGCCTTTGTAGCCAGAAAGGGGGCAAGCAAAGAGAGCATTACGGAAATTCTTGTGGCTGATTTGGGCGATGCCATTTCACAGACGCCATACCTGATTGTAAGTGTCTTGGAGTGATTCACATTCACATACTAACCATGTTAGGTACGACATGCTAGTGATGACTTGACCATCTACGAACCTGTACGATGTCAAGCAGAGGGCGACGCTGAGTTGTCAGCCTCTTTGCTCTTCAAAAAATGTGTCAACACATCACTTGCCAAGACGGCTCCAGAGGTATCCGAGGATGACGCAGAACCACCGCGATTCGTGCCACTGCGACGGTGTGCAAATGTGAATGGTTATGGCGCCGTCTTTCTTCCAAATGCCTCACCAAGTTTTGTGCTGAAGAGTAGTCACAGCGAGCCGCGGGTGATGGGCCTGCAAGGCTTGGGCGTTCGAGGAATGAGCACGTTCCACACTGAGGGTTGTGACCGAGGATTCATTTACGTCGACATGGAGGGCATTGCCCGAGTAACGCAGCTTCCAAGTAACGCCAACTTCACCGAATTAGGAGTTTCCGTCAAAAAGATAGCATTGGATGGTGATGTGGGCATGATTTCGTATCATCAACCTACGGGCACTTATGTGGTTGGCTGCACCAAGCTGGAGCAATTTGAACTTCCTCGAGACGATGATTATCACAAAGAATGGGCAAAGGAGACTAGCAACTTTCCGCCAACCATGGCACGAGGCATCCTGAAGCTCATTAACCCAGTAACATGGACGGTAATCCATGAGCTGGAGCTGGAACCTTGCGAATCGATTGAGAGCATGAAGACTCTACACCTTGAGGTGTCAGAAGAAACCAAGGAAAGGAAAATGCTCGTCGCTGTCGGCACAGCGCTGTCCAAGGGGGAGGATCTGCCAACCAGAGGACGAGTGCAGGTGTTTGACATTGTGACGGTGATTCCAGAACCAGGGCGGCCAGAGACAAACAAACGCCTCAAGCTAATCGCCAAGGAGGAAATACCCCGAGGCGGCGTGACGGCCTTGTCGGAAGTTGGGGCGCAGGGATTGATGCTCGTCGCCCAGGGCCAGAAGTGCATGGTCCGCGGTCTCAAGGAGGACGGATCTCTGTTGCCTGTAGCGTTTTTGGACATGAGCTGCCACGTAGCCAGCGTCAAGGAGCTCCCCGGGACCGGCCTCTGCGTCATGGCAGATGTGTTCAAGGGCCTGTGGTTCGCAGGGTACACCGAAGAGCCCTACACGTTCAAGATATTGGGCAAAAGCAGCGGCAAGCTGCCCCTCTTGGCGGCCGACTTCTTACCCGACGGCGAGGACTTGTCCATGGTGGCGGTCGATGCGGAGGGAGACTTGCACATCTTGGAGTTCAACCCGGAGCACCCCAAGTCGCTGCAGGGCCACCTGCTTCTGCACCGGACATCCTTTGCCGTCACACCAAACACACCCACATCGACACTTCTCCTGCCGCGAACCCACTCCCCATCCTATCCGCAGGCTTCTTCCTCGTCGTCACACATGCTTCTGCTGGCCTGTCCCTCGGGCCAGCTTGCCGCGCTCTCCCCCCTCGCCGAATCCACGTACCGGCGCTTATTGTCCGTCACGAATCAGTTGCACCCGGCGATTGTTCCCCACGGCGGTCTTCACACCAAAGCACACCGGTATCCAGACCCGTCCTCGGTAGCGGTGGGCGTGGAAACGGCAGCCTCGTCGGGCAGGGCCTTGGTCGACGGCACGGTATTAGCCAGATGGAGCGAGTTGGGGGCCGCAAAGCGGACAGACGTCGCGCTGCGAGGAGGCTACGACGGCGTCGCCGATTTACGCGACGACCTGGAAGGTGTGCTTGGGTGGTCTGCAATGGCGTACTTTTAGGGGTGTTCCGACCAAGACAAGGGGGTCAAGTGTAGATCGAATAGCAGCTGTTGACATTCACATCCTATCTATCCATCTATCTACTGACTTGACTAGATGCTAGCAATTCGTGGCAGTAGTCGTAAACATGAATCCAGTGACGCAGTTGACGGCGCTTGGCACCGTTGCACAAACCGTCGTCGTCTGCTGCACCACGTTGGTGGCCTTTGTACACCCGCACGGCAGCGTGAGAATCGCTGAACAACAAGTCAGTCAGTCTGTTCTAGCTCCTTCGGAAGACGGGATCCGAAACGTACCGTCGGCAATGCAGCCGCCCAAAGGATCGTACTGGCAGCCCATGGTCTTGTTCCCGTACCACGTGTGCGTGGTCGTGACGCCGCATTCCGAGAGGCCGGGCGTGGTATGAGGCGGGTTGGCGGTGGTGGGCGTTGTCGTCGGCGCCGGGCAGCCCGGGATGTCGGTGTGACTTGGCCGTGGCTTCGTGCCGGGTGTGACGGCGGAGGCGGAGGCGAGGCAGCTATTTTGCGCTTGTTAGTCTATATGTAGGGGCGGTCGGTGGTTGTTGAGGCTGTCACGCACCCGAGGGCGAGGGCGAGGGCGATGGACTTCATTGTTGGGACTGGGAGGGGTAGAGTTGCTCTGTGTGGTTTGGGATACAGGGGAGCGAAGGGGGTTTATATATTGTCGTGACAGGGCTGGGATCGGGTGATCAGCATCTCGTATACATCCGAGCGCATGTGGCGTGAATAAGATTCCTTGAAGCTTAAGTTGGCGCGTGGGGGGCGTGGCTTGCAGTTACGAGGGAGCTGAAAGAGTCGAGTTGGTGTGAATCGGCGGCGCGGGCATTGCCGCTTTTACTCTAGACGCTGGGAGAGTTTGGTAGTTTCGCTAGGTTTATTAGTTTGGGGGTTGCCAACGTTATAACATCTCTTGGCGGGTGCGTTGCTTGATGGAGTTGCTTCATCTTGTCTTCCCGCTTGAGTTGTTGTAGTCTCAGTTGGCTACGCCGTCCTATATACGGCCTGACTGGTCTTGGTTCGACCGTTCCTGGAAAGTCCCCATGGGTGATGCCTAAAGTTAGGAGCTACAGAGAAATAACGGGATTGTCTTGTTTCGGACTGGGGCGCCGCATTGTGGTTAACGGCATATGCCTAGATTGGCAGAGGTCTCGGACTGGCGGGCATGGAGCACACTACTAACCCTAACCCGACTGCATGTGATGCAGACATCAGGGCTTTGTACCATTGCACTTGGCTCGTAGAAGCACCTGCAAAGAACTCTATATCTTGATTCCGGCTATTAAATTCCTTCCGTTTCTTTAGCCTTGTTATTCCCGCTGTGTGGTGTGTTGTGTGATGTAGTACCCGACCGAGCGGGCCACCCTCGGCCAGATGTTGAAATGCCAGTTATGCAACATCTCAGTTCCTATAGGCTTTGACCGACAGTTTATAACGGAATTTATTAACTTATTAGAAAGGAAATAATAGTATATTATAATATATTATAGTATATTATCTAGTCTGGTAGTATATAGCAGGATATATTAGTGGTAAATTATAGGGGGGGTGTCGGACCGTACAAGCTGTGTTGAACCGTACAGGAATTTCGGGCCGCCTAACAGACGGTGCAAAAGATGCTAAATAGTCCAGAAAAAGCAGGCTTTTATATATATTAACCAATCAAAAAGAGGGGGAAAAAAGGAAAATAAAAAGGAAGGAAGAAAAGTCAACAGCCTCACAAGCCACAGCTAGTCAAGAGGTCAAATTACAAGAAATTACAAAATTACCACTACAGCATATTACACATATTCACGTTAATCAGCAAGTAATTTTCATATATAAGTCTTTTACATAGATTAGACCGTGCCTATACCGTCCAGTAGCTTCCTGTACCGTCAGCAGCTTTCTGCACCGTTCAATAGCTGCCTGCACCGTTCAACAGCCCCCTGTACCGTGCCCGTACGGTCCGACACCCCCCCTATAATTTACTACTTATGTAGATAGACACCTGCTTTAGGTTACTACTTCTTGCCTCCGTTAGTCCACGAGGTCTTTTACATGTAAAACATAGGAAACTTGAGTGGACAGAAAAAAAAAAGATAAGTATCTTGCCGTTCCTCGTAGGCTCGTAACTTCCTAGTCCCCAACCATGCTGCATTGCGCCAATCACTCGGCAAAACTTCTACGCGATGAGTGTTCAATTCCCCAACCTCGGGCTCTATCCAACATCCGAGTCGTCTTATATAGGAGATGTCGTCTTGTGCACACTAGAGATTTGTCTAGGCGCCCCGTGCTTGTGCTTGTGCTTGTTTCCACAGCGCCGCCCTCAGGCTCTGTAAGAGGTCTGGAAGTTGGCGATTCATGTCCTGCTTTTCTTTGACTAACTTGCAGGCATCTCCAGCGCACATCTTATCGAGCTCGTCTTCAAGAACGCTTTTAATGCGCGGAGTTGCATTCACGATGGCCTTGTATAAGATCTTTTGAGGTTAGTATTCACTGTTTTGTCTTTCACAGGAGTTTGGAGTGCTTGAGCTCACTGCCTCTTTCGACTCCTGCTCTGCGATCTTCTTGTACCGCTTGGTGAGGATGTTGGAGTTGATGTGGACGCCAAACTTTTCCTGCATCCTTTCGGCTATGGCGTCGTATTTCTCCCCCATGTTCTTTCTCTCGACGAGGAAGGCGTTCATCTCCTCGGTCCACTTCGCGCCCTTGGTAGAATGGCCGGGACGGGATGGAGAGAGACATGGAGTGCCGATGTCCGAGGAGGCGACTTGAGGCTGCGAGGCCGGAGTCGATAAAAAGCTGTCATCTATGACGGCTTCTGGAGTATCGTTTGTAGAGTTGTACTGATCCGAGTCCGACATCAGGAACGCCGTCAGAGGGGTCATCTGCCCCTGTTCGGCCTGTTCGATCTGGTCGGAACAGAACAGGTCAAAGCTGTACTGGTTGAAGTCGAGCTCCTCGCGACAACCCCCTGCTTGACCATTGTAGTCTAGCCAGGAATTGGGCTCAAGCCCCGAGATGGATGGATGGAATCCATCGGGACGAGCATCGGTAGTTAAGGGATTACCCTCGACTCCGTTCCCGGAAGGGATATTCATGGTCTTTGCGACTCAAAAGTTTACTATTGTGTTGTCAGAGACCATAGTAAGAGAGAGGGAGAGCCAAGATGTGCATACTTGTATCTGGGTATACTCGTGTATATTCGGCCAAGGGCCGCTATTGCTTTATCTTGCTTGCTTCCTTGATCACTGTCTGACACGTATGTGTTCGTGGCGATGATTAGAAGTCTTGGGGAACAGAATGAGAACAGAGGACTGAACAACGAGGAATCAAGGTTAATATGCACTTTTGGCATTGGCTCCCTTGGGCTTTCTGCCTTGGCTTTCTTGCAGCTTTCTGCCCTGGCTTTCTTGTAGCTTTCTGCCTTCACGGGCACTCTGGCAGTCTGCCATGCTCGCTGACGGGCGGCCTCTCTGTGTACGTGCACTGAGCCCCCCATGTCGCTGGATTTCTGCCCAAGTCCTAGGTTGGCTGTTGGCTGTTGGCTCATGTAGTGTTACAGAGAATATGCAGGTCGAGATGCGGCGAGGTGCTCAGCCGGTCAGCCACCGCGCGGCCCGTGTGATGGCAGTCTGCCAACCCAAGGCGCAGGGCGATCTGCCAATTTGTGACTCGTTTCCATGGCTGTACGTTGTCAACTAAGGCTACCAAAAGTCAGTGGACTCGAGCCCCCCGAAAAAACCATTTTTTGGTTAAAAGACCTGGGATACCGGTCCTCTTCCCACAGGCATTCAAACCTCTTCTTCACCGACAACTCCGCCAACATCCAAGCTGTGGCATCACACATACTTGTTCCCGTCGACACTTCGACTACCACGCAAGCCACTTCCAACCACCAACATGTCAAGGAGCTCATACAACGGCACCATCTGCATTCGCCCCGACCGCGGTCTCCGCAGGGACAATACACAGCAGCCCGACAACCATACCGTCAGTCAACTCTCCATCAGCAAAGACGACTGTACTAACTGTGCGAACAGATTGTCAAGCAAGCATTTGCGAATTCCATGCCTCAAATAATGGCAATCATATGGGAGGAGATGGAAAAACTTCAACGAGATACCGACAACGGGCAATCGTCAGGTCTGGCACCTTGATGATTGCAAGAGTGGGAGGCTTGCATTTTGGGTTGGAGTCATGCTTTTCTACTGTATAGAGATATTCCGGAGAAGAGGAGAAAGAGAACATATTTACAATCACGATGTTATGATGCCCATACTCTGTTTTGATAATGTGGTGGTGGTGCTGCAGGGCGGCGGCCGGATTGAAGGCACCAGTCTACAGAGCCGTTCTGCCGCGGAAGGACACAATTTTCGTCGGAATTTCATTCATTAATTCTTTTTTCCTCTCTGTATGTTATTTCTTGATGGCTTTGCCTGGGTAGTGAGCATCTTGTTGGCAGAAGCCATTGCAAATGCACATATGCGGCGCCCCTAGCTTAACACCTGTGACCTTGCGACCCCGTCGTAACCTGTACATCTTCAAATGCCAAGGTGGTCCATGGCAAGTCAGATGAGATGGCCTTGGATGACTCCGTAAAGAAACGTAGGAATCCAGATTACACGAGCGGATCCGCTCCATTGCTCACGCGTCCGAATACATGACCCGTCTCAGGGTGGCTCAAGCCCAAGGACAATGGGAAGTCCTAGATGACGCTGCAGCTGCCAGAAGTCTTTTTTGTGACGAGTATTTTGGCTGACAGCCTTGGAGAGAGTAAACTCCTCTCTCCGCTCGTTTCATGTCCTGCATTGCAGGACTGGCTGCCCTCTCGGGGCATGTGGTCATGTCCTGTGACCATGACAGTTGCCATAAGGGGGCGTGTAATATGAGCGCCTGGAACAGTAGTTCTGTTCAGCGAGTAACTTGCGTTGTTATCAGGGTTTTGGAGCACATGACCTTTGTTTACACAGAGCAGCAATCAGCCCCTGAACATGGAAGTCCAAGGGGCCAACCAGGTCTCGAGCCTTTGTGTACCTATCGTTAGGTTCAAGGGTCGGTCCGTGCCGCAACGCTGCGTGACCTCTTGTGTAACAGCAGTGGTCAATCCCGTGTTCACTGAAAGAAAAGGGGCAGGATCTCCAAATGAGGGAGATTCTGGGCACCACGCGGCCAAGTTGGCGTTGACTTGAACAGACTACAGGCCATGTGTCTATGAACATAGTACGGAGTAGTAGATAACTACTTGATGCCAAACTCTTTGTCAAAAGACGAGGCTTCGTGCAAGAGCAGTTGTGTGTGGAACATGAACACGGGTCTGGACTCGCTGTTGCCTGTAAAATGTTTCAACGGCACTGCCAAAAGTGGAGGCCTCCTGCTAGAGAAGATATTTTTGGTAGGTCTTCTGCTTTTCCTTGCAACACAAAACATTAGCTGCCGTTGAAACGGCCAATAAGTATGGAGAAGGGAAAGGAGGAAATATGATGGGTGAAGCGGCATCTCTTGTACTTTACCCAGTTCCGCTGGCGGCCGGAAACTTTGATCCGCGGTTTCAACATTTCTTATTCAAAACGGCTTAAAAGCGGTTAATAACTGCCTGGGTCAAGCAGCATTGTCAGCGTCATCACCGTCTCTCCAACCTCCAGCAGCCCAGCGCCGTTTTTGCCGCCACAACTCGCGGCCCAGCTCGACCATCAAACTCCTCAAACATATCTTCAATGTTCTTCACCGGCTCATCTCCCCCGTTGGTCTCAAAATGTGTCGCTACCAAGGCAGGGATACCCAGCCTTGCTTTCACGTCCCCCACATCATTATTCAGAACTAAAAGGGCGATAACGGTAAGGAGAATACCCAGAACTGCTAACAGCAAGTTGGCAGCCACCAGGCAACCCAAAGGCGCCTTTGGCACCTTGGCCACGATCATTGAAGACCGTAACTGGGCTTCCACGGCAGGCCCCGGCTCGAGGGCAGCACCAGAAGCCGCCAGCGCTATCTCGCTGTACGTATGAGCGAACTTGCTGGCTATCTCCTGTGCACTGTGGCTCTGCCAAACATCGAGACTGGTACGCTGGAGGATGTACGTATCCCCAACGTGTGTGTATGCTTGTGTTCCCATGACGACGCTGGTGGTGGACGAGTTACTCTCCAGCACAGAGACTTGTGTGACCGTGCTGTTGGCGGAAGTGTATACCATATCAAATACAGTAGCATTGCACAATACGACAAAGAGCACAGAACCGTGTTCGCCGCTCTTAATCTCGGGATCGTGGATCAGGTCTTGATTCAGTCCCACGTTCTGATTTGCGCTCACCACGGCAGCAAAGTAATAAGGGTTGGACATTGGAGTTTTTTCCGGGATGGTATCCGACAAGGTCGAATTTGTGAAATATCCCATGTTCATGGAATTGATGAAAGTTGTGCTGATAGTTCCTTGCATGGCAAAATCGCAACTGTACTTCGCAGAAGGACCTGATATGGTGCTGGTCGCATTGAAACAGCGTGTAGTAATAGGTGCGCATTTAGTTTGGACTGCCAGCGATGTGGCCACGTAATCCACGCTGCTCTTCGAGAGGCTTACCGGAAGGCCAATGTACGCATACTGATTACCAGCATCGTCCGATACGGGTTGCACCATGCCCCTCGTCGAGATATTTGCCAGAAGATTTAGCGACTCCTCAGCATTCCATAGGAATGTTGTCGACCCGGCCGGGTTCAGGTCGCACTGGGCAGTAAAGCTCTCTGTTAAATTTGTGCAGTTCTGATGTAGTCCAAAGCTAGCATCATCGAATGACACTGGCTCGAACTGAGTGAGAGTTACGCTCTTGGTTGTGAAATGGAGCCATGAATCTGTGGCAAAGACTAGCGCGCTGTACCAGATGTAAGTTACGATGAGCCAAACTGTCAATGATTCGGTGACCTCATTTCTAGAGAATTCTCACCTGAGCAGTGAACTCAACATCAAGATCCATATCATGACGACGACAGACCTCGCAATCGGTGCTCTCTTTCGCCACTTTGCAATGTAGGAAATGCAATACCACACAGAGTTCAAGTACGAACTGCAAATCATCCGGAGCATCAATGACAACTGGTACGGGGTCAGAGTTCCGGACCCAGACCTGAGGGTATTGACCGCGGCCCGAATCATTTCCCGGGCAGCCGGAAACGACGCCAAGGATAGAATGTACGTCAAGGTGAGGGGAGCGATTGTGCTGGACCACGAGGCCAGCGCAGTCAATGTCGTAGCACTCAGGTTGACATAGATGACACTGTCATCGTTCTCGGAGGCTGCAGCTCCTTGAATGTCAGAAAGAGGGCTACTGGGATATACCCGGTTTCTAAAGACGAGCCCGAGCAAAATGGCGGACAGTACTACTAGAGGCACCGACGACAAGATAGATGCCAGCAGTATATCCTTTACTGAACCGCGAATGTGTGTGTTTGGGGCTGCCATTTTGTAGAACAATTGTTGCTTGAACTTCGTGCTGCATCGGAACAATGTAGGATGTGGATTGCCTTCTAAGTTGCAACGAGGGAATTTAGCTCGAGCTCGACTGGCCGTTGATATATACAAATGCTAAAACGCTCGATGCGCATCTCCTAAAGTCTAGATCAGCCTGACGTGTGCCACAAAGTGCCAGGTCTGTTCAGCTGCAGCCTGGCAAGAAAGCCTATTTCAGTGGCGACATATGCAGAACCGAGTATATGAAGGTAATGGCATTTCGCGAGAAACATGAACGGCAGACTTGGGACATGCCGACCTGTTGAGCTGATTATTTATCAGCGCCATAAGTGAGTACAAGAAGGAGTGACTTGGAGAAACGGCTACTATGGCTTCCAGATATATACCAGTTCCTGTGACCCTTCAAGATATGGTGAAGGCATGGAGGCCCATGCCTACGGCATTCTGCTAACTGCCAGATTTTCTTTGGCCTGAGAGCTGTCCGCTGTAGCGTGGCTTGCCCCCTGGTCTTGACAACATCTTTTGAGGGCAACCATTTCATGCTTCTGTATCCATGGCATCCCACTGTACAGAGGCACACGTCGACAGGCCAAGAACAAGAAGATGCAGTCCAACTGCACGACGGGACGGCAATGTGACAAAGTACCAGTTGCTGTTATCAAAACGGTTCGGCTTCCTTGGCGCTAAACGTATTGTGGCTGACTGAACAGCAACTATTTATAGGTAAAATGGATCCGAATTCTACAGCCTTACGGCCACCGTTGCGGCTGGACCTTGCATCATGGTGCGCTTACGCTTTCCGTGAATGCGTGCTGAATGCCGAGACACAAGAGCGAATGCAGGTGATTTCTAGACGCCACCAAACTCAGATTTTGCATGCTTGGCCAAACCCCGGGTGGTTCCATTCTTCCTCAGCCGTGAGGTCCATGTCACAGAGCGGGTAGATACGCCTCTCCTCTGGATGACCGGCCGATTGTTCCTCAAGATTCCGCGCTTCCTTCTAGAGTCGGAGTTCTGGTCCAAACATCTCTGCTGCACACACGGTCGCGACCGCTCTCCCGGCATAGATGTCGTGCTCTGCGGTACCAAGAGATGCCAGAGTCACGGGGCTCCAGCAGCGCGCTCTGGACTTGCCATTCTCCTAATTCCGCCGCACTCATATCCTATCGCCAGAGAGAGGCATTTGCTCCCGCTGCAAGTACGGTGGTCGTCGTGGAGGTTATTTGTCGAATAGATAATACTGAGCACAGGTATCCAAATAGTAACCCGCGATTCTGCCACGGCGAGCGCATGCCGAGTTGGTCAAATTTTGAGAGCTCTTTCTCGCTGACGGTCAAGAGTAAATTCGGAGGTGGAGGCCACACGGTGACACGGTAATGGCGAAGTTGGGTCAATGTACTGGATTAGTATTCAGAGCGATTCGGCCATGCCAGCTGGTACCAAGTTGGATTATAGCCTACTGTGGAGAGGCTAGGGCAAAGAGGAGATTGTCATTGAATCATGCTCTGTATTGATAATCTTGCAAAGTCTAAGTAAAAGGTTAGAGGAGGTGAATGTGCAGATGGCTCTTCATCTGCACGCGAGGCCCGCACGTGATCACGTGAGACCCTCAACACCTGCCCTGATATTTCTTGACTCTTCATCATCTACCATCCAACCCTCTTCCTATGATGTTGCCTCAGCCAGTTTTAGTCTACGTCGCCCAAGGTAAGCTTTTAGCTGTGGTTTCTTTCTATGGTATCAGATAGCACTAATAGCTTGCTGCAGGAACTTCGCTCCGCAGGGGCTATTGGTACGAGTCAGATGCGACATGCCTCGAGGTGTTTTCCAGGGCCCTCGTGGGTCAAGAAAAATGCCCTAGTATGTCCTACAAACCACCTCATCCTTGAATACGATATGAATTAGTATCTCATCCAGCCAAAGGCAAACTATCCGCGTCGTTGGAGCAGAGCATTGACCTTGCTTGGGAGGATGTGCCCGATTTTGTTGACCCTTTTGGTGACCGCCGAGGTTGTGCATTCAGCGTTTGGATATTCGACCTCGACAAAGACCTCGTCTCTCTCCAAAAGAGATACCAAACCTGCTTTAGCTCTCTTGAACTTGCTCGGAAACGACTGCTCACTCTGGACGATTTTCAGGTACTGAACTCGCCCGCACAACCACTCCAGCGGGAGCCGAACCTCCCAGAGCCTTACTGGGAGCCTAAATTGGACCTCCTCCCGCGGATAAAGTCATTTCTTGCCAGACTTCTCCGTGATTTTGCTCACACGTGGCGTCATGTTCTTCGGAGGCCAATGAACACTATAGTATTTCAAAAGCTAGCATATGCTACCATCTGGATATCAACATTAGATTTTACTCTATTCGAGCGTGTGGTATTTGAGCACGTCTCAACTTCACCTCGTGATCCATATGTTGATGTAGTTGACCTCCCAGACTGGGAGGCCCCCGAGGAGACTCTCGTTCAAGCCGGATCATGTTGGTTTGCTCTTGCGCAAGACACTCGAGAGGGCCTTGAAATGGTACAACGTCATATGACCAATCATTTGGAAGATTCTGCAACAGCTGTGAGAACATATGCCATCCTGACCCTTCGGCATGTTGTTCTTTGCAAGGCACAAGGGAGTGAACTTACGTGGACGCGCTCCGAGACGCTCTTCGGTGACGGGTATACATCCGATACTGCCATCGACATGATTCTCTGGGCGATCCACACGACCAAGCCACAACCAAGTGCAATCAACTGCCTTCCCGTCGAGATCCAAGATAGAATTCTCTATTACGCAACAACCAGCTTTGTTGCATCAGCCAAGTTGGGCTGTACACTTGGCGCAGGATCACCCTTCCCTTGGGTCGATGGTGGTTTACAGCTTGAACTCCAAGAAAACAAGAGACACCGAACGGAGAGATCCCCTGTAGAATCCCAGATTTATTTTGGTGGAGTCATGAGCGGCTTGTCTTATAAGGGGGAACGCAGAGACGAGGGACTACATCTCCGTCGCCTCCTGGCTTCTGCTCCCTAGCGGGCGTAGTCAATCTGCGATGCTGGGTCTGGCCCATGTCCATCTATATAGTCATGTCCATGTGGCGTAAATGGCCACGAGGGAAGAAGAGTAAGCAGGGCGGTACCGACAGCGCTCAGCTTACATCTACCCGCTCTTCACACTCGTTCTCGCCTCACCTGGCGTGACAGTTGTCACGCGCCAAAATTGACAAGCTCCCGCCCACAAACCGACTTCTCTGTATGTTTCGCCATGAATAATATCCCATAATATGCAATACTTGCCCCTTCGCCAGGACAAGGTAGAATGTAACAGTACTGTCGATGTATATGTGACACCAACGGCCTAGAGCACCGATCAGGCCTACAGTCCAAGTCTCGGATATTCGCGACTCGCAATAATCAATCCCCTTACTATTCAACTCGGCAACACATACAAGGCTGATAATACAATTCTTCCCATCAAGTGCATGTGCTTAGCTATGTTCGTCCGTTATTCAACAGCCAAGTGCCATCCAGCTCGATGGCATGCTGTCTGATACCAGAAACTACATATACAAGCAACCATCTACCAAAATGCTACGTCTTTTCTTTAAACAGATGTATATAATTGAAGCCATTAACAAGGTTCATTATTATCTATAGCATTACACCGCCCATTAAAAATATAGTAAAAAGACCGTTTCGGTCCAACTCGAGAAAGGCATAAAATTTTCCGAACCCTACCCTGCGCCGACTTGTAGCCATTCATCACTGTTTAGCACATCCCTGCCCGACGGCACCGGTAAGCAAGGTGATTGCGGCCGTGAGTCCGTTGACGGCGTTGACCACGCTTGAAACATCGACAGAGCCAGGTTGCGCGGAGCCAGGTTGCGCGGAGCCAGGCTGCGCGGCGGAAACAACATTGCTGACAGGGATTGGAGATACCGTGTAGGTAATGACCTTTGTTGGGGCAGCGTTGTTCTCCTGGCTGTTTGGCACGCTGGTGACTGGAGGAGGCTGCGAACCGGTGTTGCCTGGCGCGCTGGTCTCTGTCTGGGTGTCGCTGTCGGTTTCGGGGCTGGCGTCAGTCTCTGCGTCGGGGGCGTCGCTGGTCTTGATGGTGGTGGTTTTGTCGGTCTTGGTGGCGGTGATGTTGGTTGCGTTGGTGCCAGCGTAGTTGGTGTTGGTGACACTGGGGCTGGTGGTGTTTGTGTTTTTGGTGTTGTTGACAATGGCATTAGGGGTGGCATTTGCATTAACAGTGTTGGTGTTGGTATTGGTATTAGTGTTGGTGTTGGTGTTGGTGTTGGTATTAGTATTGGCATTGGTATTAGAGTTGGCGTTGGTGTTCGTGTTGGCCGTGTTGGCACCGCCTGTGCCGGTACTGACCGTGTTGCCATTCGCGTTGGTATTAATGTTGGTGTTTGTGTTTTCAGCATCCCCATTGGTGTTGATATTGTTCGTGACGGTATTAGGAGAGCTCACGGCCTCCTTGGGCTCGGCAGGTTTGGCGCCATTGTTGGTCTGCCCGTTGGAGGCGCTGTTATCAGCCAGATTGCCATTCAGAGCCGTCACGCCATTGGCCTGGGCGCCGAGGACGTTGATGGGGAAGTCGAGCTTATTGCCATTCGCGTTGACACCAATCAGCGAGTTTGACGCATGGTTGGTGTTGACGTTGTTGGTGGTTGTGGTGCCGCCGTTGTTGGTTCTGGTGTTATCACTCTTGGGGGCGGATTCCTTGCCGCCGTTTGCAGCATTGTTATTTGTCTGTCCATTTGATGCCGAGTTGCCGGCCAAGTTGCCGTTGAGGGCATTCACGTCGTTCCCCTGAAGACCAAGCACGTTGATTGGAAACTTCAAGTCATTGTTATTGGCATTAATGTCAATTAGTGAGGCCTATATAGTAAAGTAATGTTAGTCATGTATATACTCTTGGACAGTTGGGCAGCGAGGCTCAAGGACGTCAAGGCATTGAGTGCAAAGCGTCTAAGTGGTGGTAGGGACTTACAGGCGAAGGAATTGGCACCGCCGAGACAGACAGGCACAGGGAAAGAAGGAGAAACTTCATTTTTAAGAAATATACGCCAAGGATAGTAAAAGAATGTAGGGATGAAAGGAATGAATTGAGCGAATGAATGGGCTCAACGTAAAGAGTATTTCGTGTGGTAAAGAACGTGGTTGACGAGCACAGGAGCACCGTAGCTCTTCAGACTACCTTTCTCTATTTATACAGAAGATTTCTCATGAGAATATACGGGCTCCTATCAAAGCGCAGGACTGTTACATACAACACGGACTTCAGGTACAACTCTTGCCGCACGGCACCATCTGACCCCGACGGCCACCAACGTCGCCTAATCACGTCAATTGATCATATAGTATTCCACCGGATCCGTTCCTTTCCAGTTGCTCACCGGAGGCGTCCTGTGCAGGGCTCGGCTATCGTAATTTGCGTCCCATTGCCAATGCGACTGTAAAGGTCATGCGCACAGACGCTGGCACAACCAAAGAGTTGCGACAGGCTCTGCCGAAGACTGCGGCGCGGGTCCAGCGATGAGGCCAAGGCAGATGACGGCCGAAAACATGGGACTCGGGAGTGGTCCGTTTCAGGTACATGGTGATTGCGAGCTTTGCAGGTGGCTCTGTGCCCGGACGTGGACACGATGATGCGAGTGCAGGGCCATATTGAGCGGCACGGCCCACGTGGGTTGACGGCGCTCGATTAGTCTTTTATTGCACTGTAGGGGATCCGTCAGTAATGCGTAGCAAGTACAGTGCGGCAGGGCGCAGTTGAGGCCCGTCGTCTCCGGTCGCGATGCCCAAATTAAGTAGCAGCAAATGTTGGCACAAGGTTCAGGTGGGACAAGACAGAATCTAACGGTCAGGCAGCCCATCCAAAGCATCTCCACTTTGAAAACATCATCTCATTAATATGTAGCCCCTCTGATACTCGCTTCGTGAGACCAGTTGACCCGAATGCCATCATTTGCTGCTCGAGACAAAGACTATACACAACCCTAACCCTGGCCCCATTACCGAGGCTAGCTCACCAAAGTGTATACCTTCAACACCATCATGTGTATGTAGAGCCTCGGCCAAGCTAGTAACCATATCGCTCCAAAGGGATCTGCGATTTATATTTCCAGATGCCACACTGCGCCCGTTGTATCTGCCATGTTTATCCACCTTGTGCAAGTACACAGAGCGCCGGTCTTGGTAACAACGTCCTAATTCACTGCCATGACACCTCGCTATTTGTTCTAAAGATAAAATTTACGTGCTCAACCAAATATTGCCCTGGTTTTCTCTAGAAACTGGTGCTACAGCCAGTCTTACATCAGCAACTGCGGCGCCCCCCCGTATGAGCCTTCTACATCGGATGAGCATATCGCACACAGCCCTGCTCGGCAGCTACATTGTTGGGTTTCGATTGTAGGGACGCCTTGACCCTTGGCATCCACAACCTTAATGGGCAAAATGGATAGTTGATGCCAGCAGTTGGCCCCGGACCAGCGGCCTCCCGAACATAGTTCGCAGACAACTCTTTGGAGCTTGGTCATTTTTAGGCAATGTTGAACGACCCCCAGTCGGCAAAGGTACCGCAGCAATGGTGCCCGTCGGAAGCCGTAATGCCGAAATCTGTGGTTGAGCGTTGCGAAGGATACGCACATCCTTCCCACTCGCCCAACTGTAAAAGCACGAAACTGTCTACCTGAAATTGGACGCCAAGCAGAATGTTGCTCACCAAACCGATGACTATCCGGCTCGCTAGCTATGATGCCCGGCAAGAAGCCTGGCCGTGTTCGAGAACAGTCAGCGGTAATGGCGTGGCCAGGGTTGACGGTCACGCTATATTAGTTGAACTCGGTTCCATATCGAATGCAACGTTGGTGAAGCCAAGGCTTCAGGTGGGACGAGCTGAGATTCGAGTAGCATTCCGATACGCTAGGTAGTATTTATATACTATACTGCCTTGTTAGGTATTTGCGTGGGTTGGTGTCTTCTAACTATCAATGATAGCCTTTCGTTGCTGGACAGCAATCTGTATTGCAGTTCGGCACTCGAACAAGACCTTCCATCCACCAATAGGCGTTTCTGCGCCGCATCTAAGCTGACAGGAGAGGGCGTACAAGAGCGCATTTGTTTGCGTCAAACCAACTCCCTGATTCAAGACGTTGCGGCCCAACGAAGCCACATCTGCACAGTTGGAATTCCCTGGATTTGTTGGCATCGTTTTACTGGGCGGTTTAGTTTTGCGTTCGTGGCTCATAACTTTACCACATTACTGGGAATCTTAGTATGTGTCCTGGTGTCCTGGTGAGGCTGCATATTAGCCTTCAACATCCTACAAACACCCCCCCAAGCAATTGAAACATATAGGGGTAGCTCGGCCATTTGGTGGCGGCGGCATCTAGAGTCTATATACGAGGAGATGCCCTTGCCACCAATTCACCACCTGCTGTCAATACCTCACCCAGGTTTCAGCCTGGGGGTCAATTGGCGATCAGAAATTGTCTCCTGGAATTAGAGTTCCCTCCACGTGATTTGCCTCAAAGCCTCCATGAGCAATCATTGATCCCCCTGCGCCCATCAAACGCCCGGGACGGCCCGCAACAGCGCAGGCCTTGCGGCTTTTGCCACATATGCATCGGACGCTGCTTCGGCTCTATCTTTACACGCATCTCGACACGGCTGGAATTGGCAAGCTTCTTTTTGCTCTGGAAGAGGGGAAACACCAAGCCGGCAATGGGCAAATGTATGTCACGCAGCTGAATCCATGTGGAAATTCGCAGCTTTGCTAAACTTTGCAGGGGCAGGCGCATGGCGGACTGTGTAGATGAAGATTGTAGACCAACTCGTGGCTGCTTGCGCACGAAACGCGACATTTCAACGTGGCATCTGACGCCAACGACTTGTTCCATCGTCCGTCATCCAGACCTGGCATTGTCGCTCACTGCATGGCCACGTCATGCTACGCGCAGCGGTACCACGGTACGGCGACGGGATCGCCGGACACCGCGGGATCCATCCATTGGAACTCCAGCAATGGCCTGCAGAAACGGCCTGCGCGGCCAATAAGCACCAACGATGCGCATGTAAGCCGTGAAAATACAACCTCGCATTGCCAGGCCGTGGCAGGGCTGAATGGTGAGATGGTTGCTGCAGCGAGGCGCAAGGCGGAGGTTTCGCGGGCCCGCGTTTTCGCCGCTGCCGCGCTTGACAGCGTATAAAAGGGCGTCGGCCTCGATAGGTGCACCGTTTGCAAAGACTTCATGACTGTCGATATCGACAAGACGAAAAAAGACTAGACATGGCGGTTGACACTGTTCCCATACCCGGGCCATCGGGATTGCCTATATTAGGAAATGTCACGGACGTGGACATTGACCATCCGCTCCAATCCTTCATCAGACTCTCCGACAGATACGGTACGTTTTGGTCGCTGAGAGGCTTCGTTGTGCGCATACTGAGTAGGGACAGGCCAGATTTACAAATTAAAATTCGGAAAACACACACTCGTAGTAGTCTCGTCTTACGAGTTGGTACACGAAGTCTGCGACGACAAGAGATTCAAGAAGTCTATCGAGGGAGACCTTGAGGTACATGCCGCCATGCCAACCGTTTCATGCCCAGGCCAGTGAACTTATCAGTAGTATGACAGCAACTGAGAAAGGTGGTCCACGACGGGCTCTTTACCGTACGTTTCCCCAACGACGCAGCGAGGGACAGGAGCTAACATGCCCAGTCGCGGGGGGTAGAAGAGGAGAACTGGGGGATCGCTCACCGAGTTCTCATGTCCGCCTTCGGCCCCATGTCCATCAGAGGCATGTTTGACGAGATGCACGAGATTGCCACCCAGCTCGCCCTCAAATGGGCTCGCCAGGGCCCGTCGCAGCCCATCGACGTCGGCGAGGACTTTACCCGGCTGACTCTCGACACGGTGGCCCTCTGCTCCATGGGGTTCCGGTTCAACTCGTATTACCGGGACGGCCTGCACCCATTCATCGCCGCCATGTATGCCGTTCTCAAGGAGGCCGGCGCGAAATCCCTCCGCATCCTGCCGCCCATGTTTTACCCGCGCAAGGAGGAAAAGTACCGGGAAAACATTGCGCTCCTGCGCTCGACCGCGCTCGAGGTGCTGGAATCCAGGAGGGAGGACGGCGCGGATGCTGCATCCACGGACAGAAGTGACCTCTTGAGCAAGATGCTCAACGGGGTGGATCTGAAGACGGGCCGCAAAATGACGGACGAGAGTATCATCGACAATCTCATCACTTTTCTCATTGCGGGCCATGAGACGACCGCCGCCACCTTGTCGTTTGCCATGTACCAGATCCTCTCGCGGCCGGACGTATACCACAAGCTTCAGCAAGAAGTCGACGCCGTGGTTGGCACGGGACCCGTCTTGATCGATCACGTCGCCAAGCTCAGGTACCTCTCTGCAGTACGCGGGTGCTCTCGGCCACGCAGCCCACGAGGTGTTTTGCTAACTTTTGCTGTTATTAGGTTCTCCGAGAGACGCTCCGCCACAGTTCGCCCATTCCAGCCTTTGCCCGCGAGGCCATCAAGGACGAGGTGATTGGCGGCAAGTACGCCGTCAAGGCAGGCGAGCAGATCATATGCCTGCTGTCCAAATCCCACTTCGACCGCGCCGCCTACGGCTCCGACGTCAGGGAATTCAACCCCGAGAGAATGGCAGACGACAAGTTCGACCGCCTCATGAAGGACTATCCGCATGCGTGGAGCCCCTTTGGCACAGGCATGCGCAGCTGCATCGGCCGGCCGTTCGCGTGGCAGGAGACGACGCTGGCGCTGGCTGTGCTCATCCAGAACTTCAACTTTGTCATGGACGATCCTTCGTACCGGCTGCAGATACAGGAGACATTGACCATCAAGCCCAAGAAGTTCATGGTTCGGGCTATCCTTCGGGACAGACTGACGCCCTCGCGGCTCGAGACACGGCTGGCCAGCGCCTTTGCCGGCGAAGCTCCAACGCCATCGCCGGGCGTTCCTGCTGGGCACAAATCAAGACACTCTGTAGCGTCGACTTCGACAGGCCACGTCGACGGGGAGTCCGCCCCGAAGCTGGTCATATTGTATGGGTCGAATGCCGGGACGTGCCAGTTCATGGCGCAGCGGCTGGCGAGTTCGGCCGCCGCCAAGGGCTACAAGTCATCCGTCGATGCCCTGGATACCATTCGAGGGTCCATGCCCAAGAACACTCCCGTAATCATCATAACATCGTCGTACGAAGGCGAACCTCCGCACAACGCGGCCCATTTCACCCACTGGATCCAGACTCTGGAACCCGGTGCGATGAAACATGTCTCGTACGCAGTGTACGGATGTGGTATGTGACTACCGCTTTGAATGTCAGCGCCCCAAAAACGCCGATGCTAACTCCCGCAAAAAAGGTCACTCGGACTGGGTTCATACGTTCCAGAAAGTCCCAAAGCTCATCGACTCGACTCTAGAAACGCTCGGCGCTTCGAGACTTGGTCCGTTGCACTCCACCGACGCCAAAGACAGGGACATGTTTTCCGACTTTGAAGCTTGGGAGGATGACGTTCTCTGGCCCTCTATCCTGGAACGCTTCGCTCGTCCGAGCGATGCCGCCACCAGCTCCGCCCCCGGGCTGGCGCTCAGTTTCTCGACGCCAAGAGCATCCGTCTTGCATCAGAGCGTCGAAGAGGCTACTGTTGTCGCGGCACGTCGGCTCGTCGACCAAAGCGGCGGCAGCCAGGAGAAGCGACACATTGAATTGCGACTGCCGGCCAATATGCCGTATTCAGCGGGTGATTACTTGGCGGTCCTGCCGCACAACCCCAAGGAGAGCGTGTCGCGAGCCCTGCGGCGCTTTCATTTTCCACGAGATGCCTACGTTACCATCTCGTCCTCTTCGCCAACGACGCTTCCTACCGGTATGAGTCTTCCGGTGGCGGAAATTCTGAGTTCGTACGTTGAACTTGGCCAGATTGCTACGAAACGAGTAAGTAGCCCATTTCCACTGTAGAATGATGTGGGAAAAAGTACCTGACTTGTCTAGGACCTCGCCCACCTGTGCGAGATGAACAAAGAAAGCGATGAGATTCCGCAATTGAAAAGGCTGGTCGGTGAGGAATTCGACACGGTAGTCAAAGCAGGGCAGCTTTCCGTGCTGGACGTGCTGGAAAAGTTTCCTGCCTTGTGTGTGCCGTTCCATGAGTTCCTTCAAATGTTGCCCCCCATGCGACTACGACAGTAGTGAGTTTCCGTGCATCCTGTACAGGTTTCCAAGCTGGTAAATGCTAACTCTCGACAAGTTCGGTTTCGTCTTCGTCGCTCTTCGACCCCACAAAGGTCAGTCTGACGTACGGCGTTGTCAATGAGTCGGCCGTGTCCGGCACGGGACGCTTCATCGGCGTGGCGTCTTCATACCTCTCCTCCCTGGAACCGGGTGAGAAGATACAGATATCAGTGCGGCCAGCCCAGTCAGGCTTCCATCTACCGGAGAACCAGGAAGAAACGCCGATAGTGTGCATCGGCGCAGGCACGGGACTTGCACCGTTCCGAGCGTTTATCCAAGAACGTGCTACTCTTCAGGGAAGCGGCAGAAATCTCGCCCCGGCTATCCTATTCTACGGATGTCGCAACCCTTTGTCAGACGATTTGTACCGAGACGAATTTGATGCTTGGGAGAAATCCGGGGTTGTGAAGATCTTCCGAGCATACAGCGGAGACAAGGAAGCGTCGTGCGGGTGCCCATATGTTCAAGACCGCATCTGGCATGAACGGGGGTCAATCACGAATATGTGGGAGAAGGGAGCCAGGTTCTACGTCTGTGGCTCTGGGAAGATGGCGGAGGGGGTCAAGGGCGTGCTGGTCAAGATTGTCACGGAGGAGTACGAGAAGGCCGGGGAGCCGGTGACTGAAGAAGAGGCGGTTGGGCATTTCGAGAGAATCCGGAAGGAACGTTATTGCATGGATGTATTTGATTGACTGGGTGGTGTTTGTTGCCTTTAGGCCTTGGCATATTGTATTGATTCGGCGACCTGGTAGCGCCTTGAGCAATCGTTGTGAACTGCCCTTTCATCGGCGCAATGAAGAATATATTCACCATAGGATGTAGGTAGGGTCTAACAGGGACCATGGCCAAGATGGTATGTTGCCGGTGAGGCACCTTGAACACGGGATGAATGCAGGATATGACGGAAATCGGTGGCCATGTGCTTGAACGTCGTCAACCATTTGGTTTCCGCCCAAGTCAAAACTGTGCGGCGGCGTGACGATTTTTTTGCTTGTAGATTGCAATGCCACCACTCAGATATCAGGTAGTGTGACGACAACCGGCAGAATCCAGGTAGGCCAATGGCGAAGAAACAAGCCAAAAGAGTTGTTGACAAGAGTGCTTCTAATGCCCCTAGGGTAAAACACCATCGTGAATTCGTTAGTCGGCACCAGTAAGGGCAAGGCCAAAAGCCGGTCTTGCACAGATTGTCATGTGGGGGGCTGGCAAAATGAGAAATAGAATCTGGATTGCGAAGTATGTGCGGGTAAAATGGGTACGGTAAAAGGTGTGAGGATGGACAGCTGATGGGTTGCTGCCTTTTGTCGGAGAAAAATTATCATCAAGTCAGAGATCGATGGAGCGATTGAATTGCTCGCAATAAAGGGCGTCCTATGTTATGGCTATATATATATAAATAAGCCTCCAACTGTCACAATCAATCAACCGAGGCACTTTGGCCGAGTGGTCTAAGGCGCCGTGTTCAGGTGTTCCACCGGTATCATCCGGTTGTCCCTATTCGCGGTCTAGTAATAGGCGAGGGTTCGAATCCCTCAGGTGTCACACATTTTTTTCATTCTATTTTTGGCACCACTTATTCTGTGAAGTGTGTCTCCTTTTTTTTTTTAATCTTTTTCACATTCTTTGCCTCTTATTGCTTGGCCTAATTGGCTGGTTTATTAGTTCCGACTTTACTTGATATTTTCACATGTCTTGTTTTGCTTTAGTTGTCGCGCGAGTTAGCGTGTCTCACAGTATCGCAAAAACGCAACCTGCATGTGTCCATTGTATCATGGCTCAAGACAAGATCGGTTCTCGACCTTGCTAACGCGGTAATACGAGCTGCCATCACCTCATCGAGCTTCGGCCGGCCCCTTAGTCTGTCAGTCTAACTGGGTACATATGTAGCAGGTCCCTAATAGGTCGCACTGAGACGCGGTGCATCCCCACGTCACACGTCATTGATCTGCAAAGACGTCCAAGATCCAATACCATCGTACCTGGCCAATGAGGGGACGTTAACTGCAAACATGGAAAAGAATCGAATGAAGCAAGTAGCATGCTGCGGTGGGAGATGCTCCCTTCCAGAGAACGCCACTACTCCGCACTGAGCAGCTTCATGACTTCATCTTACTTCTGCCTGACATTCTGTTGATTTCTGGCTCCCAGCCTCCAGGATTCATTAGGGGCTGAACAGTTCAAGTCTAGGCATAATCGGTGGACTCAATCTCCGACCCGCTTATACTAGACTTTGTGGATGGGCAAATACAATATCGGGAAGCCTTCTGCGGGAGGGACGTGCCGCCCCATTGAGTCGGACGGGGACGAGCAGATCAAGACCCGGTTAACAGTGGGATATTGGGAGCGGCGAGGCGACTATTCAAAGCATAGGCGGAGTAGTATACCTGTGGCAGGCGTCTTCCGAGGTGCTAGCAAGGGGCGGTGGAAAACAGGAGACACGCCATCCGTGTAAGTGAGTGGTGAGTGTCGAGTGTTTTCTACTACACGCGTGGCTGGTGAACGCGGCAAGCAACAGAAAAGAGCATATGCGATGCCGATCATCCGATCGAGAGCCAAGACGCAAGCTAGCGTGTCAAGCCGCTGAGCGAAATTCCCCTGAAGTACGGAGTATTACAACCAACAATTAGTACTCCTACTGTCCCATTGGCAGGAAGAGACAGTAAGTGCGGCCTAGAGCCGGTCATCATCTACCGATCCACCCCGGAGTGACGTTTCATTTCATGTTTTGATACGTCTAGATCAGCCTTGAATGTGTCTCTGATGAGTTGGTCTTCGTTTCCCCGCTCAGGGGCAGAAGCAAAGCATCATCGGCAGATGGACCTTGGCGGGAGCTTCAACTCCTTAACACCTGGTGGCTGGTTTGAAACGCCATGGTCTTATTTTGTCAAGGCAACAAGGTAGTATTATCACTGTGGACCGAGTTGTCAACCGCTGGAGATACATCGTGGAAATCGTACGCGTCACACGTTCGGCTGCTCGCGAACAGTGGAGAATAGTCCTTTTGGTTACCACGAGTTGTCATGAGACATTGATGCTGCAATGTGCTTCCACATGTCTCTTCCAGCTAGCAACCGTCGAATCTACAACATCTACCGACATGATCTGTCTTTCTAAACCATGGATGCTCATATAAAATATGTGGCCTTTGAGAGTCTACCAAACCCATTTCTGTTGCAGAAGAGTACTATAATGTAGGACCGTCGATCGGTCAAGATAAAATGAACTGGATGTTTGGCAGACCGAAGGCCTAGGGGGGCACGCGCGCTTCAAGTCCAGGTCTTCATTTGTCATCGCCCTGTTTGACCTCGTAATTCGACCACGTAGACCGAATTAGCCATTTCCTGACACCCCTTATGCTCTAGGTCCTCGGGCACGTCTAAGTATCATAGGAAAGAGACTTGTAACTTCAGGTGACAGGAGACGTCTACTCCACCTGGGACAATGCAGCCTTAACCTCCATGTTGCAAAATTCGACAATACATGGCTGGAATAGGCACTAAACTATTACTGTCGATGCTTCGATAGGACTAGATCCGACAAGGCTCGATGCCGTGCAGGCCCAACGGAAAATTACTCCCAACAAACACCAAAATGTGCCAGGTGGGCGTAACATGTGCGTATACGTCGGCGGCAACTACGCCACCTCCCGGAAAGGGCAGAGGAAAAACTGTTCAACTTCCAAGGGCCCAATGCCCTCCAGCTTTTGAATATAAAAAGCCCTGCATATCCTCCCTACCCTGGTCCTGAATCTCCTCATCAAGCACTCGGTTTCCCACATCACGCAAGTTTGCTACAACTTTTCCCTCTGCTCTTACACTTTCACTTGTCTCTACGCTTTTCAACAACCCCCCTTCACCTTCCAAAATGAAGTTCACCGCTGCCATCCTCGTCCTTGCCGCCGCCGTCATGGCAGCCCCCTACGACAACCCCCCACCCCCAAAGCCAAACCACACCCCAGGTCCAGCTCCAGGTCCAGCTCCAGGTCCAGCCCCAGGCGCAGGAGACAAGTGCAACAACGACCAGAAACAGGTCTGCTGCGACAAGGTCATAGGTTTAGTCTGTAACCTCGGTCTTGTGAACAATTGCGGCGGCGGGAAAACGTACTGCTGCGCCGCCAATGCCCCTACTACACAGGTAAGATATCGAGGCCGCCCTGTTTACCTTTGGCCGAACCGCATGGCTCATCTGTGGAATTTAGAACGGCGGCATCCACATCCTCGACCTTAACGTTGGTAGTTGCAACAGAGTCTTCTAAATGATGCGCAAAAGTTGCAGTCACGAGATGTGCCAATGTCTATCCCCCATGTCTCATGCAGTGAATTGGCCTATGGACAAGGGGAGCAGGGAAAGCCAGAACCTTCATTTGTATTTTCTTTTGTGGATACGCTTGTGGTGATGAAGATGTCGTTGCACAGTGGGCTGAATACAAATTGGTGGCCAGTATATATCTCCCTATGCGGTGGCGAAAGGGGCTCGGCGCGAGAGTCTCTCATGGCTGCTGCCTCCATAGGAAATACCAGTTCATACAAACAACACCGTTGGAGTGCATGATTTGTGTGATGGCTTTGAGCCCATTCGAGATCTATGTATGTGCTATGGGACATGTAGAAGTGATCGTGAATAGTACCGTCCGTACCACCCATGCGGTCCTGAAAGTCACACCACAAGCGCCAGATGGATGTCGCTCCTGGGCCCTTTTCACAACTAAGATGTCATGGACACTGTGGCAGCACTGTTGTCTACCAACTCCTGATGTGTGCCGGGTTTTAGGGTGTCCAGGATCCATGCAAGTTGAAATTCACTACCTAACACCACCCAGAGCCCACGGATAAGCTGGAGGCAAGCTGGAGGCATCAAGATCGTTGCTGATTGAATCATCTCTGTCGATAAGCTTCCGTCTCCTCGTCTGGAATTATGATCAAGCACAGTCATTTCGTGCTGTGCTTCCGTTGGTGCAATCAAACTTTTGCCCTTATACGGTTGGCCCAGTTGCCGTCCAAGTACTTGGCAGTATTCAAAACTTGTGCAATAGTATTAAGCGGATATGTACATCTTTTTGTTTTCTCTCTATTCATGGGTTTGGAAATCCGAGTCCTGAGTAGCTTGCCCAACGCCAATTGCCCTTGTTTAGTTTTGATACTGCACTCGCCCTTGCGAGATATTTCCTTTGCTTCCGCAATTGGTAGCGTTTGGATGCATTGAGGGTGTAATGTCCCTGCCACGCAGGTCAGACATTCCCAGGAGAAAGCAGGAAGAGGGTTGCATACGAATATTCCATGCAGAATAAAACACGTCACATGCTCTGAAGCTCAAGGTAGCACGTCGTAAAGATCATTCCACCACATCATATCTTCAAGCTCCCCCTCATCCAAGTTGGCATGGAAATACTGTTCTCTCCGGGGAGACCTAATCTTTCGGTGGATTTCTCCAGCTGTTTTCCAACCCAGATAACCAGCCATTTCCCAGTCAATAAGTCCAACAATCTTGTCGTCGTTTACGATGCAGTTACATGGCGTAAAGTCGTTATGCATAAAACTCATATCTTGGTCAACGTTTGCTGAGAAGAGAATGTGTGCCTCTCGAGGGTTCAAGCGACCACTGGTCAGGATATTCGGATCGGGAACGATATGATCACGCGTCTCACGACTACTCGGCGCTTTGATAGCATGTAACTGTCGGAGAATCTCCCGTGCTTGTAATTTGAAGGAATTTTTTTGGACCTCTGACAAGTACGGCAACGCAACGTTGAGACATACACCGGGAAGTCTCTCTTGGATCAACACCGCGCGACCGTTGATCTAAAGTATCATAAGTAAGAATTATCTCCAAGTAGTTTATGAGAGCTGTACCTTGCCAGAAAAATAGATATCAGGCACATTGACCCCATCTAGGACGCTTTTAGCGATAGTAATTGCCTGGACTTCGTTGGCATCGGCGTATGAGTAGTCGATTTTCTCATGTTGGTGTCGGTGGCTTGATTTCACAATGACACTGCCAAGGGCAAAAACATCTCGACCTTCCTCTGCGGGAAAAATCATGTTTGATTCCGCACAGAGTCCAATTACTGCAGCCCAATATTGTATAGACTCTTGAGAGCTAGAGTTGATGTGCTGAACATCGACTCGGAAGTCGTCCGGTCTCGGAGAGTACCTGCCATAGAGCGGTATATCCGCATACAGATCAGATTCAGGAATGTGTTTCGGGTTCGTTGTATACGGATTCATAATCTCAGTCGCTGTGCTTATGAAATTTATGTTCAAAGGTTCATGGGTATAATATTTGGAAGTGATGGGAAAGAACTGGAGTTGAAGCTGAGTCGTTGAAAGAGCTAGATTTCGCGTCCAACGTTTCGGGCATCACAGCTTCAGACAAGTCGGCGACCAATGAACCAATAGAGTCTCCCCACTACGCGCCGAGTGGATTTGTTAAAATGTGTAAGCACCGCTCTGGTCAGTACGGGATCATGGAGTCAACCTCCATGATCCAACGAAGCGTGAAAGTTGGAACATGACCAGCACGGCCACTGCCGGCAGGGTGCTACGCCAATGACTACGAATCTCGAAGCGCCAGGCCATGAATTCCTGATGACCAGCCAAATTCCAGACAATATCAGACAGCACATTAGCTTCTCGGCGACTAAGATGCAGGTTGGTCGGTAATACTTTGCCCTGCCGCCGTGGGGACTTGGGTATATGAGGAGAACAGGTCTGCATCTCCCTTCTGCATTTTATCTGCGACTTCATCTTCTACATCTTCACCATCTACTTACTAGCATTATCCAACAGCAGTCTTATCAGAGTCAACAAGGCCAAGAGATGCTCCGCCTGCGAGCAGTGGATAAAGACCACCGGGGGAGACCACAACTGTCCAGGCAAGCCTACTTAAGAATCGGCTCTCTCGCGGCTGACGAAGATCATAACAGTGTTCTAATGCTCCGTTCAGCCACGTCGGTTCAATTTGTCAAGCAACTTGGTATGTTTATTTTGGCGAGCAAGCAGGGTGTATTCTAGTTTTACAGCTCTAAACTTTTATGAAAAAGGGCTCAAAATCAGTGTCCTGCTTGACGCCTTCGTTCTATGCCGCGGCCCCTGGCAAGTGACAACTACACGTGGTCTTAATTACCTCGGAGCCACGGGTGGCGAGAAATAAATCGTGGTATATAAAGCCGTATCCGACTCTAATAATATTCCCCTTTACCAGGCACACCCTCTTCGCATCTTGTAAAAGCCATCTCAAAGTCAATCATCCATTACAATGAAGCACCTCAATATAGTTCTTGCGGCATTTGTTGGCATAAGCAGTGCTCGCTCAGTCCTCACTGCCCGACAAGAAGATGTTAGTAGCTGCTAGAAAGCGATGCCGTTGACAAGGCCATATACAATGCCAAAGTCAATCGCTAACATGGTCCTCACAGAACAAGGTGACGCCTGAGAAAATGTGCGCCTAGTTTGAGATAGACTCGATTTACCGACAGGGCTCGACCAGAGGTGCCGATCTGACGCACAGAAATACATTGGCAACCAGTTAGAACTCGGGATGATCTCGTTCATAAATAATACTTCTGTTACGCGACCTTCTAAACCGTCCTACCTAAATGCGATAATACTATAAGGGAAGAGCCCTTTTTTATAAAAAAAAATAATACTTTGATTAAAGCATCCTTCCAAAACTCTGGTATTCAAAGCCCTACTCGAAACTACTACTGCTCTTTTCCAAATGGCATGTATTTTGGCGCCTTCACCCCATCGCAAGAGTGGCGCACGACATACGGACTATTATGCGCCTTGTCACTGACAATAACCTGGCCAGAAGGAGTAGTGACGGTGAAATAAAACCCGCCTCCGTACTGCGCTTGCCCGTAGACAAACCGAATAGGCACGTAGGTGTCGGCTGGAACATTGACCTTGGAGCTAGCCTGGCCCGCGATGTGATCGGGCTGGTTGTATCTAGCCTTTGCATCGGCGTTGTCGTCCGTCCAGCCCTTGTAGGCCTTTGCCCCTGTCCACACGAACACGGCGTCGTTTGCGTACGGGATGTTGATGCTGTACGTGCCCGCCTCGCAGGCGTAGAAGTAGGCGTGGTGGTTGAGAGCGAAGTAGTCGAGCTTGAGGTCCTTGGTAGAGCCGTATATTCGCCCGGCCGGGTCCTTTCCGCCCTTTTCGCCGTAAAGGCCCCCGACGTAGCGGGTGGTGCCGACGTACAGGGGCTTCACGCGCTTGTATGTGTCCGGATGGAAGTTGGAGTACGTCTTGTCGCCGTTGTGGGCTGAGTTGTTGTAGTATGCCCAGTCGAATCCGAGGTTGTCGCATGCTGGCGGCGCAGGGCAACCGGTGGGCGTGGGAGTAGACTTGCTCGTGGTCGTGGTGGTTGTTGGCGTGGTAGCAGTGGTGCAAGCTCCGGCGGTGGTGACAGTTACAGTGTTTCTCTCGGTGATAGTTTGAGTTTCCGTCACTGTCTTGGTTTCTGGGCAAGTATCATGACGAGCCTGGAGTGCCCGATTGACATCTAGCCCAGTTCCAATGCCGGCAATAGCCAGTGTTAGGGCGATAACCTCGGCGGAGGTGTAGCGCATCTTGAGGAAGTGAAGAGACGGTAGTGCAAAATAGGCAGTTTTGGGGTTTATTGAAGCTCAAGCTTGAATGTGTGAGTCCTGCGAGACCCCAAGCATTGATCCATGGCGCGATGAATGCGTCTTTTTATAGTCGCACCCGACCAGACTGCTTGAAGATGTCAAGCCAGTCGTAAATGGCGGAGATGAATTGCTCACATGTTGCGCCCGTCATCAGTTGAGGGTCTCAGTTGGTTGCTGACAGAGTACTTGCCGACATGAAAATCAACTCTAATTAGTTGCGAAAAAGGAACAAGGGGGATGTAGCTACCAACCGTTGGGCCGAGGGTGCGACACGACATCTGCACAATACCCAAGACTGTCCAGGTCATGCATATCACAGCCAGCCACCAACGCCTCAACGGAGTCTTACTACTTTTGGTGTCTCATTATCATTCCCCGAAAAGGTGCGAAATGTGCATTAGACAACAAGATGAGTTCGAAAAACCGAGGGTTCAGCTGCTTATAAGCATATCTTGACTCTGACATGCAGCAAATATTGAGACAAGATTCCGGCCGACATGCAGCACGACCTTGACTGACGTAGTATTTCTGACAACTTCCAAGTAATTAAGCATCTCAAGAAATATGGGGTAACTAATTGCGCAACAGAATTTTTCCATGACGTACCTGAGCCCTTGCGTCCAACTTCCATGCAGCGACACATTTAGGCAACGTAGTCTGCTTTATTTCCATGACAAACCGGTCGTCTCTGCCTGCAATCGGTATGATTTGAGTCTTTTTGGATGCTTAGGTCGAGGCATAATCCTCAAATACGTTCAATCCCGTACGTTATCTGATGTTGGACAAGATTTATCTGACATCATGTTCTGACAGGGGCTCCATAGAGGCCTTGGAGCTAATAGTTTAATTCACCCAACTACAGTCTTGGCTATCAAAGGTCATTGGTTTCCTGAGGCTCTCTGCACCAAATAGTATTTATTTAGAAAACAATGGTGAACCTAGTGCCGTAAGGCCTCATGATCGTCGCCTCGTGCAACATCCGAAGGGCGTGATATTTTCCAGCGGACAATAGACCGCATTACGAAGGGCCACCATCTAGATATTCATTTCGTCGAGGCCAGCCGCAATTCAGTCAGGTAAACAAGTCTTGTATCTTGACATACATATTGCTCTATTCCCGTATCGACTAGGGCTTCCTGCGGCTGAGAAAAGCTAAAACAAGACGTCCTGTTGTCCTGACACAAGAATGTGCCGGTGCCTCCCCGATGCACAAAGGTAGCTGTCTGTATTTCAGCAGCTCACCAGTCGCTTATAGCCTTGATTTCGCCGCAGCATGAATGTAATTGGAGGCTTGGGTTGGCCGAATAATAAGGCGTCCAAGTCCTTCATATTCATATACTATACTTGACGAACCTATGTAGCCACCGGCATGTCAGTCACATCTCAAATCGTGCAAGTGAATAAAATGCCTTTATGGAGGTGGATTTATGTAACGAGCTAGATCGAAGACGGTCTACCTTACACTTTTGATGTGAAGGGCCAAAGGAGCATACGTGGAAGCTGAACATTGGGATATTAGCCGGTAAACACTATGGCTGGATCTTTTTGCTCCATGTCATAGTAGTTAAACACAATACCTGTTGCGATAAGTCTCCAACAAATACTCAAGCATCCTATGTGCCTTGCCGGCATCGCAAACACCCAGAACTACGCAACTGCCACAACGAGCTGTTATACATCACTAAATGTTCATTGTACTCGCCCAAACCTCGAGATAGGATGCTGCTACGCTAGCATATTCCTCCAAAGGGTAGCAAAAGGCCTCCTTTCATTCTTGTGCGACATTCTTCACCCCCACCGAAGATATAAGGCGCGGAATGGGCTGCAAACCTTGATTCTCAGAACAACGCAGCATATATTCTATATATTCTAAGCAAGTCTATCTTCAGCTCCCATCCAGACTCCTTCGCATCCCACATGATATCTAAACGTGCCCACCGAAAAACAAATCCAACGCAGCACGCGGGCTCATCCTCTCGTCGTCGCCCAACCGCTCCCTCGAAGCAGCAAACACCTCGGGCAAAAAGTCGCCCACATCAACACCGAGCAGCATCTTGGCCACGGCCTCGCCAGAAGACCAGCACAGCGGCATGCCATACCCATTAAACCCGGCGGCGATCCACTCGCCGCCCTCGTCGCCCCTTTTGGTAAACTCCAGAGGCAAGGCCCCAATAATCGGGAGGCTGTCCGCTGTAAACCCCATGATGCCCGACCAAATCTTGCAAACTTCAGGCTTCTCCCCATCGTCCCAGCCCCTCGTGAAGATGGTAGGCAGAACAGAAGACAAGTTCTCAACGCACGGGGCACCAATTTGCGAATCGTCACTGACGAGCAATTCCCGAATCTTTGCCTTTTCACCACCGATGAAAATATCGCCCGTCCTCGGGTTCTGGTTCGAGTACAAGAGGCCCACGTCGACAATCTCCGTCCCGGGGTCGTAGGTGCCTCCCCCCAACACACTCCAGGTCACTTCGCCGCCGCGGTTGCCAAACGCCTCCGTCGCCTTTTGCACCGACATGGTCCCGCGCAACGGGTAAATCTTGCCGCGCAGCCCCGGCAAGAGGTGCCCGGCGTGCCCGTTGGTCGCGTGGACAATCTTTCCCGCGCGCACCTCTCCCCTCGGCGTGTGGAGGACGTACGGGTGCTCGGGGTCCGAGGCCGCGTCGTGCGTGATTTCCGTGACGGGCGTCCTGGTCTCGACGGAGACGCGGTGCCCGTGCCGGTCGAGCACCTGGCCCCAGACCCGTGTGATGAGTCGGTACGGCCAGAAGGCCCCGTTGGGGAAGACGGCGGCGCCGGCCTTGGCCCTGACGCCATACCTCTACCAACCGGACGTTAGTAGGTTCGCCTTTTCAAGTTAGATTGGACCTTACGGCTTCGGCCTGCTCGGGCGTCAGGAACTCGGCCTTGCCCTTGTCTTCGGGCACGTGCGCCTCGTAGAGGGCCCACGACTCCTTGGACGCGTCGCGGGATGCTTGGTCCTGGAACAGGACCACGTCGAGGGTTCTTCTGACGTCGCTGGCGGCTTGGAATTCCGGAGACGAGTTGGCGAGCTGGTGCATCTTTTCGAGGGTCCGGTTCGCATAGCGGGCAATCTTGGTGGCTTGCTCGTGGCCGAAGCGGTCGCTGAGCAGCTTGTAGTCGCCGGGGACGAAGGAGGTGAGGAGGCCGCCGTTTCGGCCGGTGGCGCCGCTTGTGAGGGCGCGTGCCTCGAAGACGGTGACGGAAAAGGTGTCGGAGGGCGAATTGTCCAGCAGATGCTTTGCTACGCTGCAGCCGGTGACGCCTGAGCCAATGACGGCGTAGTCTGTTGTTGAGGGCAGACTCGGGGACTGTACTTCGGAGAGGGACGGGTGCGGAGACATTTGCCAAAACGAGACGGTTGGGTTCTCCCGAGGCAGCTGGGGGTCTTGGAGTGCCTGGGCAGCGAGCTCGGCTATGACGCTGGCATCTACATTGGGAGTCATTGTGGTTGTTGCTGCCGAGGTGAGGAGTTGATAGCAAGCTGGTGTGCGGCGTGCGAAGTGGCTGATGGTTGCGATGCGTCTCTGGGTACGTCCGTATTTATCGGCCATGGAACCAAATGTATTCAATTATAGTCGTGTTCAGCTTGGAGACACGGACCGCCGGGCGCCTCGGGATCCGATATGCCTGTACAAAAGCTCCGGGCAACTCCTTCACCTCGCAACGGGTCAGACGGCGAGTCGTCGATGATGGTCTGCAATGCGGCCCCGGCAAGTTTCCGTGCAGGACTTAAGAAGAACCAGACATAAAACAGCCGGGTACCAACTAAGCCCTAAACAGCATATCGAGGGACCGGAACATTCTTCACCTCGCCAAGCCGGCCTATTCAACAAGCACATTGTGATTGGCCGCTGCATGTCTTGATAACGCGGGGTAAGGGCCCGACGCCTTGTCCCGATCCGAGCCCGGAGCGGCCACGGCCACAGCCACAGTGGATTCCGCGGGTCGTGCATGTTATCAATCAAATGGCTTAACCAAAAGAGGGCAACGAGACGAGTGTGGGATCTCCATGTGGCAGGTCCACCAGGTCCGCATCCGGAATGCGGAGGTGTGGCGTTGGCGAAACCGCAATCAAGATATCGAGACATCAACCTGGCCGTCAGCCCACTGCGCTCAACCCGCCAGATAAGCATCTTTTTCCATTAGCCTGGTACAATGCCAAAGACCAGACTCGGCGCGCCTCGCTGCCGTGGCTGACTCTGATAGTCGAGCGTGCTTTCTTTGCACCGTTGACGATTCCAAACTTGTAAAACGGCAGTAGAAGACGACGTCAACATAGCCTTGGTCTAGTTGTATCAGCCTTAATCGCTACTATCTCTACCTCTCTCGTCCCATCCGAATCGTTTCGCCATGAACCGGCCCTCGGACGAGCCTCCTCCACACGATGCTGATTTCTGGGTTCCCGGAACCATCGCCCTCAAGGACTGTAAGCCCTACTTTCAGCACAACCTCATTCATCTCGTCAATCTAACGCCCCTTCACACACAGTACACCGTCCCGAGGAGGAGGTAATCCTGCACCCAGTTCCCACCACAAACCCCAATGATCCTCTCAACTGGGCCGCATGGCGCAAACACCTCAACTTCAGCCTCGTCTCGTTCTACGTGCTCCTGACCTTTGTCCAGCTGGACATTGGCTTCACCGCGTGGGGGCAGTACCAGGACGAGCTCAACTTCTCCATTGACCTGCTCAACGCCGGCACCGCCATCAACTACGGCGGCCTCGCCATCGGGTGCATCTTCTTCGTGCCCCTCGTGCACAGGTACGGCCGCCGACCGCTATACCTGCTCAGCACGCTCCTCCAGCTCGTGTCCTGCGTGTGGTTTGCCGTGACGCACACCAGGGCCGACTTTATCGGCAGCAACCTATTATCCGGCCTCGGGGGCGCCATCAGCGAGACCATTGTGCAGATCACCATTGCCGACTTGTTCTTTCTACACCACCACGCGCTCATGAACGGGTGGTACCTCTTCTTCACCTTCACCGGCGCGTACCTGGGCCCAGTGGCCTCTGGGTATATTGTTGAAAGCCAGGGGTGGCGGTGGATGTGGTGGTGGTGTGTCATCCTATTCGGCGTCAACCTCGTCCTCATTGTCTTTTTATTCGAGGAATCCAAGTTTATCAGCGGCGTGGAACAGACTCCGGCTCCGACTCCGTCCGCCGGGGACGACAAGCACTCCGTCGCGCAAGTCGAGCGTAGCAGGTCTGCCGTTCGGGTCGACCGCTCGATCCCCTTGGCCGGGTATAGGCAGCGCATGGCCTGGGTCACAAGCAGCAGGACGGACATGCTGCACGACTTCTGCCAGCCCGTCGTGCTGCTGTTTACCTTTCCGGCAATCGCGTACACGGCCCTCACGTACGGCAGCCTGCTGGCGTGGTTTGCGATTTTGACCTCTGTCCAGGCGACGTACTTGTTTAGTGCGCCGTACAACTTTACCGCCGCGGGTGTAGGCCTGATGAATGTCGCGCCGTTTATTGGTACCTTTCCGGGTATTTTCCTCGGCGGGTGGATGAACGACAAGTCTATCGTGTGGCTGGCGCGGCGCAACGGCGGCATTTACGAGCCCGAGATGCGTCTCTGGCTTGCTCTGCCCATGGCGGTCATAACGCCCGCCGGCATCCTCATGTGCGGCGTTGGTTTGGCATATGTGCGTACTGGCGACATTGTTTCCGCCTGTAGCTCTGCTGATCAAGACTTGGTTGTATAGGGCTCGCCTTGGCCACTGGTTGCTGTCGGATACGGCATCTTTGGATTCGGTCTCGTTGTCGCGGGCGACATTGCCCTTTCCTACGCCATGGACTGCTATCACGATGTTCGTCCCGTCTGTTTCCGCAATGACCGCAGTGGCTAATCACTCGCCAGATCATCGGCAATGCCCTTGTCGGCGTCATATTCACACGCAATGCCTTCTCGGTCGTCGTGCTCTTTGCTCTGACGCCCTGGATCAGCGGCATGGGGCTGCGAAATGTCCACATTCTTGTTTCTGTGCTGTGTTTTGCCATTTTGCTGATTCCCGTCATTTTGCTTATTTGGGGCAAGAAGTTCAGAGCGGCTTCTGCAAAGGCGTACACGAGTTATGCTCGGAGACAGCCAACACACCGTGATGTGTGACGGCGCCGTCTTGTCTACAGTCCATTCATCATCTTCATTACATCGCCTCAAATACAATGGTCATAATCTAATCCTTGGATCCATTCTCAGCCTGTCTCTTCAACTACACGTCCCAACACCTCCCTCGATGCCACAAGCCACCATGCGCCTCTTGATTCTCTCCTTTGCCCAATCCCTTCTCATCCACGCTCAGCCACTCTTGAAAGCAGTCGTCTCCAAAGCCGCAGAGACACACGGCCGCGAAGCAAAACTCAACTGTCTCACCGCATCCCCCCGCGACAATGATACACCAGCAGTACCATGTCCAGGCCCATCTCCACGATCAAACCCATTCCCCCGAACGGCCACGGCCACAAAAGCCCCTTCACCCGCCGCTCGTCCAGCCAGCTCTGCAGAACCTCGAGGCGCCGACGCAGCTCGACCCGGCAGAGCAGTCGCCTTCAACCCCCCCGCCGAAAGCACATCGCACCACGGCGATCGCACGACCGCATGGCTCGTCTCCTTCATGCTCTCCTGGATCGGCCTCAGGCGCGCCCTCGTGTCCGGCGGCAAGAGGATCTTGTTGATGCACGCCATAATCTCCGCCAGCAGCGCCGTCCACGACGCGATGAAGCCGATGACCAGGTCCCAGAACTCGGCGGTCGGCCGGTCCGCCCGCCCGCCCAGCTTGACGCGGCAGATCTCGCGCTTGACCGTCTGCGTGTGCTGGATGGCGTTGGCGCACTCCTTTGTGAGGCACCTCCAGTGCTGGATGTGCGACGTGGGCGCGCGCCTGCGCACGGCGTTGCGAAGCCCATGCGTCAGGTGGCCTCCAAAGGCGGGCAGGATGCGCAGCATCACGGTGGCCGAGTTTTGTAGGCACACGAGTATCTTTTCGAATAGCCCGTCCGGGTCGGACATGGCGAGGGTCAGGTCGGGAGGTTGCAAGTGCCCTGGCTCGGGACGCGGCGACGTCGGGGTTGGCCCCCGGCTGGATGGAGGATGGCTGGATTTTGGCATCACGTCCTCGTTTCGGCTCCGCGGTGCGGCAGGCTTGTCCGTGGCGTCGGCACCGGCACCGGAGTCATCTTGGCGATGGGCGGCGTGTTCAGAAGCACAGCCCGCGCACTCGGTTCCGACGGATAGAGTGGTGGCGCGGAGCTCCATAATGCAATTGTAGAGTAATGTCAATAGTGTTCGAACATATCGTGCGTGTCCGTTGTCGACGGGTGCATCTGCGCTATCCGCAAGCAGGGTGCATATATGCCGGTACGCTCCCATGAGTGTCTGACACGCGCGGAGGACAATATTCGTCTGGGTTGAATGGTCCGAGGTTTCCAGAGCTGTTGTGTCGTACTTTTGTATCTCTAGCTCCAACACTTCTATGTGGCAATTTGTACTATAAATGACTATTTGCAGGCTGGGCTGATTATCGAGTTCGCCGCGAGCCAAGATGGCCAGCTGCTGGATCATGGGGTGGATTTGGAGAACGGCGTATAGCATTCCCCTGGCAAATGCAATGATTGGGTTGAAGCATTTCGATATCCGACGCCGCTTGGGTATCACAGAGAGTCGTCTGGCGTAGATGGATTGCTGGAGAATTGAGTCCGAGGACGTAGTAGCGCTCTTGTGCCCAGTCCTAGCTCCCTGCGAGGTACAGTCGTAGCTCGGTTCTCGGTTGTAAAGATTACATGCTCCGGTCTCTTTGAGTTCTGCGTATCGGTTCCATCTATCCTGTTGGCCTAAGCACGATAGGGTTTCCGATTTACTCCTGAGGCGTTCTTCAGCATTGCCTGTCGCTGAAGGCACAACTCCTGTCCTTCGGGCGCTTCTATAGGGATGGGACTGTTCGCGACAATGCAGTTTAGAAGGCATTGGGTGGAACCCCAATCCCATTCTTTGGTACCGCATGCCGGAAACTTCTGATCCAGACACTTTTATCGGAAACCGCCCACTTACAGCTCGTTTCCGTCTTGGGCGCGGAGTCTCGTCAACCGGGGCAGTGGAGCGACTGGAGTCGTTCGAGAAGTCTGGCTCCACGCGGCTATTAATAGCCTCCTGCTTTAGGATCGATTTGATGCGTGCCGTCATAGCAACCTCTGTCGTGTCACTGCCGACGGAGCTATCTTCTTGAAGGGAGGTGGTGGCGAGTGTAGAGATGAGATCTTGTGGCGGAAAGATGATTGGGTTGCCTTCAATTTTAAGGACCTGCAAAGACGCCATATTGGCTAGGCATAATGGCAACTCCCGGATTTGGTTCTTCGGGATGGAAAGAACCTTGAGTGACGATAAATTCTCAACCTCTGGAGGCAGCACACGGAGTTGGTTCTGACCAAGATCAAGAATCTCGAGGCGCTTCAAGTGGCATAACTGCTGCGGAGTTAGCACCTGGTGCACAGTGACAGGAGTCTTGATCTGTAGATTTGCCTTACGGACAATGGAAACTCCCTAATCTTGTTTGCCCTGATATTCAGGTACCGTAGCGAGGTACATTCTGAAAGCCGCACCGGCAGAGACGACAGCTGATTGTGCGACAAGGCCAATCTGTCGGGACCGGCGTTTTGTCAGCATTAGCATTTGCCCATGCTCATGATTTTAATCGTTTCACAAACGAACCTTTCTAGCTTATCCTTGAATATGTCCACAAGCTCCTCTGGCAGCTCTGGTATGGCACTGCGGCTCAGGTCTATTGTGACGCCGGACTGCAAACCGACGACTTCATCGCCAAGTTGCCCAGCCAACCCTTCGCTCAGGAGAGCATCTCGCATTGCCTTGCGAGCGATGGCAAGGACTTTTGGTGCAGGTAAGCAACGGCCAGGGGACAAATCCGTGGACAAGGGTGCATCTTTGGCGCCGGGGGCGAGTGGCGGCTCATGGCAATGGTTGGATATGGCCGTCATGTTTGTAAAGGCGCAATGAGTCTCTGCCAAATTGTTTGGTAGACTGCTAGAAGTGGGCGCACCATGCATTTGGTCTTAATGATTCGTCCTGGCCGATTCAATGGCGACTTGCTCTCTTGGGCGGAAATAGTTCAGATGTCGGGTTTCATTCGCGGTCGGCGAATTGAGCACTGGGGGATATCTACCAACAGTTCCTAAAACCTAGCTTGCAGAGGTCTGCATAGTCTTATTATCCAATTGTTTCTGTTTGGCCGATGATGATGTTTACACTCTCGGCCTCGTCGAGATGGGCCAAATACCGATTATGGACGTTGCCCAAAACACCATGTTTATTTGATATAATAACAGTCTTAATTGGATGAAAACAGTGGTATATGGGTCAGATTGGTAAATCCCACGTGGTATATACGCTGGGCCTCTGCACCGTCGACGCGGGAGGCATGCCAGACATTCCAGCAAATTATGCGTTCCTTGTCTAGGCCGATTCGGGTCTCCTGCACAATAAAAGTGTCACGGGAAACAGAGCTCCGATAAGATTGTTATTATTTATTTTGCAGTAATTAGCGCCGCAAATGTTATTTTTTATTCTGCAAAACATGTCTCCTCGGGGGCGGCACAGGTCCATCCCGACACGGGCGACGCAACAACAGCTTGATTGGGAGACGCCGCAACGCACCCAATTTCGGTTTCCAGACTAGACTTGGGAAAACGCACGTATCAGCTGCAAGGTGACCTCTTGGGCCGACAAGCCGTCGAGGATGCCGACTCCGATTGACTTAGCTGGACGCCCGAAATTGGAGGTCGCCAGCCTGGGAGCCGGGCACTATCAACAAGAATGTTGAGCATTCCCCACACATTCATAAATGTTGATGTGACAGATTTTACCCTCCTTTCGTTTTCCTTACTCAATTGACACGCTTGTTGACGCTGGTAAATAGCTTGTACGAACCTGTTGACGTTCGATCAAAGGGTCAGCAAGCATAGTTCGAAGCCATATGTATAATCCCCGTCAAGCAAGCCCAGGTATATGACAAATGAGAATTTGGTCGAACCACCGGTGTCTTTACTAATTTTGAAACACTGGGTAAAGGAGACTGAAGAGCAGGCAGGAAGAAGAAAGAAGAAGACGGGAAAGAGGTGAACAAAAAAAGATGTAAGAGGAAAATAAAAGGCAAGTGTAAGAAAAGAAGTGAAAATAAAATAAATGAGTAATACTAAAAAAGACGAGTAGAGGCAGAAAAAAGCAAGAGGCCAGACTTCATACAATATTAGCTAGCACCTCGAGGAGACTTGGGCAAGCATATACTCTGAAGGCGCAATCAAAGTCGCGGTGCCTAAATGTGAAAGCAATTGAGATGCATCGGGTATCGGGCAGGTGCTGCACACAAATGCTTCATGGGAAAAATGCGAAATGCAAGAGGGTATGTTCTTGGCAAGAACTGACTTCTTTCGGGTTAGGTTAAAGCGGGACCCAGGCCTTTATGAATCTGTCCATCTCACGCGGTACCTCCAAGGCAACATTGAACCGGGCAAACCATGCACAATCTGGGCGAATGCATCAATCCGGCAACGACCCCAGTCGAACGAAGTCCGGCAACGACCCCAGTCAATCCAGCAACATTACGGAGTCAAGTAACATCAATTGATGGAAGCAACATTGAAGCCGAGCTTGAGGGGAAGGGACTGCGCCTGAGCGATGGAGGGGCGCAGGCTGGGGCTGAGGCATCGATGGGTCTAGCAAGGCACCAGACACCAGTGCAAAGTCGTCGATTCACGTCCCATGTTCCGGTAGGTGCTGGTGCATGTGTGTGACTGTTTGTTGTGAAGGGCTGGTGCAGCCCCCTGGTCTCTATAAATCCATGTCAACTGGTCGAGTATGCCTCCCATGCCGCCAGTGATGGGCCAGCCTGCGTCAAATTGACGATTCATTGACAGCCATGAATGCGGTCAATATGCTCTCAGCATTCGCCTAACAACACCACTTGACATTGACCCCAGGGCGACGCAGAGTGGCCAGGCGGCATGGACTCCAATTGTCTCATTCACCCGCAGTCAGACATGCCCGGTCTGGTACTATCAACACGTTTATCTACCTGCCTTTAGTAATTCTGCACTTGCATGCAGAATATATAGTGCGCCTTGCTGCTTCATCTTCTCCAACTATAACCTTTTGCTGCCAGGGTTGATTACAAGGATAAAGGGTCGACTAAAGAGAGGAAAGCATTTGCCCTTGGCCTTACCAATAGATTTGCTAGTGTAAACATGCAGCTCGACATGGCAAGTACTAACAGGGAATATTGAAAGGCTGCAGCATTGCTCCAGGGCTGTCAGTGAGTAGAAGAGGACGTCAAGATGCATTGACACCAATTGCAGTCTGGTCGGATCTGATGCCCACCCCCCCTCCAAGTCCATGTCCCGATAACTTCAACTTGTCTTGTTCCACACATACGCCGGTATGGCCATTGGGTCCTGCGTATGAGAGTCACTGGTGCTATTTGTGCAATCAGACCTCGTCCTGTCCACCTTGACATATTCGCCACGTACCCTGTCCGCTCTACCCTGCCCATCTCACCCCGGGCGCGCGCCTGATGGGATGGTTCGCCTGGCAGCCTTATAATTATCCCAGCAACATGAGACCAGACCCTGGTTCAACTGGGGGGGGGGGCCTGGCATGTACAACATACAACATAATCAGTCTGGTGCAAATTGACCTATCGGGCGTCTACAGCCTCAGCAGTCTGGTAATAGAGCACTCAGTGCTTGCCGAACCAGGCCTGTATGCACGTACTACATACTTAAGTACATGTCTGGGTAGGCTGGGGCTTACTTACACACGCAGACGAGGCAATTCCGAGCCAGGCCTGTATGCACGTACTACATGCATACTCTTAAGCCCATGTCTAATGTAGGCTGGCGTTTACTTCTACACGCGGAGGACGGGGAGCACGACAGGGTGGCGATCCAATCAACCCGTTGACGTTAAGGCCCCCTGATCCGTGAGGTTGCAAGGGCCGAGAAAAGAGGAAGAAGAGCTCGTGTGAGGCAACTGGTGACCTTGGGTGACGTTGGTAACAGCCTAAATTTCGGCACATTCTAATGTAGCGATCTGTAATAAGGCTTCTGTTCAGGACTTTGATCATCACCTACTTTACTGGTAAATACATGTCCCCTTGAGAATCTAGCTTCTATTCACACACCTCCATGCAGACCCTTGACTGGGGATACCCAGACATTTGTATCGTTCAGACCCCACGTTGTACAGGCCATGCTGCTGGCGTGTCAACCAATTGACAATCAAGCAATTGATCAATCGCTTCCAGTCCTGCGGTCCCAAACCATCGACACGTCAACGAGTATATATGCCACATCCGACCCGGTCTCCAAACTGATGCCCCCATGCGCTCTGTTTCTATTCCCAAGACTTTTCACTCAATGAAGCCTCTTTTCTGACTACTTTGCTCCATCTACGTCGCAAACAACCACACGCTCAAAGGTAAAGACACAACTTGTCAAAAGAACCAAAAGAAGAAGCCCCATGGCCATCAGCATCGAGGCAACTCTGGCCATCATCGCCCTCCTCCTCGCCGTGCCCCAGGCCCTCGTCATACTATGGGGCTGGAGACGGTGCCGACTTGGGCGCCGACGTCGGCGCAGCAGCACTGACATGTCTGATGGTAATCTCAACCTGTTAAAATTTTAATTAAAAAAAAAACACAGCATAGCCAGTATATTCTGTAAAGGCACACGACGGCGGAATCATACTGATTAGTTCTTGTTCTCGCTGTAGAGGGACCCTTGATACCGCTATCTCATGTTCCATCAGCTCCACGTGCAGACGCCGGCATGGACCAATCAATGTCACATGCACCCCTGTTTGTATCCCCATGCCCGACCACCACCGCCACCGTTCCCGTCTCCGCCGCCTATCACCATGCTCCGTTCACTGTGGCGCCACAACAAGATCGCCCCGCTGCCGGCCGGCTCGTCTCGCTCTCGACATACCAATTCATAAGCATCCCCGCCTCTTGAGCGCGGCAACATTGTGTGTGGGCAAAGTCTTTCCGAAAATCGTATCCAATGAGAACTGAGAAATAAGTAAGTACATGCGTGCCCACCTACCTACCTAGGTACCTAAGGTATCTATTATGATGATACAAGTATTATTAACGGTTCTCAGTACAGGAATTAGCAGCGTCTTCGGCCAAGATACAGGTAGAAATACTTTGACAAGGGTGCTCTGGGGTAACATGCAAAAGCTGACCTTGCGAACTCAAAGGAAGCGCTGCCGCCAAATGCACGAAACAAAAAGTCCACCGGACCTTGTTACGAACCACGATTACAAACAACGTAGACGGGAAGGGGGGGGTTCACTACAGTCCCTTGCCTGGTGGTGCTCAAGGTGCACAGCATCCAAAACAGAGGTTGATCACGACTCAACTCCGTCCCTCGACGAACGGCCACTTGCCCCGAACAAAACCATCGCTATTTCACCATAGAAGGACATCGAGGAGGACGCAGCTCTCGGGAGCACGTCCCCGATATAGAAGACGGCTCGGGTGTGCTTTCACAGCCCTGATGGACTCTTGGCAGGGGTCGACGGTTGCATATGGATAGATCCGGCATTTACGAATGCCCATTCTCAAAGTGTATATAGTCATTCCTGTAATAATTTTTGCAAAAAAGAAAAAAAACCGATGCAATGCTGATTCAAAACGCCAAAGATGCCAACCTATTCTTACAGCTCCGTCTTCTTGTCTTTGGGTGCCCATCTATAATCGACCAAGCCGGGTCCTGGCTGCAAACCGAGAAAGTAGAGCCAAAGACGATGGGCCTCCGTTACTGCAATGCGATATCTGAAACAGGACACGTTAGCATGTGGAAACCTCAAGTCCATAAAAAACGGCCATGTCTTAAACCTACATTAGAATCGAGCCGTGCAGCCACCCGTGAAGAACCACCTTGACAGATTGCCGAATGAGCGCAGTCTCGTGTGCCCACTG